ATGGAAAAAAGGCAATTTCTGGGGCTGCGGTTGACACGGCAATAGTGTAATTGCCGAGGCGCACTTTGGACGAATTGGGTGCGGAATGCTACCCTATCTGAATGACCTCGACAAAAGGAATTAGGGATTATATCTCGGGTCATATGTTTCTGTTATCTGCAAAGTCATAAAACATGCTACATGATTTTCAGCTTCAAAAGGAAGGCTTAGACTGTATCTTGTGCAATATGGTGCCTTAACAGTTTCCCTAATCGGAAGGTCAAAATCAGGCAATTGGATATATCGTAAATCATGATCCTCAGCAATCTGAAATGACAAATTAATGTTGTAATATCATAAAATCAATCTGATTCTGAAAGAAGAGATCACATGGGTATGTAAGAATCCTGTAGCGCCTTTGCATCGCAGATGACCTACATGGACTTGCTTCCAGTAAATCCTATCATCATGTAAATGAGTGAAAGTCTTTAGTCTAGTTAGAAAGAAGAGATATCTTTCTGTTGGTAAATATTTTTCATTATCAACGACTATCGGGCGCAGCACTCTGTCCATGTCCGAGCCCACCTCAAATATGTCCACATTCGCCAAAGCAACGAGAATGCACATTGATAGTATCCCGCTCAACCGAAAGTAGAGACGATAAATTTGCAATTATGATTTGTTTCATAATTCAACAGCAATCTCATGATACTCGGTATCGCAGAGTGAGTCTTGCCGACGCAGTGTAAATGTTCGCAGTCAGCAGTCATGCTGGCTCTTGTGCTGACATGGAACTGCACTTTTCGGTCAGCATATCAGCCTATCCCGCCTCTCGGCCAACCCTCATCCTTCAGGACGTTGAACCGGTATGGGTTGGCAATTGCATTGCCCTATTCTGTTCAGCTTGGATGGCATTCGGCCATTCAGTGGGTTCGTCACGGCCGCGTCACGCTGACAGCGAGGAAAGATATATAATACTGGGACTGGGAATGAGGATATTGTTCATGAGATCTAGAAGAACAACAGTGACAAAGGAGAAAAGATATAACATACCAAGCACTCCAATATTTCCTTCTTTAACCACCGAAATCGCAATCATTGACAAAATGAGACTCCCTCTTGTTGTGGTTATGGCTTCCGTTGCTGGTAGGTTCATCCCTCTCCTTATATAGAAATTTGAAAAACAATGAATAGAGCCAACACAAGTTTTAGATGCCAACGGCACCAACAACACTGCCGGTCAATCAGGATCCTCAGGATCTGGTGCGCAAAACACTTCGGCCAGTACACCAACGTCTGGAGCTGGAGGATCTAGCTCAAACTCTGGATCTCAGAAGAAGTGATGCAGCAAGACAACATTGTACGAATTTTTGCGCTGGATGCAGAACTCCATTGTATTATTCACAGTTTGGCATGTTTCGATTAGAGGAGTTAAAGAGGGCAACCACAAGGCTATCGCATTTACGGGCGCCAGTCATAGATCACAATGTACTTCTAGAGCTTAGATAGAATTGGACTTTTGATTCATCCTGTAACCTGTCATCTTTTCCCTGCATCGGACTTCGCCGTGCTGCAATGTGATTTGATACCGGGGCTGGAGATCGATGCGTATGCGTGTGCGTAGACTTGGGATCAGAACAAACCGGAATCTTGAACGAGCCTGTTTCATTGGTTAATTTGGCCTTTGATGGGATTTTAGCTCGCTATTGCCGCTGGGCCACTTATATCCGAGAAGTAGTCCAACAACCAGGGCCGAGTAAGACTGACTGGATGAAATCCATGTAACTACTCGCTGCAATCTCTACAGTAACATCGCATCACTTTTGCGCTCTTCAAAATACGGTAATGAATGACTTTCTTCTTGTGGAAATACACCGCGCTCTGCTACGTCAGCGACGAGTTGCCAACCACAGCTGAAGCTGTCGCCAGATGAGATCGCCCACTGTTGTTATTAATAATGTGAGGCGCGTATTGGCTCCGTGGGACAGACAGACAGGACTCACAAAGTCTGCCTGGCATTAGCATCATGCAAAAATTCATATTTAGCTACGGCGCACGATGAAGCAGCGTCATCTAGACGCGCCATTGCTCTGCTCTACGGCCCAGCCGCAATTCCCGTGATCAATCGACGCAAGTATGCCTTGATGCCAGGGGCAATCCTTCCTGGGATCCTCCTGGGTTTCTGCGCCTCGTCCTGGGCGCTTATTGGGCCAACCGCCAAACTGACATGGATCTTGTGCATTCGCCACACTGCTCTGGCGGGTTTGCCATGGTCCCGTGAAAGCCAACTGCCGCAGCGTCTGACGATGGCCGTGATGAAGCTTCGTCAATCTGGAATTCCGCGTAGACCGAATGCTGCAATGAGTCAATCACCGAGCTGCCTCGTAGAGTATTACTCGGAAACGTCGTCATTCCGCTTCGTCTTCCGGATGTTCCCATCTCAGGAGATCAACCCTTGAAACCATCAGCTTGGCCGCCACCGATTGGCCAGCCTTACAACTCCCCCCCTTGCACCGATTCATCGCACTTCGCACTTGTTGTGCTTGGAATCCAGCCCACGGCCCCAAGGGTCCTTTGCTTAGATCGAACGGCTCCGCCATTGACTATTCCTAGCAGTCGCCCAAGCCGCATCGCATCCAGTGCTTTTGTGGTTCCTTGCAGCAGCCTTGCTAACCCAGATCAAGCAAGCAACCTTGCAGGATCGCCACAGTCGCAAAAAAGGCAAAATGGGCCGCCAAGATGGACGAGTTTGGCCACTGCAACTGCGACCGTGTAGCGTGTCAACGTTTATAGATGCCGCATGGGCGCTCATTCGAGCCATAAACGACTTCTTTCAGCCAATGTGATGGCATCCCCGGTTCTCGGCTACGCTCAAAACTGGTGAGAGGTGTGGCTTGTTGCAGGAGATGCTGCTAAGCTGTGTGCCCGCCCCCAATGCCGAGGGTGTCTACAATAAGATTCCCAGATTCCTTCCAACATCCCTGTCTGTGCCTGAGAGAAATGTTTAAATAATGAGACAAGTTTTTGGAACTGCACTTTTTATCCACGACAACTATGTAACTAGAGAATTTTTATTGCAAAGCGAACATCGTCTACCGCAACAAAGAGCAAAGAGAGACACTATGGCGACCTCATCCTGCACTCCGGACCGCCCCTCTGGCAACCGACATGAATTGAGGCTTTGTATTCAGAATGATGAAGGGATTGAAGAAAAGATTAAGCTTGATAGCATCGTTGATGCCGAAAATGCTGCAAAGGAGAGACGGAGGAAGCAGAATAGGATCGCCCAGCGCAAGCATAGTAAGTCAAGACGACTCATGATACACAGAATGAGAATATCGACTAACCGCTGCCATTATGTAGGACGACGGAAAGCTGAGCAAAGACTTTCTGAAATGTCCAAATCACCCGATCTCCGAACTTCACCACACACTGGGCCTTGCTGCAGCTGCGTCACTAGACGACTAGAGAGTACACCTCCGGAGGACTACAACCGGAGCTTCATATCCATCACATCGCCAAACTCGTCCTACGGCGCTCTCACCCCCTCGGCTATATCCGACTATGAGAGAAGCCAAACACTGTCCGCCGAGATCCCCAATCCTTGGACTCCGTTTTGGCCGGCGGCATCTCCTCTCTTCGATACCGACGCCAATGTCCTCCCGTCTGGGGACACGCTGGACAACCACAGCCACAGCCCTATTCCTAGCTCAGCATCATTGGACGTTCAGCCTTTTCAGGATTCGCAATCATCGCCGTCAGCCCTGTCGTACGACGCTCCCATCAGCCTCATAAGCAGGCCAAAGAGCAGCTGCTTGTCGCCGGAAGGTCACCTCGGAGGCCAGTTCCCTCTTCACTTGGCTGCCAGAGGTGGATTCATGGGTATTATTGGCCTCCTTGTCAGCAGAGGAGCTAGACTAGATGCTAAAGACACTTATGGGCGAACTGCGCTTCACTATGCTGCCGAGGCTGGACATCTCGAGGCTGTTGGCATGTTACTTTCTGTCGGGGCGAATCCATTTCTCGTAGACACCGAAGGGTGCAACAGTCTACACATTGCTGCTAGTAAGGGGAGGGAGGATATAGTGCGTGTGTTGATGGAACGAGGGATGGACCCAAATCTGGGGGTTGGACGCGATATTGAAAACTCGGGATGCTCGTGAGACACCAGACGGCTTGTCATACAAAACACAACTCAGTCAACCATCTCATTGGCTCTTTACTCTTCATCTTATTCTTCTTGTACATAGATTAACAGTTTTCTTCAGTATTCCAACATGATTCTTCACCCAAGCTCAGAGATGAAGAATAAAAATAAAAACAAAATCTGGATTCTACTACCCATCTTGTGCAACACCAATGGCCTTCGTATTTCCAAACTGTGAGCGCCACTCGGGCGATCGCCTCCCCCCTGTGTGTAACCCCTATACGTCCCGTGTCTCACAAGTATAGGCTGGACTTGACCGTATAAATCGAAGGAAAGGATTTAGTATGATGGCTCAATTAAATCCGAACTTCGAGCCAAGAGTTGAAGGAGATGTAATGAGCGCTAATTGACGTGGCGATGCTCGTCTTTGGCTACCACCTCCTCATCACCAAGGCGCCTATGGATGATGGTGACAGCCTCACATTGAAGATATTTAGCCCTATCTGCTTCATGTTAACATATATTACCGCCTCTTCGGTAAGGTAAGCGAGACAGATGCAGCTAGATCCGCAGCAGTTCTAAAAATACTGTCTGTTAATGAAGCGGATCGCGAGAGGCGCAGCCGCCACTAAGAGTGCACGGGTATAACTGTGGGCACTAACACCGCTAATCGCTGCCTAAAACTCACGACTCAATACGAGATATTTCATCATGCATTCACGGCTTGTCTTGTTTACTGAGATGCTTACACGTATGCAGCTTAAGTCTTTGGATACGTTGAAACATACCGTAAATTCTAAAACATATTGATCAAAACTCAACTTCGTTCATCACTAGATTCGATAGCCTCTACATCAATTGCAGCAAGTTCAACATGGTCTTCTTTGCGCCCAACGACAATCTGGATGTCCTCACATGCTATCTCCTCGCCGACATCTCCAGCGATGAACTGCAAGCCTTCAAATCAGCCTTTGAATTAGGCAATCATGCACGCTTCAACCCTATGCTTGAAATCAAAATTGTTCGTCCACCCGAGGACTATATCGGGAAATCCCACGACTACATCCGCCGGAAAGAGGACGAGGCTGGCCGACAAGGCAAATTCCTCATCCTCGACGACGAGGCCGTGAAGAAAAATGCCGTCTGGTATATTTCTTGGTTTGAAGATGGACAGTATGTCGAATGGAAACAGGCTCAGAGCACAGATGTTCTGTGGAAGATGCTCATCAGGACGGACAAGTTGTCGCTCGTGTATGTCAACTACAGCATTGGTAACATGTCGCTTCAAGAGGATCTGGGCAGTTGCGGGGTAGAATTCCCCGTAAAGGCGGGCTTTGAACAACCCAAAGTGTTCGATTTCGACATGGACATGCAAAAAGACCAGTATCATCAGCCTGTTTGGGTCAGGGCTGAGCCCGGCGAGTATGAGATTAACAAAGGCGGCGAAGTGATGGGGGATTACATTGCGCCGCCAAATACGTATGCCAGATTGAAAGATGGAATCGCAGAGGAGGTGGGAGTCATCAACGACTGGGTGACGTATCAACCGACCAACCCGTTTCGAATGTCGGATGGGACGAAGAAGGAGTTCCCTGAGGGCACTATGGTTCTCCAAATGAAATGGAATCCTGACTTTCCGTGGCCGCCTTACAAGTGGCCTGAGGGATCGCTATAATGCAAAAGTTGGTATTGAAATGCTGGGAGAGAATGGCAAGGCTAAATCTACATGTATCTAATGCCGTAGATGAAATGAGACCGGAGGAGTTTGGAGATGAGCGTGCCAAGTGACTTTATTCAGAATTGAATTGACAATAACTACGTCTACTTGAAATAAAAAGATTGTGAAAGATATGTGCCTCATGATTCGGAGTATACATATCTCTCTGACTAGTATTCTCTAGTCTTCCTCCACTGGCACATCTCATTTTTCATATACAGCAGAAGCCTGTTACTTGAAATTCTTCTGTGCCGTATTATAAGCCCATTCGCTGAGCATGAGGGGACACTCAGTCTCAAAAACCGTTACCGTGAGTCCATCATCCTGCAACTTTAGGGCTTGCTCGTGTCCTGATTCAAGTACAGCTGATACTCCTCTTCCGTCTGCCTATGCGGCACCATGGCCGCGTTCATCCAACCCGCAAAGGGACCGAAATTCGTACCACCATTGGAAGGGAGTGCCGGGTCGTCAATAACCGGGAAAATGATCTCCGACATAGTATTGCGGTGGTACCACGGGACCCGGAGTGTGTCTTCAGTTGCCTCCCAGCGAGACCCGGCAAGGACAAATTCCAAGACAGAGGTGAACGGCTCTTTTCCATAGGCCCGGGCTTGCAGGACGCAGTATAACGAAGGGTCGTGGTGATCAAATGCAGCATTGCTAAAGGAGTTGAAGCGCATCATGTCCTACTTGTAAGGATAGAGCGTACCCTGCCGACCAGCAACATTAAACGGCGTGGAGTCTTGTGTACAGGACCATAGCGTAGTATCAAGACGCGTGATGATCAGCCTGCCCAGTTCCGTGGTGATATCCAGCGCGCCCGACTGGGGGACTATCAAAGCCTCACCATCCTGACTCGTGAATACAGTCTGTGGCTTCATATCCTTGGTGAGTTTTTAAAAACCCAGAGAGCAACGCCATTTTTCTGCCGTGCGTTTCCGTTGCTTCCCAGCAGATGCTGCTCCGTCCAGTCGCCTTCGCTGACCGAGGGGAAGTCGGACGACCAGTAACCATTCGGCGTGAACTTGGTCGGTTCTGCTGGATTAGCAGTCTCCAATTCATGATGCCAAGGCTTGAATTCGGAGTGATCGTAGGAAGATTGGGAACGATATGTGTAGGTTTGCAAGTTCTCTGCCCGTGGAGCTACAAACGCTGTTCCAGAGATCTTCTCCGTTCGACAGCCATAAGGGGCTTGTTTAGGATAAGGATTGACAAATGCAACTGCCCCGGGAAATGCTTCAGATCTAGTTTCATCAATCAGATTTGAAATGTTTGAACAAAATTGGACGGGCTTACTGATGATGATTTCCTAAGCCATCGAGATAGGTGTACTTCTCCTCGATGCTAAAGTCCGTGGTATAACGCATGATGTAATATTGTAGATGGCCTACAAGAGGGCTCTGAAATGTTAAGAGAGGTTTCTGCTTTGGATGGTTTAGATGCGTTGGGTATGATATGAGAAATGGCGTTGAATAGAGAATTATATGCTTCTTTATAATATGTGTTTCATGCCACAAGGCATTACAGATCACTACAGGTGTTGTCGCATTTTCGATGGATCTGATATCCAGGAGAGACTGGAAAGGTGGCGGACCAATTGTAAAACCCATGTTCATCAAATAGACCGCACATTATTGTACCCCAGGCTCTGATATGCGGATGAATTACTAACGCTGAACGGTTTAGTATAATACAAGCGGACGGTCTCATTTAGGAGCACATTACCTCTGAAACAGTGGTGCGGCATATCACGATGGTGTCGTACGGTGTGTTTGGTGCGGCGTCATTGGGAAGATTCGCTTTCTCCTTTTGCTGCTGTAGATACATGCACTCTACATGTATGTTTAATCGAATGCTGTAGAGAGTACATATATAATAAGCCATCCAACTGGCGTCGTAAAAGTCATAAAGAGGCAGTTCCCGCCCGTAGGCAAGAAAAGGGGCCCGATACCTATCATAATCTCAGTAACATTACAACTACATGCGCTTCTTCCATCAGTGCAAAACGGTCCTACACAGGGGCTATGAAGCAAGTACTGACTGGAAAATTCCAGGACGGGCCTTTCATATGTCTCGAGTACCAGACGCCTTCCCAGACTACTTCAAGGAGGGTGAATTGATAACATTCTTTATTAGCAGTCTAACCATCGGGGCTCCATTGGGCAACACGTTATCGGAGAAGGGCCATTGCCAACATCTTTTAGGACAAGGGTGCCCAAATGCACGATTGTCTAGAAATAGCAGCAGGGCAGGGAGATGTAGCCACTGTAAGGCTTCTGCTCGACCACGGGGCTGAAATCAATGCCCTCGCCAGCAAACTGGAATCTGCACTGCGAACTGCCCTTTGGAACGGTCATCTCGATATACTCAAGCTCCTTGTGAGTCGTGGAGCCAATGTCAACAGCCCATTCGACAAGGCAGAATACATGCCCCATCCAGAACGCACGCCGCTTCCAAGAGCTATATCGATGAACAACTTAGAGTTGCGTGTGGTAGACTGTCTGCATTTTCTAGTAGACAACAGTGCCTGTGTCAACATGAAAGACAACATTTCTTTAGCGGGGGCGCTCTATGTACCAATACATATAGAAGCCCGTAGAGCATCCCAGCTGCTGCTAGATTGAGGCGCGCAAGTGAATGAGCTGGCCGGAAAGAAGGGCTACCCACTTCAGGCCGCGGTGGGTTATTTCGGTGATGCCGTATTCGTCAAGGACTTACTAGACCGCGGCGCAGATCCGAACGCTCAAGGAGGGATTTACAACACGACTCTACAGGCCGCGTGTATCAAGATGCGAAATAACAGCTCTGAGGAAATGATGCAAATCATTGAGCTGCTAGCGAATAGCGGCGCTGATGTTTCTATTCAGGAGGGGGAATACGGAACGGCACTGCATGCAGCATGCTGTAGTTGCAACGTCCCGATTGCAGTTGTAAATTATTTACTCAAGAAAGGGGCCGACGTGAACGTTCAAAGAGGACCCTACGGCCATGCCCTCCAGGCAGTGGCATATCGGCGTACTCCTGATTGGAGTTCTTTTTACCAATTACAGAGTATGGGAGAACACCTAATACAGCTGCTTCTGGACGCCGGTGCTGAGGTATATGCTCAAGGTGGCTGTTATGGGACGGCGCTCCAAGCTGCGTGCGCGGGCCAGAGCGAGGAGGTAGTGCGTCTCTCGATTGATCATGGTGCTGATCCTAATCTTGAGGTCGGTGAATACGGCACTGCACTCCAGGCCGCGTGTACCGTAAAGGCTCTCGATACACTTGGTGTGGGAAGAGACATGTATTACGGTGCGGCCGGTCCAAAGCTTCCTTCTTCTGGAACTTTGCCCCAGCATCGATGTCAATGTACAGGGGGGATTATTTGGCTCTGCTTTGCAAGCGGCAGCATACTCGGGCCAGACACCCGCTATCACCTTGCCGTTAAACAGAGGAGCCCACGTGAACGCCCGGGGTGGGAAATATGGCAGTGCTCTAAACGCTGCCGTTATTGCAGGCAATTGGGATACTGCTGAAGTTTTGCTCAGCGCGGGTGCGACGCCTGATTGTCACATGTTGTCAGAGCCTGACGAAGGGTGGCTCCAACGTGTGCTAGAAGACGATGGTCAAGGCGGCGTGGAGAGATATAGAAAGTTCTGGGAGGTACAGAAGGCAGAGAGGGAGGTTTCGGCACATGCAGACTAGCTTTACATTTCATGTATGTAGAGCTTCTCAGTCTTTTACACTCATTTACACTCATTTGCTTCCGTCATGGATGCGCATCTTTTCTTGAGCTTTTGTCGACAACGCGATCAAGACTGCAATCTTTATTAAGCTATAATACTCTATATATCAACATTCCCTAATATATCTATTTGTGTATCTGTGCTCCAGCTTGTTCATTCCTATCATACGCGGCCAACTCTTCAAATCTCACCGCGGTATTCTTTCTGCGGAACAACAGTCCAAATGTCAGCACGTGTGCGATCTTGGCGAGAAACGACCGGTTATCCGGTATTACTTCCACCGTGGCCTCGGTCCCGTCTTGTGCAAGATAAGTGTGAGGGTTCCTCGGCAAGAAGCGACCGGCGTTCCAGACATTCCATATCGCCGAATTGAGAAACATAAGAGTCGCCTCGAAGATATAGAAGAAGACTTCGTAGCGCAAAAGAGGACTCAGCTTTTCGAGAGCCTCAATGTCCGCAATGTCTATCTTTGTATTGCCGGTATGTTCTACCAGGCGGTAGACGCATCTTATAAAGATGAGTATCATACTCATGTAAAGAGTGGTTAACATTGTTTTGACCGCTTTGGCTTGGACGGCAGCTTTTCTGCACCTCATGTGGAAGATGGCAGCCATACAAAAGAAAGTAGCTATAACACCGAGCTGAATGACAAGCACGGCTATTAATAAATTGCTCGCAAGCTTCTGCTGGCTAGGTGATGCCGAGGGATTAGCAGATAAAGCAGCCCCCACAGCATTCAAGGTTTCGACAAGACCCATGAGGCCGCCAAACGTAAGTAGAACTCGAGAGGCCGGTATTGGAGCGCAGTGTGGCACATAACCAAACACTCGGCCGAGGACATGGTAGTTCGAAAGCTCTAGAAGTGGTCTGCAAGAGAAGTTCATCAGTCGATATCCACAAACATTATCAAAATACATGTGCCAACTTACGGGCAAACATTTATAAAGACTTGACTAAGGATGAAGATAATTAGAGGTGTCCCTCCAGTACCCGTATAGATATAATGGTATGAAGCGTATTCTCGGAATGCGAAGCCCAGAGTGAATAGCACAGCGCACACAGAGTGCAGTCCAATCAGTCTAAAGGCCTTGTAGCGCCTAATATACAGATTTAATACTGACTTTGTTTGAAAACTATGCATGTATACTTACCAGCATTGCCAAATGTGAAAGACGGCAGAAATAGCGAATGCAACGGTGAAGAAGACCGGAGCCCCTCTATTGGGAGCATAGACGTATAAGCTATACAAAACTATGATCTGTCAACCCACTATTCGCATAGAATGGAGGATAAGGGAGCATTCTTACCAGGGTCTCCAGCTCCCATTTTGGAAAGAATAATTAATAATGATGTCTATTACAACAAAGCCGGTTGAAGTTTGGGATGCCTCTCTCTTTTCAGTCTGCTGCTTGAAGGAACAGTAAACAGAAGAAGAGATATCTTTTGCCGCCGAAGTGAAAGGAAAGATAAAAGGTGATTTGTATTAGAGAATGAAAAACAACGTCTGGGAAAGTTATCAAGTGCTAGGCTATATATAAGAAGCACGCAGAATAATAGGACATCTTCTCCTATGATAGTCGGCTGTTCCTCGAAGGATTCGCGCTTGGCCCAAAGAGGAGAAAAAAGATGCCAAGACATTTAGCTTCGGGAGATATTTGCCAGACCCACGCGGGCCACGTACGTGTAAGTGGAAGCGAGCTTTGAGGCTGAAGGCGACGATGTCGTATTTTCTCAGCTATACGACTCAGATTCCTGCTATTAGTTGATAAGGGGGCTTTCAAGGGTACTTCATTTCAAGTATTTCAACAGAGATCAAACTATATCTCGAGTCTTGAGTCTATTCAAGGTTACTTGTATAACGGCATTAAGCCGCTCGTGTCCACCGCAATTTGCCCAGTAAACACATACGGTCTATCAAAGCAGGCATCCCAGCGAGTTTTTCCAGAGGCCCAGAACTCTCCGAGAACTCGTTTTGCTGTAAGGGGCACATGGGTTCCAACACTCTGGCTAAGTTCTGACAGTTCCTTGGCAACAAAAGCGCGCATAGGTGCGTCGCCGTGAACAGCTTCCACCCCAAGTACAACGAGTGGCCAAATCATGAACCTTTTCAGGCTTTTGGACGCAAGTGCTTCCACCAAAAGCGTTTGCATAAGTCTTCCATGGGTGGCGCATTGGACTCGTAGTGCCGGCGTCTCGGGAAGAACTGAGAGGCTTTGAAGTGATAAGACGCAGTATAATGCCGCAGCGGCCTGGTACACCAGACCAACTAATGTCCAAACCTCTTGATTGGAGCCTCTAGATTGGGCCAATCGATGAGGTGAGAAACAATTGATGCGCTCTAATATTTCGAAACTCTCCTTCTGAAAAGCTTCGGTGTCAGCAGCATCAGGTCTTGTAACCCGCATGCGAAGATGGTTAATCCTAATAATCTCAATGAACAGTGGCACTGGGCATAACTGAATTGGAGATACAGTAGTGATGTATTGCTGTGGCAAAAATTTGAGAGTCCCAAGCTGGAAAGTGGTCATGAAGAGATCTGATGCGGGACATGTTGTGTTCCCCATCACTGCAATGCTAGATGATGTTAACATGAATTCATGATACGGTAGATTGTTGCTGTAATAGGGGTCACATACGACCAAAAGCAAAGGAGCAGTGGCTCCATACTTTTTGATTCGGCCACTGCGTAAAATCCGCCACGCAGCATGATTAGCCTGTAAATGGCATCTAAATGGCATCGCCAATTGAGCGATGATCCGTGCTGTACCTATCGCAAAGGACAGAGTGAGTAAGCGCAGTCACTTGTACGACATCTCGGGGTAGTAATAACTAACATCTGCAAGCAGAAGCGTCAATATCCCAGCAATGACGGAATCTCCTGAACGCCTATCTTCCATGCCGAGATCTTCATTGAGAGATCGGACAGCAAGACCCCAGTAGAGGTAAAACTTCTCCACCATTGTTTTGGGTGGAATGGCGCTCCCTATTTGGTTTATCCTGTGACTTAGAATCATGCAGAGCACACCATACTTTAGATAATCGGGACACCAAACTGAGGCTTGGAGATGTTTCTCAGAAAGTGGATATACGTAAGGATTGTATCCAAGTTCATGGAGGGGGACCAAGTCTCTATAGATGCAAGAATTGACTATTGGGCAGCTATTAGTAAACATATTCCAAAATTGCCAATTGAGACAGCCACTTGCAGTACTCGTAGCCCTGCAGTATGGCATGTGCTTCTTCATGCATCTCGAATCGTGGAATTGGCGTGTATATGTCGAGTTTCTTGGTGACTATAGTTGATGTACTCCCTGTAGTTATATCGGCATGATTGTCTTGATTTTTGTAGACCAAGCTTTTCTTTTGTTTCTGATCTCGAGATACGACTCTCCCAGGCGTGACCCATTTCAGTCTTGTAGGCTTCACGTCACCGTATCCGGGACAATGGATCCCCGACGCACGACATCTTTTACACTCAGGTAGTTCAGAATCGCACACTAAGCATCGTCGGCGGCACTCCCAACAGTGGCGCTTACTCCGGCCGTCTTTGTTTTGTCTGTGTTGATTTGCGGATTTGGGAGACTCATCCATTGACAGGGGCGCTGTGAAATCCCGCCTCAATCTAGACTGTTGGTAGATAACCAGTAAAGTATTAGCTTAACGAAAGAGGTGATGCGATTGTCGATTATTCAGAAAGCTTTATTGATTTCTGTTTCAATCGATGAACGATATATAAAAACTTGAAGCTAGAGACGGTGAAACTGAAGACGGAATACGGCCAGGCAACATTAATAAGCGCGTTCAGGGGTGATTTAAGTAGGACGGTTTGCGCCACAATTCATGCGTCAGCAGTCCACTAGATTCGGGTTATTTTGCAGTATTTAGTTTCAGCACGCGCGTCCAAATCTTGACAAGTTTAGAAGACGACGGACTTACGCCGCTAGATAATGCAAATTCGTGGCTAGGCAGCAACTTATGCGACACTTATCGTCTATATAAAAGAACCTAATAATGTTCAAAGCTAAGCAGCAGCTACACAGTAGCATCGTCAACTCGAGCCAGCTCGAATACCGGTTCCGTCCTCTTCTCTCCCTCATTTCCTGGGCTTCAGGCGAACGTAAAGGGGTCCCTTATGGTACACAATGTAAACCTCGCACCTCTTATCCCAGCCCACACTTTCGTCAAGAAGCTCGATGTCGTAGTTCCAAATGAGTCGCGCCATAATGAGACGCATCTCGGCATAAGCAAGACTGCGTACACACATTGTCAGTGGTGATCAAACCCGCCCTTTAGAACAAACTCACTTCTTGCCAATGCAACCTCTAGGCCCAACAGAGAACGGGGTAAAGATTCGTCTCTTGTCGCTCTCGAACCGTGGGTCGCCCAGCCAGCGCTCGGGAATAAATTCCTCGACCTGAGTCCAGTAGTTGGGGTTGTGGAACAAGGTCCAATACCAAATGTCAATATGAGTCTGTAGATGTACACGTGTAAGTAAGATGAATTGTGTCGCAAGGTGAGCCATACGTACTCCTGGAGGGATGAAGTGACCCGCAATGGTATCGCCCATCTCGTTGATTGTTCGTGGCGTTGGAGCGGGCGCTGGCGGGTGAAGTCTCATCGCTTCATTCAGAACGGCGAGCATGTAGTCTAGGCGACCGACACTCAAGAGGTCAATCTCGTCCTCTGATTGAAATGCAGACCTCACTTCATCGCATAGCTTCTTCAAGGGCTCTGGGTGTAAGCCAAGGTAATATGTGGCCGCAGAGAGCGCCGTCGCGGTTGTTTCGGAGCCAGCCATGATAAGAATGCTGGCATTGGCGGTGAGCTCGTGGAAGGATAATTCCTGTGCAATTATGTTAGTACTCTGATAAACTTGTTCGCTTGCATATCTTACATCCTTTCCCTTCCTAGATGTCATGCATGCCATGAAATCCTTTCGGTCCGTCTGCGTGTTGAGCCTCTTGCGAACTTTCTGTTCAGATAGCTCTCTATGTTCTATAAACTTGGTCATGACAGACTTTGGGGTAAGCATAACAAGAAGATTGTATAGAAAACCCATGCGCCTAAATGCCGAGTCAAATGCAATGTTCTTCAGACTTTTAAAGACGAGTTCCACCCATGGATGAAAGGTGGAATCCTGAAGACATCCAAAGGGTTCGCCAAAGGCCAAGTCGCCCACAATATCAAACGTCGTGTAATTGTACCAGGCGACAGCGTCAAACACTTCACCTTTCGCAGCAAAACCTTGAAGATTCTCAAAGAGCCTGTCGACGTAGGATACAATCAAGGGCTGCTGATCGAGCATGGCCTGCTGCGAAAAGGCGTTTGCCATGCTCTTTCGCATTCGGGTGTGGTCCTGACGGTTCGCGCCGATAATGGTGCCAGGACTGCTCTTATTGCGGGCCGCTTCTTTTCCATTCTCCAGTTGGCCGGGCTTGCGATGGCCTGAAAGATTGTCCATTCCATCAGGGTGGCAAATTGCTAGATGGTCGGGGGCAACTCTGACGATTGGGCCGTATTTCTGGTGCACCTGTAGCATCCTGCGATGGCCTTCACCGGAGAGCTCTAGGCGAGCGTAAAAGCCGTAATGAATGGCCCATAGTTTTGGGCCTGGGAACTTTCTGAGAGGGTGAAAGAATAAATTGTAAACCACAGTGTATGCGATGTAAAGCAGTCCCTAGTTCCTCGTGTTAGACCATAGACACCCACGCCATCATTCTCTAATAAAGACCATACCAATATCACTGGCAGCAACGGCAACACCACAACGCTTTTCAACGAGATCGCAGCCTCGGGATTTGCTAAAAGGATCGCCATGCTGTATTTTCAAAGCCAAGCATAGGCCAAACAAGTATCTCCCAAGGAAGTAGACTTCTGACAACAAGATAAAGCAGAGTGCAGTCCCTACGGCCATTTATATACACTTCCTCGCAGTTTGAGTGGGGGAACTTAAGTCCTCGAACAAATACTGACTGGGGCTATTCAGCTAGCTATCAAACATGTTCCTGGCTCTCCAAAGTCCACTTGTCGGGCGATTGTCCGCCAAGCGGGGAGGGGATGCGGCCGCATCACGACTAATAGAACCCGGCAACTTTGCCGAAGCCGCTCTGGTGGATCTGCAATAGGAGAATGCAACAATATCCAAAGTAGGAGCAGATTGGCATGACAAGCATCATATATCCTACCATGACAGGGATAATATTTTGTCTATATGGATCATATGCAATGGTCTGTAACGGTGATTTCACATGCGTGAGCCGCGGGGCGTGGCGCCTATACGTGGCATATACTCTATATTCCGTTAACCTCCCTTCTCAACACTGGCGTTGAAGTTTTTTTCATGTATCAGGTTTACTCAAGTCTTCCAGCTCGATAAGAGACTCGTCATGTACGTAGCATTACAAAAGTTGGTGAGCTGAATATGCATGCACGTCCCACTCCCGCAACCCTACCGTTGCAACACGGGTCCTCGGGTCTGTATAGCACCCGTTCTTGTCCCCTGGCTGGCATGGTGTTTTATACTCCGTAGACACATGCATCTAGAAGCATCCCGGGACTAAAAACCGGGGAGGCGTTAGGGAGAGTTTACGTGATGTTTTCCAAAATTGGAAAAAAGAGCTATACGCGTAACATGGCGGAGTTTGGAGCCATACACTCCATGTATGGGGTTGTCCCAGTCCCGCCTCGGCAGTTTATTCGTTTCCGATAACCCTAATGGAATAATACTCAGTAGGAGATACAATATCCCGGGTCAATACTACGCGCTGTTGGCCAAGTCGATCGGAGCAATAGGAGATGACCCGAATGCCTTTGTGAGAACAGCGTCCACTAGCCATTTCTTATTAGTGTCCTCTGTCCAATTGCATCTATTTCACTTCCAAAGACACTAGTATGCTGCTATTTTATCTATTTTATACCTCAGAACCTCACGACAGCCGCCTAGCATAATGCCATTATTGGAATCAAACGTTACCGTTACATCCCATGCGGTGCTGCTCATGAACCCCTTCTGATGATTTCACGGCAAGGAGGATATTATCAAGACTCCGAGGCTGACCCAGGCGCTGCGGAATAACAAATACTGCAGCGTTGCAGCTTGGAGATAATTCCGTCGAAAAGCTAAAGCCGAGCCTCGTGCACCAAAGGGCAGATCTCACCACCTTTTAGCCTATAAGCTTTCAAGTGCTACCCTGAAAAGCTATTTCTAGACATGATGCTACTTGCGCCATAGCTGCTGCGAGTGGTGACGAGTTGAGCGAATGCAGATAAGCAATGTAGTATTGACTGTTTCAAATCAGGTGTCTCTTCCTGAATTCCCGTCACTTGTCGTCATTGCATGGAAATGCCGAGCTCGCATCTCTCGGCGTTTCAAGAGCGGCGTCCCATGATTCGGGATTTCGGCACAAATAGTGGTTGTATGATTTGTTGTTTTGGCCTCTTTTTACATGTTTTTATAATGGCTAGCAACTCTCAGTATAGCAGATAAGCGAGTAGCCGGTCCCGCGCGAAATTGTAAATAGATGCTCAGCAACCGTCGAAAGTGCCTCGATGTTATTTTTACAGCAAGATTCTCAGTCTCCTTACATGTGCCAGGCCTTTTATCCTCGCGTAATGAGCTTACACTTACCAGCGAGAGAAAAGAGCCAGCTGTTGGTGTACTCGTAGTGTCCCCTATCGGCCTACAGTTGTCAGTCGTTGGCATCTTTGCCCAGATAGTCGAGTGTTTGGCGCATGAATTCCAGTTTTCTTATCACGAATCTATTGCTTCTTATTTCTGACATGCATTAAGCGCCCGCACCCTCTCCTAGTCGGTTTGTTGTTGCCAGTTGACAAACTTCGAAGACTGGTTGCGCACAACTCCTCAAGGGTAGCCTAGCCACATTGGGCCTCAACGAAGGGCCATCTCACAAAGGGAAGATGATTCGGGATGGGTTACAGGTTGTACTCGTCTTTCATATAACGTCTTAATGACCTGAGTTATATATAACCTGATGCTATCTAAATTGCGTGACGAGGACGGCGTACTTGGTCCCATAGAGTTCTGAGAGGGCGCAGAATAGGATACGCCAAGTCCATGCGGCAGCCGCATCTGTGGTGTCTACTATAGCTACGGACAGCGAATTCCGTCTGTATCGTTAGGAACACTTCCAGCTCAGTGAACTTATCGTCTTCTGTACAAGTACCCTTCAAACTCAATGAACTCGTCGTCTTCTATACAAGTACACTTCTGAAGCAGTCGAAACACAAGTTCTCTTGCCATGAAGGTTTTGAACATTTATTCTTGAACGGTTGATCGCAAATGTGCTCTTATACTCAACCCCCCAAAGCTAAAAATGGGTTGCAGCTAACATCATTAGACACATATGGAATGCTACACAGATGAGCAAATTCGCAGCAATTGCAGATATCAATCTGCGAACCGGCATCACGGTGTTGCCCTTTTCCTCTACGTCTACTACCAAACCGATACCCTTCAATTTGATCAGTACATGGAGATGCCCTACTTGTCTGTCTCGTCAGTTTGGCGACAACACACACACAGCATCAGAGGACGCATGCTATCCAACCAACGACTGGGGATTAATAGACAGATGGTTTCATTCGGAAACTGGGCGCCCATTCGAGGAATTAATTGGCAGCACAACATTTCACAGTTGTTGGATTGGTCGCGGAAACCCAGTTTCATAACCTCACCCTAAACACATCCCCTCCGGGGGGTGATGGCCGCGAAGCTCTCTTCTTTCACATTGTCCTACCAATTTATACCAAATTCTCGCACGGGGAAATGGTCCAGAAAAAGTATCGTATTGGGCCGTCTCAAAAGAAAGGAGAAGCAAGAGGATAGAGAAATAGAAAATCTTGAAGCGATATCTCAGCACATGCAATTCTCTTGGCTACGATGTACACGCATCTGATGGGGATTAAGGGGCATGAGCTTAGCAAAGCTTACAAATGCAGCTACAGCCCCTAAAGGGCATCGCATTTAGTTGCCCGTTTCACAGCTGCACACACATCGACGCCCCTAAAAATAAATGAAACACACACATACCGTGAAGTTGCACATGATGGACGAGCTGCGTAGAATCAAGATTACCAAAAGCCATGCGCATCAAGCGAACAATTCGCAGCTCTGTGTAGTAATGCGAGAAGGCTCATGAACAACCCCCCACTTTAGTCCGCGTATGTCCGTAGAGCTGAGAAATGCTTCAACACAGCTTCCACGATTCACAGCCTCATCGTCTACTAGCCAAAGTAACTATACCAAAGAGCTATAGTATTCCAAAGCTCTTCAATCCGATAGTAGTAGTACATGTAGTATCCAAAGCCAACAAAACTACGTCACACAGCGACAACCCGAATCTCCCTCGCGACATCCGAACCCCCCCAAATCCCATCTTTTTGTCAGCAAACAAGCCCCCTCGAATCACGCAATCCCGCCCTAACAATTCCAAACCGGCAAAGCCCGGCACTGCGGCAAAAAGTTGCGGCCCCAAGTCCAGGTCAAGGGATCTTTCCTCAAGGGCGCTGGAATCATCGATTTGCTAGGTACCTTTGGGGTAGCTCACAGCACCCCTCAGCGCTGTGCGTGCTTGCTAGGGGTACCTGCACATAACCTCCACTGCTTGGGTAATGTAATTACGTGCGTTAAGAACAGAGGCGATGATGACATTTGTAATTGAGCCAAAAAAAAACACACACACGCGGAGGGGGTGCCGGGGAAATTGATTAGTTATAGCGGACGCATGGAAAGACGAAGAGGCAAAGGAGAATGTATAAAACCGATCACCAGCGCCCCATTCAATCTAATCTTTTAAATCCCATTACATGCCAACACAATAACATCCATACAGCTTGCGATCATCTGTCGAGCGCTATACCGAGGTTCACCACTTACATCATCACAACTTCTCTCCCCAACTCCACCAAGAAAAAAAAAAAAAACTCGCACAAACAACTCCTCCATTCCAACACACCCCAAACAAACCCTCCCCTCAACGAAACCCCCCCCAAAAAATCAACCAAAATGGCCGTCATCGACATCAAGACCAAAGCCCAATTCGACGAACTCACCCAAAAAACCCCCTACGTCGCCCTCCAAGCCCACGCAACCTGGTGCGGCCCCTGCAAAGCCATCTCCCCCATCTTCAACAAGCACGCCGAGACCCTCACCAACGAGAAATACACCTTTGCCCGCTTCGACACCGACGAGGTGCCCGATCTCGCCTTCGAGCTGGGCATCCGCAGCATCCCCGCGTTCTTTATTTTCGAGAATGGGGATAAGGCTGATACGCTGACGGGTGCGAACCCGCCCGCGTTGAAGAAGTTGACCGAGGCGATTGCTGAGAAGAGCAAGGCTGGTGAGGTGAGTAAATTGTGAACTGGAGGACGAGAGAAGAAAGAGCATGTGTGTTCGGTTTTGCTGATTGTGGTGTGTGTTTTTGTAGCTCAACACTACTGAGGACTTTTAAATACATGACGGGACGAAGACGAGGATCGCTGCAGAGGAGGATACATGAAATAAACATACTGAAGGAAGAGAGAGAGCACATGCAAACAGCATGGTGTTGGCAAAGAGGATACCATACTACAACAGACAAGTAGACATACATACAAGTCTGCAAAATATAATCATACCAAACAGGCACATTTTCACGTTCCGCGTTTCAAAAAACCCGATATCGCTGTAAAAACCCGCTCTATTCGCACTTTCATTGTTCCCATCTCGCGTCTGTCAAATCTCCCATGATATCAATACTTTGAATCCCCCCTTTTTCTACATACATGCGCCGCAACAGTACACCCTTTGTTCCGTGTTCCCAAAAGAAATGCCACACACGTAGCCCTTCCCTCCCCATGACCGCACCACAACAATTGGTATAGCAAAGAAATGTAGACAAAAGAATAAAACTCCACGCTTGGTATGCAGCCGTTATAATGAAAAAATAACACAAAAAAAAAGGAAAAGGGAAGCTACCGTTAACGGCGTGAAACATGGGCCGGCCAAAGCAGCCCCCAGGTAAGAAATGCAAAAAAACCAAAAAAGACATGTCCACTCGCATCAGCTTCAACTGACGCGACGCTTATCTTCTTTCTCCCCTCCTCTTCATCATTCAGCTGTATCATCACTCATCCTCCCCACTCCGGAATCAGCCCGCTTCTTGGGCAAGGACTGGTCAGACTTGTGTTCATCGATAATGGTCATTCCCACATTCGTCGATTCTTGCGACTTGCTTGATCGGACTGAAGGGCCCATGGACCTCCTGCGGTTCGTCTGGTCTTCCACAACCTTGGGCCTGTTGAGGTCCGTGACTCCAATGCTCCTCCGAGCAGCTGCTCTATTAGGTGGCTTCAAAAAGTCACCGGATTTTCGCCCATCCGTTGCCGCCGTCGTAGCAGCAGCAGCAGCAGCAGCAGCATCGTGGGTAGGTTCGGTGGGAGAGCTTGCGCTGACAGAATACCTCAGTCCCGAAAGGCTGCCTCTCCACCGGGCGAGGTTCCAGAAGCTACCATCCTTGTCGTTTTCGTCACTTTCTGCCACGCTGATGAAGTTGAAACTCGGCGTTGGCGGCTGTGACCCCCCATCCAGTGTTCCTATCGATGCCCTGTTCCGTACGCTACCCGTGGGGCTGGCGAGGCCATTCCTCGGGGGCCGTACAGGTGAGCCACCGGAGGCCACGGGCTTCCTGGCTACTGCTGAGGGATTGATTGTCGAGATGTTGGCTGGAGGTACGGGGGCTTTCCTCGGCGAGGCAGATCGCTCCGTCCTTATCGGCGCCACGTTGAGGCTTGCTCGCCCTTGATCGTCGACGTCTTGACGCCAGCTCATAATTCGGTCAGACGGGTGCTGAGCCTGGCCAGCACTCAGATTGAGCGAGGTTCGCCTAGACACACTTCCGCTTGTTCTGGTGATGATGCTTCCGCTTCGTCCCAGCCCGCTCACCTTGCTGGAGAATTTGGAGCTAATCTCCCACATGTTCTGCTGGCGCTTGGCAAATGCGCAGTCTTGTCGGAACACCTTGATCGTGCCGGTCCTGTCGGTTGTGACTATAATGTTGCCATCCATGTGCTTGCAGCGGTTCAGATATGCCGGGCTCTCTTCTGGCTTCTTGATGCCGGCGCTCGGGGGTGGATTATGAATCTCGGTGCCCGTTTCCGACACCTCGGTTTGGCTTAGAGCAGCCTCGTCCAGGCTTCGAAGCAAAACCGGCGGCGGGTTGCACAGGTCAAAGATGGGGTCCCCCGACGCGCTCAACAGCTGCCTGGTACGTGTTGGTGCCAAAAGAGCGGTGGTGACGACTTCTGGATGAGCGTCAAAACACTCGTACGGCTGGCGATCCTTCATCTCGACCTCTGTCGTATTCGTGTTCCAGATGTATGCTTTTCGGTCCTCACTGCCACAGATGACATAGGCCCCGTCGTCGCTGAAACGAGCGTGAATCTGGCTAGACTGGTTCTCTAGGCCTTTAAACTTAACATCCAGCATCCGAGTCTTTAAGCTGTAGATTCGAACGCGAGAGTCGTTGGACGAGATGAGCACCTTTACTTCGCCAGTTCCGGCCACCGTAGCCGTCTTGATGCCCGTGATTTTGCTGCCTTTGGCGTTTTTGCCTCGCGACGAGCGTACGTGGATCTGGAACTTTTGCTTGAGCCCCTCCGTCTCAAAGAACGAGCACATGCCATTCAGTACCCCGCAGATGGCCATTTTCCCGTCGGGCGAAAACGCCACGGCCGTAATAAATTCGTTTGTCGAGGCCAAAAAGGCCACCGACTTGTCTGGTATGTTCCAAAGCCGGAGCTGGGCATCCAGGGAGCCGGCAAGGAAGAATCGGTCGTCGGTAGGATGAAACGCAATCGACGTGACCAGATCGTGGTGGGTAAACGTGGCGAGGCATTCTTGTCTGCTGACGTGCCAGAGCCTGACCGTCTTGTCCATTGAGGTGGACAAGAGGAAATTGTTCTTGCTCCAACAGAGGGCCAACACTTCTCCAGTGTGAGCCTCGAATTCGCGGATCGGCTTGCTTCGAAACACGGGGGCGCTCAAACGCTCTCCTCGATTCTTTCCCTGGGCGTCTCTCTCAGCCTCCTCTTCCTCCTCGTGCGCCTTGCGCTCCTCCTCCGTCGATAGGACGGCAAAGACCCGAACAATCTGATCCTTGCCGGCCACAGCAAGGTAGCGACCGTCAATGCTAAACTCTGCGGCCCATATCGCATCGCCAGCTTTCAGAAGCCGCGTGCCCACCGCAGTGGCAGGCACACGACCTTGCGACGGCTCGTCATCCTTCTCCGGCTTGGGCCCCAGCAGTTCTTGGGCTAAAAAGAGGCGGTTGAAATCTCGGCGTTTACTATTGTGCGATCGCACGCGGATATAGCGGGGAGGTTCTTTGTAGAGCGGGATGTAACCACCGCCATCGCTCATGACGGACATTGGGGCGCGAGCGCTGCTGCCCTCGGTGCGCAGCTCGCCGAGCTCGGAGTCGGAGTCGGGCGCATCGTCGTCGTTCTTCTTGAAGGCGCTTCGCATAGCGAGCCGGCTCAAGAAAGATGTTCCCTTCCTACAGCCAAGAATGTTAGCAGGCGAGCAAAGACGGCGCCAGGCGCAAACCTACTTTCGGTCTCTGGGGAAATCGGCGAGGCCATTTGCCAAGCGGGTAGTATTCTCTATACTAATGCTCTTCTTAGGGAAGCTTTCGGCGGTTGGGCTATCGGGCTTGGTAGAGCCGCGCAGGCGTTGCGCGAGGGAGGTTTCGAGGGTGCCGCTATTGGTCCTGAGGAAGATTTGCTTGAATCATGTCTCTGTCAGTATCTCACGTGGGCTTCATCCAACCACAGCCAGGGAGAGGCGAGGCTGAAATACATACATTGCTCAACGGGTCTAGGGCGGTTGCGGCTGGCGGGGTTGAAGACATGGTTCTAACCGACACACCCTTGGCTTCCTTTTCCTTTCCATTTTGTAGTTGCTGCGTCGGAGTCCGGGACAGCAGAGTCGTGGATCGCTTTGCGATAGGCAGAGGCTGGGACTCAGCGTTGCCGGACGATCCGTTGGTGGGATTTCTGGTGCTACCGTCCTTTCTCGAGGCCAATTGGCTGTCGCCCACGTCCACCGGCGATGGTATTGGAGGAGGCATATTCCATGCTGTGAGTACAACACGGCTCTATGGCAGGCGACAACTCGACGGAGAGTCGTAACAGCCCGAGGCGAGAGTCGCAAAGATGAAGGGATCCGAGCGGGAAGAGAAACACGGCGGCGATGCGATGCGAAGAAGAGAAGGGAAGCGGAAGAGGAAGCGGAACGAGAGGCTGACAGGATCTGACCGAGCCTTGCGGCAAAAATCGAAGCGAGTCGAGTCACGAGCTGACCGGCCAGATGGTCAACAGCAGATGCAAAGCCAGAAGCAAAGCAAAGCAAAGCAGCTCAGTGAGGGCAAAGCAAACGGACTACGGACAACGTCAGGCCCCGAGTGGGCCGACTAAGCTTCTTTATAAGCGGAAGGCTTACAGTACTTGTATAGCGCCCCTAGAAATCGCCAATCCAGTCCGCAGGCTCCGGATACCTGGTCAGGGCCTGGCCGGGCCTGGAGAATGCGAGAATTGCTGGAATAGGGCTTGGCGGGTTTGCGCGCCTAATTTGCTGGATTAGTCCAAGGGCAGCGCGCGCAGGCCGAGGATTCGAGATGAAGTGAGGCGGCGGTGGAGCAGAAGAGAGGCGAGAGAGACGGTAGAAGTAGAGAGGCTCCAGGGGGGGGGGGGAGTGGAGGAGGATCCTGGCAGCTGAGATATTGGAGGATGGAAGGATTGGAGATGCAGCAGCAGCTGGGGGGTGAGATTCATGTATGAATGATGTATGATGGTATGAAATAACAACCAGCTGGTGAGCGAGAGAAGATGAAGAGGATATTAAAGGGTCCTAATGAAATGAAAAAAAAAAAAAAAAAAAAACCTGACAGAAGAAAAAAAGCCACTCCCCCCCAAATCCGAGTACGAAGACTGGAAATCAACGGTACAGTGCTCAATAGAAGCTGCCGTTCTTTTTCTCTCTCCCAAAATCTCGATTCGTTAGCGCGTCAGTGCCTGTTGCTGGTACCCGCTGCCAAGAAGACGCAAGTACCCAGTACGTGTCGCTCGTCGCATGATGACGCAGTGGCCCGCGGTTGCGCCTCGTGGAGGATCCAAGGATGCCTTGGCCTGGCGGTACCGGTACATGTCATCCCCTGTGTGCCTTGAAGCTGCGTGCATTGGCATTGGTGAAGGATTTCTAGAACGGTACCTAGCGACTTGGAAGTGAGCATTTTCGGAGTCCATTGCACCGTTTTGACTCGGAGCTTGTGTGAGAATCTACAGCATTCACAATGTCTCGCTCAGTATTCAGTACATCAACGCCAACCTCAACTTTGTCACTTTTCCATCTTTCTCTTCCATTTCTCCTGCACGATCCCCATCCGGCTGCAGCTTTCCTCTGATGCCTTGCATGCATTTTGATTGACCCCGATTATACGCGTAAAGGTCGGATTTCTAGTGGATGAGAAGCAACGGCTTTCAGAACTTCTCGGACTAAAAAATCCCATCCAGCGTTGTATGCGCACTGCCTCGGTCCGATCATTTCAGGTCTCGTTATTTCCCCCCCGCCAAGACCCAAGGCCCGCTGACCCTGAAGAAAGTGTCAGAGTTAACGAGAACGAGTACCAGGGCACGTTCGGCGGTTTCTTCCATCATAGGTACGAGATGAGAGGCATTAATGACCACTGCCAATACTTGTAATACGAGTATACGTATAATAAGAAGAGATCCTCCCAATGTACTGGTACCTGCAGGGAATATTCCGTACAGGTTTCTATGGAACTCGCCACTTTTTGTTCCTCGCTCATCGTTCCCGGCATCTGATCCCCCTTCCATGATGTCAATGACTCGACAACTCCCCGATCCCTCTCCAACTCTCCTCCCAACACGGAAAAAAAATCACTCTCACCCGCTCACCACCGAACCAACACACATGTCAATGCAGCTGCATTCCAATCAACCAATATTCCTCGGCCGTCTAGCCGAGAAGAGGGTGTCCACAGCTGCCTTATGGGGCAACCGGCCAAAAAGACGCAATGCCGGATGTGCATTGGCTTCCCAACGGCCGCGATAGCAAACCTCCGTGCTCCGTGTTCCGTATCTGCTCTGCTCTTCCGTTTAGTTTCATTCTGCCTGCCTATTGTTCCATCAAATGCCTAGATCCGCGTCTCCTCGGTTTCTAATCTAGGGCCGCTTTAGCCTATGCAACTAGACAGATGCTTATAGTCTGCTGGTATGTAAAAGCAGGCATTCCCCATTCTCTACTGCTGACATCCATCCCGTGTCAACTCGTAAATGACGCCGCTGTTGGGCTGCTTGCGCAAGCGCCAAGGCCTCGAATCGAATCGACAGCTTCTTCCGGCAACCTGCGCTAGATGCAATATGGAAGCTTTCGAGCGCGCATACTAAACAACGTGGACACGGGCGGGCGCAGTCAGTCAATGTCAAACAATCATCAAACGCCATCACTTTGAAACAGCGTCTGTGTGCTGAAACTGGGGCACCACTGCATGTCAGTGAAATCCCAAATAAACCTCATATTAAATCCCCTATAGCCTCATAAATACTCCGTAAAGTATGTAGTCAATCCCATCTCAACGTCTATGAAGGGGCGGAGGCGCAGACCTCGTACCTAAAGTAGGCATTCTATTATAAGGTTGTGGGGAAGCCAATTTTAACATCTGCATCCCGTCAGCGATTGGGCCGGTATTAGCAAGCGAATGCGAGGTCAACTAGTAGTGACATACGTATTGGACATGAATAGCAAAAGTCTACAGTATGTTTGATTGATGTACTCAATGTCTGGTTACATGTAGCATCACCAACCAAAGTATTCGCCACCTTTCTTCAATGCAACGCAAGCAACTTATTCCAGGCCAATCCAAATGCTTCCCGCAAGGCTCGCTGCAAGGCACTCTTCCTTCATGGCCCCAATGCATCCCCCTCACCTTGTACTCCGTAATGACCCAAGTGGCCAATTGACGTGCATTCAGCCTCCAATGGGCATCATGCAAGGCAGAGCCGCAAATCTCTCGTAGTTTATGCTTGTTCCCTTTTCAATATGTCGGAGATTCAGCACTTTGTTCAAAGACAAAGACAACGTCTGTCTAATTGACTACCATGGCCGATAGTCCGCCCCACGACATCAGCATGGCTGACTTCGGATCACCTGCTGAAGAGTTGCCCTCCCGTTACTGGCACTCCTCGGATCACGGCACAAGCAGCGGCCTTACCAGCTCTGACGTTGGACTACCCACTGAAGAGTCACCCTCTCATCCCCAGCCTTCTTCAAGTCACGGCGAAAGCAGCGCTTTTAGCGCCTCTGCCAACCCTGACGAGGATTGGACCAAGATCTCAGATCTTGCCGAGCGCAGGAGGGTACAGAACCGCATCGCTCAGCGCAACTACCGTATGTCTCTCTAACACTCTCTTTTCATCTCTGAACACAATACTTTCTCTCTTTTTCTTCATCATTTACTAATAGTCAATTACAGGCAGAAGGCTTAAAAATCGTCTAGAAGATCTTGAGCGCCGCGCTGGGCCAGAACAGAATGATGATGACAAGCAACCTTTGCCTGATAATCATGGTATGGTGGACAACTGCCTGTTTTCCACAACTGCCTCTAACACTTTATTGTCTCTGACCTCCTAGATTGGGATATTACTTCGGTTTACAAACTGGAATCCGAGGAATGGCAGCAACAGAAGCCCATTCCTACAGACTGGAGCCCCGAAGATGACCAGCTGTTGTTGATAGCCTACATGCTGGGCTTTACTTGGGCCGAAATCAGGGATCAATATCTCCAATCCAAGACGCTCAAGGCTTGCGTCGCCCGTCATAGATGGCTAATGGGACTAAATGAAAGGGGAGCCAGCGGCTGGGACTCTTCTAAATTGCAAAACTTGGCCAAGGAGTATATGGGTATGCATGAGGAGATTTGGAGTGGCCTGGCAGCTCGACTTGGAGAGGATTGGAGGGTTGTGGAAGAAAAGGTACGCCCTAAAGCCTCTCAACGGTCTGGATACCGTATCTCACGTTGTTTACATGTAGTTCATGCCCGGCGGACCTCAGAGCGTGGCCACCAATGCAGTTGAGGGTCGAGCACGCATGATCAAGGAGTATATGAGCATGCGTAAAGATATCTGGAGTCCATTGGCAGCTCGAATCGAAGAGGAGTGGAGTGTTGTCGAAGAAAAGGTAAGCCTCCTTGATTTACAGCATTTTCCTCTGGAAAGAGACATCTGCCCAGTGCATGCTTGTACATCAATATATTACCTTGTATTGTCTAGGTGAGGTGTTCTCCATTGCTGATACCAGTTCTATATAAATCTAGTGTATATCCAAGGGATTCGATCGCCTCAAAAGAATCGCCGAAATATCCGAGAAGCGCGAAAAGTTGAAACGGTTAAAAGCTCAAAGAGAACTCAGACAGCTACAACACCCGTCTCCTGATTACACCATGGATTTGCTATTAGATAGACTACGTCAGGGACCATCACATTATCCGGCTAATCAAGGAATGTTGGAAGAAATAACAGAGGCGTCTCCCATGTATGACAAACAACTGTCAAAAGACAGGCAGGGCGACCTGATCTCAGTTACACAGCAGCAAGGTTACCCAGCTAATGAACAAATATCATATCCAGCTGAGAAGCGGATAAGCATGGGGCATACTATTCCGCCCTATGTGAACGACAGACAACCACCAAAAGTCCTGCAGTCGCGTGGTAGCGGGAGTTCAGGTACACGTATAAAGTCACCATTTAGAGCAAAACGCCCAACGTACATGCACTCAGTATTTGCGTGGATAAGGAAAATAGCTAGACCTAGGCTTAAGCCGGGCTATAGAAGGATTGAATGGACTTGTGTAAGTGCCTATCTACGTTAGCAAGATCAACGGAGAATGAACAATTGCTAATTGAAGATCCTTCGGCATTCTCTAGGACTGCGGCGTGGATTTGTACGGCGACTTTGTCGATTCCAAGACATCTGATCTGGACGGCCTGCAAACGTTACTCGACGCTCCTGATGAGGCCACGTCTATAAACAACTCGAGTGATTCAGAGCAGTCGGAAACACAGACCAATCCGCAACACATGGTCTCAAGATCTTCAAGTTCGAGCAGGACAGACTCAAGCAGGGCAAACTCGCACAGGACATCTTTGTCAGCCGGCAGCACTACCGCATCTAGTGTCGGTGTAACTCCGCCCAAGTTCCTCGCTCTCTGCGTCAATACCGGCGGAATGTACAAGACCTTGGCCGAATTAGACATGTCACGTATAAATTCGGACGGAGAGGCCTTTTCGCAGATGAAGAAGGCCTATCTGCAGTATCGGGGCGTGCGTTCCCGCTTGCATTTCCTGGTCAAGCCAGTGACTGTTGAGTTTGTCCGCGTAAGCCTTGACTACTTCTTCAGAAATCTTTAGAGAAACTAACATGAAGTCTTGGAGTTTACACTCTGGAACTTACGGCGTGGCTACGTTTCGGTATGTGATAGGCCCAACTCGATGCCGCCCAACACCTGTATCGACTACGAATTCATACCGCCGCCGATGCCCCCCGAAGTCTTTGTGCATTATCTCGAGCACGGCGACGGCGACCTTAGCCCGAATCGCTACACCTGGCTGCCACGGCTTCCTAAGAGGCGGAACCACAAGGTCGTTGACTGTGGAGAGGCGACCGAGGGTTGGGGCATTCACGTCATTGAAGGACCGAATCGTACGGCTGTATTTTGGATCGTCATGGCTACCATCTCGATTAGTATAATAGCGAGCGTCTTATGGACTACGTTGAAGGGCGATATCCAGGGTGGTATGGGACTCGGAGCTCTCATTGTTGCTTTGCCGCCTGCGATAATGGCTGCTTTTCTCTTTCGGCTGGGGGCAACTTGACAGTAAAGCTGGTAGATGCATCTCCAACTACTGGATCTATCTCTATTTACTACACCTATCTCTATTTACTAGGTCTATCTCCGGCTACTAGATTTATCTCCAGCTACTATGTCTACTTAAAAAAGTATTAAATCGTAAGATTCTTTATTTATTTAAATTCTAACATAATGGAAAAATGGCTTTTATCCTTCATTGCATCATTCTCATCAAAAAGGACTTGATCCGTGATGTTATACCAAGTTGGGATTCTTTCTCGTCCAGATATGCCACCACCGTAGAAAAATATTCGGAATTTACTGGATGGTCCATTAAATATTCTTGAATCTCCCTTTTTAGATTGCGGAATTCGTGATTCCATATATTCGTTCTCCATCGATGTTGATAAACTTCATGGTTAAGTAGATACTTGACGGTAGCTAATCTCTGGTCGCAATAGGCTTTTGGAATGGAGGTGTCCACATCCGTAGAGCAACCAAAAATTGTCTTTCGAACAAGATATAAAGAGCCTTCGCAAATCCTTGATGGGAAAAGGTTCGAATTTGCAGGTGCCACAGCTTGAATATATGGCAGAATGGCGAAATGGGCGGCCAAATCCAGGAAAGAACGGGATGTGGGGATTAAATCGGATATTGCGCGATGGGTAAGAGGACCGAGAAAATCATCCCTTCTTTCATTCAAGAAAGAACTAAAGATTGATTCAAACCGTTTATTGATCAAGCACAAGTAGTCGCAAAATTGTGCTTGATTCTCTTGAGTAGCTTTAACTTGACTAGCGCGTCTTAATATGTCTGTGAATGCCGTCAAGCTTTGTATCTCTCTCGAAAAATACCGTGGCAATTGGAGGGCCTCTCCTTTCAGGATATATAAAAAAGGATCAAATTGTCGAGTAGATTTCAAGCATATCGACCGCCATACATTAGGCTGAAGTGCCCAATCTCGGGCAGTGCGATGGATGAAATCGACAAAGGAAGATTTTCCGCCTTCATTGATTTCCAAAATGCATTTGGTACGAGCCGCAAGTTTCCTTTTCAAAGATCTCTGAGCCGCCAACATCTTTTCCTTTTGAAGTGGAAGGCTGATATCGTCTATTGTGGTAAACCTCGATTCCTCAATCAGCCACATCGTCAACCAAGGAAGTGGACCATCAAAAGCTTTCAGCACTTGTATCATATATGACGCGTCGGGAAGATTTTCAGGGCGAATGCCATCCCAGATAGCATCATACAATGATGAGATATCCGTAGGGAGGTCTTCTAGGATTTGTCGAGCTTGGGATACTGATTGTCCATCAGAAAAACAGCTGGATAGGTGTTGTACAACTATGGAGACCCATAAGAAGACTCCGTTGGCTCTTTGTACAATGTCTGTGAGTAGCTGAGAAACCGCCTCGGGGTGTAATTCTCTCTGTTCAACAAGGCCTTTATTTATTTCGAAATTCTTGTTGACGAATGTTATCATGTCGTTTTCCGTTAGTAGATGCATTTGAAGCATTGGACCCTCTGTAAATACATCCAAAAATTCTGGCCAAGGTCGACTGGCAGCACAAACTTTCAGCCCATGGGGGCATCGTGCCATCATATGTTGAATGCATTTGATGACCTCGAAAGGCGGTGTGTCGAATTCGTCAAGCCCATCAATAAATAAAGCAAGTTTGATCGTCTCTCCGCACAATGATAACAATGCCTCAAACGATTCCTCCACCTCCCACGCAGTCCACTCGGGAAGCCCTGAAGTGCTTCTCAGTATTTGACAGAAGGCCCAACGCCTTGGTACCAATACCGGCGCCAAATCAGGAAATTGCACCAGTGTCTGGGATATGACTGTCCTCTTAAGGCCTTCAAGAGACTTCTGCAGTGTAGTACCTCCGAGCCACGCGTAGTATTTGACGAGAAGAAGGCGCAATGATCCAAGCTGCTGCGATAACATATCTCCCAAGTCAACGTGCTGCAATATGAGTTTCATCATAGTGGATTTGCCAGAACCTGGCTTGCCTGTGATCCAATAACTTTTGTTGGAATCATCTCCGAGCCAATTGGGAAAACTATCCCACATTGACTTATCGTCTTTCTTTGGAGGCTCGCTCTGGAATATCCAGGAATAAGTATCCATAAAAGTATTTGAGATGGCGTTTTCGCGTGTCTGAAAATTGTGAAATTGAACCCCGGTAGCTATAGCATGCGCAACCGTTGTAGTGTCGATCTTGGCTGAAGCAATGGAAGTATCCAATTTCCAGTCATTCTTCCAGAGAATCTGAACAAGATCCACGCGGATTACATTCCTTGCCTCGCCATTATTTTGAAGGCATGCATTCATGCTCTCTGCGAGCCGCTTCAGCGTTACTGGTCCCTTTCCACGTTGAATGAACGGCTGAAGAGCATTTCTCAGCCTGGCCGTTTCTTCATCCGCAACTGTGGAGGTGACTGCGTCAGAATTCTGGTTATAGTTTTTGCGATGTCCCACTTCATAGAATTGATCTTGAGTGGCCGTCTTCTGCTTTGATAACGTTGATTCCAGACGGTTGCTGGTTGTCGTTACCTCAACGCTACCAAGCAATTCGATAAGCTGATCTAGCTGGCTACTAAAGTGCCATTCCCATTGCTTAGTGCGCTTTGAGTCATCCCTAAAAGTTACGTTTGTAAGTTAGCTTCTTGCATCCTGGTAAACTTTGACAAGGACATATTGCTGACTTTCACTAGAAAGGAAAGCTAGACATTACACAGATAACGAACGGATGTATGAGGACAGAATGGAAAGCCGCCAAGGGAACTCACCAAAGAGATAAAATTATGAAATCAATTATCTCACGCTTAAGAGGGTCCATTTTCTGCATCATGGCCTCAACGCTCTCTTTACTTTTTCGGAATTCATGCTGTTCTCGTTCCATCTCTTTTCGGCACTCTTTGCAATCTTTTTCTTGCACCTGTCGTCGTAATCTGCCTCCAGCATGCTCATTTTTATGAATCTCTGATTTCATTTCCCGGCTGGTAGGTAGCTTCATATGATTTTCAATCTGCTCAAAATCTCCTGCAAGCTCGGTGCACCTATCCGATAGCGCCATCAACTGTAGATGTGTTGGTGTCGGAGATTGAGAGACGGCTTTACTTGTGGAAACTTGTCGGAACCAAGAAATCTGATCTGATAACTCATCAAAGATTTTTCTCAGTTCTCCTTCTGCCGCCGCAAGCTTCTGATGGTCAGGTACGCTCTGTTGTATTTGTTTGTATTTCTCCCAGCCTTTAACGCAGAGCTTCCCCCCAAGTTCTAAGAATTGGAACACAGCGGCTGCTATTGCCAAGGCGCTCAAAGGATCCATCTTTGCGAACAATTATCTGCGTTTGATAAGCCAAATTATAGATATTTAGGTAGCGATATGGCAGGTATCAAATATTTTAAGAAATCTTTTGAGGGAAAAGGTTAATGGAGGATGAAAACCAAGAATTATGGTGCTATATTAAGAGGCATTGGTTTTATGTACAATATCAGGCAGCCTCGTTGGGCATCCACGCATTGTCAGCCACCCAATTATATCAAATTGATATCAAGCGAAACCCTAAGAGATAGCTGACCAAACAACTTCGCTTTCACCGAAATACCTACCATCCAGAGTTGCATGCGACCATGTTCCATCTGACGTTGTTCTGGGAGCACCCTAAAACTAGCGAGATTCGTCGCTGTGAAAACAATCTTCAAGGGGATCTATGTAGTAGCCAAATACGAGCGTGTGGCGGCTTTCTCGCAGTTATTTGGCTTAAAATTCCATAGCAGCCTCTTCTCCATTCTAGGGCACATCTTGTGAAGAAACGTCGTGACGCGGTACAGGCTGATAAGGAACCTAAGGGATTATGAACATGACGTGGTGATATGATAGACAAATCAATATTTGCTTGATAATCTGCCGAAACGATATTAAGCCCCAGAATAAACTCGGGTAGGAAATAGATACAACATCAATACACTGTGGTGTGTTGTTTCGCGACATGTAGACAGGCTATCCGATGCTGGAGATCCACGTCCAGGTACTTGCAAATGCTAGATCCTCAGCGGTTCCACAACGAGAATTCAGCAAGAATGTAACTTTTATTAACAACATCTGCACTATCATTTGCAAGTATTTTATGAAACTATAAGGATTTGATGCTAGAATGTTGCCGTTGACAACCTGGAAAATATGTTACAGCCCTGTAAAGTCAACGTCATTAGTGGAGAACTCTAAACATGTGCCTGTAGGCAGCGATGCAGCGCCACTGAAGCTTATCAGCGCGATAAGAATCTTGAACCTTTGCCTTTTAATATCGGCTTGTCCCATGTCAGTCATCAAAACAAAAAACATTCCCTCACCTTGTATCGAATCTGCTTGCGCATCAACCAAACCGACCCATAGCCCGTCTTTGATTGCAGATTCACCATGAAGCTCGTTTCGCGACACATTCCCAAAGAGTTTGAGGACGAGCAGGTCTCGCTCCTGCCAGAGGATCCAGAGGACATGGTCAGTCGCATCATCATCATCCGCCCCGCCAGTTCATGTGCGATTGAAGCCATCACGACATGAACAGCAGCAGCTAACAGCGCATCTACCCGCAGTGGCACGCATACAACCTGATAGTCCCCGGCGACGTCGTCCATGCGCACGCCATCCGAAAAGTCGTCAACATCAACCCCGGCACCGGCGTGCCAGCAGCCGAGCGAGTCCACACGAACCTCGCCATCCGAGTCAAATCCACCTTCTTCGATCCCGCCGTCTCCTCTCTCCGCGTCTCTGGCGTTGTCGCCGCCGAAAACGACCATGTCGCCATGGGCGCCCATCACACGCTCGACATTGAAATCAACAGATCTTTTACCGTGGTCAAGCCAGACAGCTGGGACAGCGTCGCAAAGGCCACTCTGGCGCAGGCTCTATCAGACGACAAGAACGGCGCCATGGCTGCGGTGGTGATGCAGGAAGGTCTCGCCAACATCTGCCTCATCACACAGTTCCGAACCGTCCTCAAGACCCGAGTGGAGAGCGTAGTGCCCAAGAAGCGCGATACGGCCTCAGATCAGGACGCAGGCATGCGAAGATTCTACGACAAGACGCTATCATCATTACTCAGAGCAGTCGACTTTTCCGAGTCAAGACCTCTACTATTAGCAAGCCCCGGGTTTGTTGCGACGGATTTTAAGGAGTACATTGCGAAACAGGGCCGCGACAAGTCAGACAAGGTGCTTACAGCCGTGTCAAGACAAGCAACAGTAATACACGCCAACTCGGGACATGTGCACAGCTTAAACGAGGTGCTCAAGAGTCCCGAGGTTCTGGCCAAGATGAAGGACATGAACTACGCAAAGGAGGCGCAGTACATGGACAACTTTTTTGATTTGCTCAAGCTCGACGATGGACGCGCATGGTACGGCAGCAGGGCGGTGGAAAAGGCCATTGCTGACGGCGCAGTCGGGCCTGGAGGAGGAGTGCTATTGATCAACAACTCCCTGTTCCGAAGTCAAGATCTGGCGACACGGAAAAAGTACGTTGCGCTGGTGGACAAGGTCAAGCTGGACGGTGGCGAGGCACGGATATTAAGTAGCGATCACGAAAGCGGACAGCGCCTCAAGATGCTGGGAGATATTGCGGCCATATTGAATTATCCCATGCACGATCTTGACGAGGAGGAGGAGGAGGAACAGGCAGCAGAACAGACGCCTGATAGACGGAATTACGAGGATGAAATAGACATGTTAGATAGCGTTATTTAGACGAGATTGGATGAATAAATACAAGTGTAAAAAGACCGATAAGAGAGAGTTCTGTTTGCGATATGACCGTATATATTTGCCGATGCTTACTGAGGTCTGAGTCAACAGCCTCCTCCATTTGCCGAACAGAGATAGCCTTACCAGTACCGCCTATCCATTCATGTAAGGAATTAACGCATGGAATCAATGCCGTCGGCGAGCGAGTTTCGCCGCTCTCGCGCCTCGGCGTTCATGTCGACGATTAATCATGCGTTCCCTCCAAAACGGGAGAAAAGATGCCACAAACTCCGGCCGTTGCGCATCACATTGTGGGACTTGTGTCGATGGTGAGCTAATGAGAGGTTTGGAGTTGCCCCTCATGGATTCCGTGACCCCTCAATAGCGTGGTTGACATCATGCAATGGAAATTGTTTATAAGCCACCTATTGCGTTCATCTTGAGTCTTTTTTTCCTTTCGACTTGTAAACTTGGAAACTTGTTTTAGGAAAAAATCCATCGTCAACATCGACACAATGGCGCAGAAACTCACGTTGCAGTCGGTTGTCAAGCTCAACTCGGGCTATACCATTCCCCTCCTGGGCTTTGGAGTAAGTTCTCACTTCTCACTGATGAATGCTGTGCCCCTATCAAACTTGCCCTACGCTTGCCGATATGGTGCTTACAAGTGCGCTTTTAGGTCTACCGAACGTATGTCACTCGTCGATATAGTGCATCTTGTAATGGGTGATTCGTATTGACATCTTTTGTAGAGAGGCGAATGCTGCTACCGAAGTCTGCAAAGAGGCCTTGAGAATAGGGTACAGACACGTACGTGCAGCCTTTTTGACGCACAACCGAAATACTTCATCTCTCCAATACTCACCCGTGAAATAGATTGACTCTGCTTCTGGATACTACAACCAGGGCCCTTCTGCCGCAGGCATTCCCGCCTCCGGCATCCCCCGCGAAGAAGTCTTCTTCACCACAAAGGTCCCCGTGCAGGAGAAGCCCCTCGGATACCAGAACACCCTCGATCTGGTCGACATTGCCCTCCAGGAGACTAAGCTGGACTACCTTGACCTCGTCCTGATTCACGCTCCCTACGGCGGTGTCGAGAACCGAAAGGGTGCTTGGAAGGCCCTCGTCGAGTCCGTCGAGGCCGGCAAGGTTCGCTCCATCGGTATTTCCAACTATGGCGTGCATCACTTGAACGAGCTGGAGGAGTACATCAAGCAACTCGAGTCCGAGCGAGGCGGAGCCGGCAAGGGCGGAGTGATTTCGGTCGGTCAGTGGGAGATTCACCCCTGGCTGCCCAGAGACGACATCGTGCAGTGGTGCCAAAAGAGGAACATTGTCGTCCAGGCCTACTGCCCGATTGTCCGCGGTGAGCGGTTCGGCGATCCCAAGGTTAGCGCCGTGGGTAAGAAGTACGGCAAGTCGGAGGCGCAGGTTCTGCTGCGATGGAGCTTGCAGAAGGGGCTTGTTCCTCTGATCAAGAGTGTTACGCCGAGCCGGATTGCGGAGAATGCGGATCTGTATGACTTTGAGTTGACGGAGGAGGAGGTCAAGGATTTGACTACGACGGAGTATAGCCCTTGTGCTTGGGATCCTACTGTTGAGCCTTTGGACAGGTAAAGCAAAACCATGTGTAAAGATATCTTTATCTGCTTGATTTAGGCACATGAAAAAATGAGTGCTCTCAAAAGAAACAAACACGTTTATCTATGAAGCGAAATCGAAGCGAAATCGAAGCGAAATCTATGCAGAACTAGGCATTTGTCCCTTCTCTCTTGGTCGTTCTTCGGAGATGAGTTTGCATAATATTGTTATAGTTGCTATACATTCCTAGAGCCTCCGCGTTTTGTTTGGCAGCCAATAATTACGAGACAAGTAAGTCTTCACAGATCCAGATTACACTATGCATGGTGTCGGAGAAACCCGCTTAGGGCATTCAATCCTCTCGTTGTCGCTTCAGCCTCTTCGTCGTCAGTCAGTGGATTGCTATCCACCCTCGCGACCCCTGTTACTAGGTATCTCTTGGCAGATGATGTCCCCCTGCGTTCACATTGCTGTTTGAATAGCGACTCTGTATTGCGAGTTCTTGTATAGCCTTCAGGTTGCCGGAAACTTATAGACGGCCTATCACGCGCCCGTGTATAGCCATCAGGTTGCCGTCGGTTTCGAGACTGCCTATTACGAGCTCGCCTATAATAACTTTCAGGCTGCGGTCGGCCTCTAGGGTCGTCGTCGATAAGACTGGTTTCGCGCTCACGCCGTAAATATATCTTTTGAGATCTGCTTCGCGCCGTTGGTCTGGAGACTTCCTATCACGATTTCGTATGTCGCCTTCAGGTTGCTGTTCATCTGAAGAGTGGCTATTGAATCTATATTCTAGGTCACGCCGTAAGGTAGAACGTTGGTAAGCCTCTTCGAGCTGTTGAGCTCGAGACCGTCTTTCAATTTCGGATGAGGAGGTTTCATGTTGCAACTGACCTAGAGACTGTCCATTGAGAACACCTGTGGAGGGTTCAGGCTGTTGTTGATCTGGAGGCTCTTTATCGAAAATGCGTGTGGGGATTTCAAGTTGCTGTTGGTCTGGAGACTGTCCATCGATAACACTTGTGGAAGTTTCGTGTTGCTGTTGATCTAGAGACGGCTTATCGAGAACATCTGTGGAGTCTTCAGATTTCTGTTAGCCCTGAGACTGACCATCGAGAACACCTGAGGATGGTTCAGGCTGCTGTTGACCCGGGGAATCTCTATTGAAAACTCGTATAGAGGGTTCAGATTGCTTTTGGCTCAGAGGCCCAGGCGATGAGCTTACAGCTTCATCCCGAGATACCGTATTGCTGGCGGTGTTTCCTCCAAACCTAGTGTTGATCATCTTCGCCAACCAAGACCTCGGAGCGTTCCAATTTATCCCCCTGTCGCTGCTTAACTGGTCTCTTTGTTGCTTTTTTTTTTGGCTTACGAGATTGTAGATAGTCTGTAGCGCGATTGGTGATGAAGACAGCCCCGACTGTTGCGATGAGGGTTGATAAAGCCACCGGGATATACCATACAGCTGGTGTTGTTATAGTTTCATGCCAAATATACTCTATATCCACCATTCTTTTAGCTCATACGCGAATGAAGTGTGATTCGTTGAGAGCCAGAACATACAGCAATAAGTGAAAGAAGGAGAAAGACAAAAGCAAGCGCATTTAGACGCATTACTGTCTGACTTTGGCCTACTGTCTCGAGATTAAACGTCTATTGAAACACTAATTAGCCCCCTGTCGACTTTGAATTCAAGTATCTCATCTCACCATGCTGAGGAGGTTCCGTTGCTGCTCCAAGACCGTAACACATGTTAGTTGATAAAGATCAAGCAGCTCCGCGACTTCCTTTAGCCGACGTTTCATTAGCCCAAAGGCTGGGTATGGATAACGCCTTTCTTTGGGAAGGGCCAGTTGAAACGCCTTCAAAGCTGCTGCGTGCATTCTCAGGCATTCCTGTAGAGCCAGAGTTGTGGAAGCATCCCGATGAAGCTCTCGAGTTTGATGAAAGATGGGCGACCGAGCGCCGGAGTTGAACAGGTCCTAGGATAGTCCACATCAGCCTGAGATTTCAGTATCAGCAAGCCATCATTGTCAATGTACCCGCTCTTTACTCTCGAGATGGAACCTCACAACCTCCAATGTGCTATCCCAATTGGTAAAAACGAAGAAAATATCGGGGTAAATCCAGTATGGGCATTCGTTAAGCCTCTTCCACCTGCGTAGGTCAACTGAATCATAATGCCGAAACAACCTATCAGAAACAGAAGCTACTGCTCGTTGCGGAACTGGGGGGAAAGCGTCCACCCATACCGCTACCTAGTCCTCTGTCATGTTCCACTCTAATGAAGCTATCTCAAGATGTCTTGGAAGAGGAGACGCACCGGTATACGCTGAGCCTCCCATAGTCCTAGCCGCATAGATCCTTGCGAGTACACTCGGCGGGAGTATCTGCAACGTCAATATTATCCATGACATAACAACGGCCTAGCGCAGTGACATGTGAGCTCTCTCCCTGCCAAATAAGCATACCAAGAACGGGAGCTTACTTTCGCTGTCGATGTCGTCACCGAACACTGGGAGCATGGCGTGCTTCAATCCTCCATTGACTTCGTGCAGTAGTCTCACAGGGAAACTTGGAAAGGCATCAATGAGCGATTCAAATGCCCACTTGTGCCAGTTTTCGATAAATCTATGATATGTAATCAGCTCCGACATGCTTTGTGAACGGGCCAAGGAAATTCGCTCATACAAGAGGACAATTCCAATAGATTCAGCCATTCCATGTTCAAGAAACACTGCAAAATCTTCCATATCAGTTTCTGTGAAATTCCTTGTATGGAGCTGCAACCGTTTCGCCCCCCCGAGCTCAGCTGTGACTGTTGTAACCATGACGCAATGAGACACGTCGATTGGGGGAATATTTAATTGATGATCTGAATTTGAGTCCATCTCGTGTATTGTAATCACAGCAGTATCCGAAAAGGTGAAGCCGTGTCTGATAATGCCATATGGGACATCAGTATGGCATCACCACTGTTTCTCCTAGCGGGCTCAGCACCTACATGTATGTATCCAAGCACGCGGTGTGGCTATTTCAGCAGCTCCGCTTTCAGAATTTTTGGCTAGGGCATATTCATATTATTAGATATCCCAGTATCTTTAGGAACAGCTTCACGCAGAGCCTTGATAGTATGTAAGTGGGAAAGGAATGAGATCACTCTTGTTGAATTCGTTATCTATGTATTTATATGCAGTCTAATAAATATATATATATATATATCAAAAACGAGGCTCGTGCCCAATGGAAGTTTAAACTACTATACATGCACATATCTATGTACATTACCATTAGGCGCCGGAAAAGTTTGCGGTGAGAGTCAACCTTTTGAGTGCTGTGTAATAATGGTGATACAAATTGTTGGTAGGGGCTCTGGCAATGGTTCTTATACCTCTGCAAAGCCCAGGTGGTTTTTTTTGGCCGGGCTCTTCATCAGCACTCGTAATGTTACCGGTATAAGACCAATGACCGCAGCGCTGACCAAGTACAGTCCCTGTGGCTTCTTTAGTACTGAGGAGGCTATGTTGGGGAGTCTATGTACATGTATGTTGAGGAGACCCAAATCCACCCAACCAGAAATGTTCGTAGATACATACATGTGTATATGCTGTTTCAGCAACGTGTATTGCTGCCTAAATCTCTACGATGCCTAGGTCACATATACCCAGATAGATGAGAATTCGGTGGCTGAGCATTGCGTCTACAGCCTTGGGCATTTGACACACCGCTGCTATAATATTGGCTTGGATGGATTGTTGCCAAAACCCTTAACCACGTGCACAATAAGAAAATCTGATAAAGACATTAATAATATCGCGTGCAATATTGGAAGCTAATTTCCGCGCAGCCGTCGTTTTCAGGCTTTATTTTATCGTGGGCCCCCAGAGGCCTTGCAAGCAGCAATCAGTTCTACAGTCGCAACCAGTTTCACAGCAATAATCAGTTCTGCATATGCAACCACTTCTAACGATCATAACCGATTATATAGGGCAAGTATATTAATACTATGCAAATGATCCATGTTCATTTGTGGTGGAGATTATAGCAACCTAGGGACATGTTATGCTGTAGAAAATAATGTAGCAGCGGTGTTCAATTATCGCTCCCCTTTGGGTTTACTTTGAGCTTTAAACACATATCCTGTCAATGATGAGTGAGAGTATATACAGTATCTTCAGTACTTGGGCTTGATTGTGCATAAATCTATGTCTACATGATTTACACAAATGTGAAGCGTTCGTTTCAGAGAGAACTTTGAGTGTACAGAGGAGGAGGTTAAGGATCTGACGACGACGACAAAGTATATCCCTTGTGCTTGGGATCCTACTGTTGAGCGTCTGGACAGGTGAAGCAGACACTGATGAGCTTTGTGCGCAAATGTTCTCGACTATCTGCCTTGACCAAATGCGAAGTGCGGAGGTTTCAGAAAAGAGTAATGTTTAGCATTTACAAAATATAAGCTAGTCAAACTGAGGATGCCGTGTTTTCTCCTTGCCTTTCCATTCCTCAGGGATACAATTCTCAAAATACAGATATACTCGTTGCATCCTTTTAAAAATTCTCTGCAAATTGAAGGTGACTATTAAAGTCGCCAAAGAAACAGCGACTGCTGTCCGAATGAATGGCATCTTTGTGCTAACATCTGTCATATTTGGGATTGACCAAAGCGCCTTACATCTGTATCAATAAAAGCTCAATGGTTATTGGTTTTATCAAAGAGTTTGAGTAACTCACGGCGCAAAATCCCAACGGAAGGTAGAAAATGCTCACGTATGTAAGTAGCATCACATTCTGTCCGAGGTTGGTTGAGAGCCTGGTTTCGTGAATCGAAATCCACGCAAATTCCTATAACACATTAAGACACTTCTTCTCTTGAGAAGATATGGCTCCACTTACAATCTGGAGGAGATCTCTGACTGTTCGATCTCGATCCTTTTATTTATTTCGGTCTTAAATTCATCCGTTAGAAGAGTTTGTAAAGCTTGTGGGATTGTATCTGCGTTGAAGTGAACACAATAATGTTTCATGAACCTCTCTGCCTCAGATGTATGATTTACTAGAAGACTGTGAAGCTCCGCTAGTCTTTGTGCGTCTTTTGCGAGACAATCTGTTATTTCGGAGTTTTTGCCCTTTGATTTCAATTGCTTGAGCCGCTATTCAACACGTTAACATTTTTTAATGTTTCAGAAATAGAAAAATACCAGAACATACCATTTCAGACAAATATCTACCGAAATCCTCACATAACTCCAACCATTGGTTTTTCACATGTGTAATGAACTGCTGAAACAGAGCCGTACCGTCTTCTGGAATCCATCCGTAAGGAAGTGTGCTGAAGTATACTATTGAAGTCCAGGCGTTGCTTGGATTTTTCGGTTTTATAACTCTCCACATGACTCTACTCAGCTGATCGTAATCATTATTTGAGGGTCGGCCATCATCCAAGTATTGTCTTATGGATAGCTGTAGGGAGACACATATATCCCATGTTTCATCGTTTCTTCTATCGATGGCTGTTTGCAAAGCATTTTCCACTGGAGTAGCAGGCATAGGTATGCCCCCTGGTAGTCTCCACCAAACCGAACTTCCCGAGTCATCCGTGAGCAAGCTTGGAACGGTTAGCAATACGCCAAAGAAACATAAGCATGAAAAAGTGTAAAACAGTCTTACTAGAGATGACTTCCTAATTTATCAAACATCTTCGATAATTCTTCGTTTCTTGGCAATACCCGAGGGAAATCAAGATATTGTTCTCCGTCAGGTGTTTTAGACAATAGGATAGTTTCTTTGTTCTCCTTTCCATGTGCATCACGCCACTCCGCGGCCATGATTCCCTCTGTATATGCTTTATACTTGAGAAATTCTTTGATAACGTCACCATGTTTGTGTTGAATTGCAAGGCGAAGCGGAATTTGTCCATAATTGTCTTTAAGGTTGATTTTTGCTCCTTGTAATATCAGAGCTCTTGCAATGCCCAGATGTCCTCGTTGGGCCGCTAGGTGTAAAGCTGTTCGGCCGTCATGATTTCTTTGGTCGATTTTAGGTTTAAAGCGCAAGAGCAACTCTATTGCAGTATGTTTCCCGGCTGTCGTTAATAGCAGCAATGTATCGGTGTCCGTGGGTGCGAGTAGGTCCGCAATAGCTTCATGGCCGTTTTCCGCAGCCCACCAGAGAGGCGATTTTCCATCGCTGTCCTTTAAATTTGGATCAGCACCATGTCGCAGCAATATCACTACTGCTTCCGTATGCCCATTTTCTGCACCTCGTGACAATGGTGTTCGGCCCTCTCCATCCCTTAAGCATATATCGGCATTATGTTCCAGAAGTATCTGCACCGCTTCCGTATGCCCGTTCGCAGCGCCCCGTGAGAGTGGTGTTCGACCGTCCATATCTTTGAAGTTTATATCTGCTTTGAATTGCAACAACAGTCCCACCACATCCTTGTGCCCTTTCTCTGCAGCCCGTGAGAGCGGCGTTCGACCTTGGTCATCTCTGAAGTTTACATATACTTCGAGTGGTAGCAACAATGCAGGCGGTAGGGGTGGCGCCCTATCTCTTGCTAATAGAATCTGCAACACCTCTATATAGCTGTTCTCTGCGGACCATGATAGTGGAGTTCGACCAGGGCATGCAGCACATGCCATGGCTAGTGGAAATAGTAGGAAAGCCACCAGGTGATGATACCCGTTGCTTGCAGCTTGGTGTAGAAACTCGTCCATTGAATTTCCATTCATAAGTGAGTCAAAAACATCTCTTGCAACCAACAAATCGACCACATGTTTGTGTCCCTCGCATATAGCTATGTCAAGCACCACCTGCCAGGACGCGCCTCGAATGTTTATGCAGATTCCATCACTTGCAAGCAGCAATTTTATGGTATCCCTTTGGCCAATTTGTGCTGCCAAACTCAATGCTGTATCACCGTTGGCGTTGATTGTATTTATATTAATGTCATTTCTTCCAAGCAGAAGTTTCGACACGCTCGTATGGCCAGCTTGTACAGCTAGATGTAGTGCTGTGTTGCCATTCGCGTCTTTTGCATTTATATCGACATCGTAGCGTCTGAGTAGCAGTTCAACAACCTTGTTTTGACCAGCTTGTGCAGCTTTGATCAAGGCCATGTAACCTTCAGTCCTTGTCGACCTCAAGTCAATTTTATAACTTGCAAGTAGCTGCATTAAAAGGGAATCATGCCCGTTTTCTGCAACAGATACTATTGCTTTGGAAACATAATTCGTCTTTCCACTAGGGTCTATGTCGTCATTTTCAAGTAGCAATTTTACCACATCTTCGTGACCCATATTGGCGGCCCTAGAAACTGCCCGTGTATAGGACTCATGGTCGATAATGTCGCTATATTGAAGTAGTGCCTCGACCACATCTTTGTCGCCATTGTCCGCAGCTTGGGCCAGCGATGTTTCGCCAAATGTATTTCTTGCGTTGATGTCGGCGGGGTCTTCTTCAAGCAGTCTCTTCACTACTTTCTGATGCCCGTTTTTGGCCGCTATAGATAATGACGTGTTCTCGTCCTCGTCCGTGATAGAGTGAACAAGCCCACCCTCTGGACGTTTCTGGAAGACGCTGAAATTTCCACTTGATGCCGCTTGAAGAGGCTCTTCAAAGTTCGTCATGACAATTTTCTTAGTCTTCACATCACAATGATTAACATATAGCGGAAGACGAAGCCAAAAAAGATCTTTAGAAGTTCAGATTATAGCATGAGGTATGTTCATTAGTGAGTCGCACAATTCGGATACGACCTAGGCAGCTGAATAAATAACATTTCTACCGCTCTAGAATTCGGTGAGACGCTGTTATCACCTACGTGGCGTCTCTCTCGCCATGCAGGAAAGCATCCAATTACTTGAAGTGGAGATGATGTCGTGGCCAAAAAGCAGTGGTTTGCAAATGCAAGTGTAATTAAGCCCTTAGTGAGGCAGCTTAGGCTCTGATTTATATTACAGCCCAACATTATGGACCAGGTCAAATTTGGGGGTATATCTACAGCCTTGTGCATTCAAAGCATCAAGTACTATTGCAGAGATGCATCATGCATCCATGGCTCCGGAGGACTCGTGTTTTGTGAATGTTATTTCTGGTGACGAGGGAGCATGGTTCTGATTGTCAGGGCTCATTTCATAACGAGCTTTTCAGAATCTATTTTATCGAAGTGAATGCGTGAGTAGCAAAGCTATCGTGTGAGAGACTGTTGATGGATGGTAGCACCAAAGGCGGGTTAATGCGGCTGCTAACTGTGTGTGCTGGCCGCTGCCTTATACACGGCCTATAGACGGGCAGATTACACCACCAACAGCAATTTAGGCTCTGCAAAGCTTCTGTGTATGCCCAATTCAACAACTTAAAGTACATGCTGAGAATTAATGCAATGAAAACTGCGAAGATCACGTCATCTCCCATACATGAGTGAGATACAAAGCAAAATATGCGAACAGATGTCCAGGCATCGCTCGTATAGCCCTCACGTGACAGCGTATCCGTCTCGCGTTTACAGTTGTCGCGCCCGCTGTAACGCTGAGTGTGAATCTTACCCCGCGACAACATCAAAACAAACCAAAACAACGCAACCATGCAGTGCTTGGAGACGCCCCCGAGAGATTCCGTTCATTGACTCCGTCGCAATTGCCACGATGGTTCAGCGAACCTTCACCATAGTGCCGCCTGCAGGGCCGGCCGAGCGAACCCCCGTCGACAGTCGCCCCATGACCTCTAAACAAGTCCGCAAGGCCTACAAAGAAGCAAATCGTATCCCGCGCGTATCCAGAGCAGAGCAGTTGAGACAGGAGAGAGCCGAGCAGGAGCGCATCCGGAAGGAGTTTGAGAAGGAAAAGGCCGCATTGAAAGCAAAGACGCTCAGGGAGAAGAAGCGCGCAAGGGAGCAGGCGGAGAGGGAAGAGAAGAAGAAGAAGGGTTTACCATTGGTGAATGTCCGGCCAAGCCAAGACACCATTGCTTGGTTTGTGAGAGGAAAGGGAGCCGGTACCAAGAGAGACTGCAGAGGTCAGAATGCTGCGACAACCCCGGTATTGCCTATAGTGGAGGAACCAGAAGAGGACGAAGACGACTTTCCCAGCCCGAAACGACTCTGCAATCAAGAACAGCAAAAGGAAGCAGGCTGCGAGAAAGAAGACTATCTCGAAGAAGAGTTTGAGGGAGGAGAGTTCGAAGAAGAAGACTTCGAGGAACCAGTAGAGAAGAGCGAAGAGGTTTTGCCCGCACTCGAAGAACCCGCTACCAAAATTGACACTACACCAGAGAAGAATCAGCGCACTGCCGAGGAAGACTTCTTGGGGGGTTTCGAAATCATGTCGGACGACGAGATGTCCAGGCTGTCTTTTAACCAAGTGACTACAAAGCCTAGTGTAATCAGCACAGAAGATCGCCTCCCGACATGCCCGGAGGCTACACCAGCGAAACAGGAAAAGGGCCATTCACACCATGAGATCACACTCCACAAACCAGAATCTCCCATCACAATCAAGAACCCTAAACCACTAGCTCTTCCAGAGTTTGACTTGATATCTGATGACGAGGACGATTTGGAACAGGAGATGCTGGCTCTGGACGTTGCCCTGATTTCCCAAAAACAGCTTTCAAAACAGCCCGTGCTGGTACTTGTATCGCAAGGATCTCAGAAGCCGGCTCGCAGTGCAACAGGCTACGAAATGGATCTCGGACTCGCTACTAACCTCCTCAATCATACTTCTCAAGAGAAACGCTCTAAAAGAGACGAGCAAGCGAGTCTTATGCCACCACCGCCGATACCCGCAGCTCCACAGCGCTCACGCTCCCCCATATCGCCCGTCGCTATGAAGCCACAGGCACCTCCTCTGAGCACTCAGCAGATCCTCTTTAACATGGATGATTTCTTCCCTACATCTTCGCAGCAGGCAGCAGAGTTGGAGGAAGAAGAAACCACATTCATCTCCCAACCCTCGAAATCGTGCTCGATGCCTCGACCTCAGGTTCCAAGTCCAATTCCAGAGAAAATACAAACCCCGCACACAGCGTCTTCATCCCCCGAACCACCCAAGCCCTTTTTTACTTCGTCTGGGTCCAATGAGAGATTGGCCGTGGCCCTGCTGCGTAGCCGACGAACAGCAGAGCAAGAGGAAGAACAGAGAAGGCGCGCCCTCCAATTAGAGGCCCTCGAACTCGAAGAAGCCAAGAAGAGAGATTCTGAGCGTCGTGCTCGAGAAAAGCGATTGGCAGACAGCAAACCGAAAACGAATGTAGCTAATTACACACCCACAAGGACAGAGCCACGAGAGAAAGGACAAGCTCCTCGACAAACAAGGCCAGCCGCTGCAACAACGCCGCAGTTTTCGATGAGAAAGGGATTTACAACGAACCCCAACCGCACTCCTGCAAACACATCCGTACAGAGGACTCCTTTGGTCGCATCACGAGCCAACGCCGCTTTACCAACTACGGGATCACGGCCTACGGCTGAGATGAAGAGGCCTCTACCTCTTGGCAATACGCCCCGAAAGCAGTCGACCACTACCACTGTTAAAGGAGCAAGTAAACCACTGCCCCTGAAGGTTCAAATCACAAGACTTGAGACGCCCAAAAAGGTGTCCAAAGAAAAAACGACTTCTCCTGGAATCAGCGAGGCTAAGCACCTATTTGCTTCTCAGGAATCGGAATTCGGCGGAAGCTGGATGGACGAGCTCGCAACGGAGATTGCCCTATAACGTATATATAAACAGATGATACAGCTGCAATGACGGTTACGAGAGACGAGAGACGATATACCCCCTGAATAGACGGCGGATAAGCAGGTACATGGACGGATATGGCGGACTGGGTTGATTTACGCGGGGTTCACGGCGAAAAGGGACTTGAGGCATACTGATTGATATGGCATTGCATTGCGTGGCGGATTTGTGTTTCGTTTTTTTCTTTTCCTTTCTGTAACTATTGCGATTAGCCTTTTATGTATGTAGTACAATTGAGTCTGTTGATAGTGGCAACTTGTAAAATATTGGTCGAGTACGGCGAAGTTTGCTTTTCAATTCACTTCAAGCGCAAACGTACCTGTCTCCTTCGTTATGATGATGCATTGTCTTCAACATGCTTTTAGCCAATGCCCATCTCATCAATACGTTACCTTGTACCAGTATCTGTCGATTCAAACACCTCACAACTCCACAACACCACAGATCCATCTCAACACCATCCAACCAAACATGTCAGTAATCCCACCCCATCCCATCCTTCACATGCAAAAGCTGCATTAGTCCCAAGCACTCCACCATCCCACAAAACTAGACCCAAATCATCCCTCAATCCTATCACGCGCTCATACTTTGTTTTGTTTTGTTTTGTTTTGTTTACATCCCAATCATGCATACACATACATATACACACACATACTATAAGAAAGACGCCCGTTATATAGAGCAGAAGGACTCCTTTGCAAGAGTCCATGCAGTTATTATTTACCTAGAGTTTCCCAATGGGTATCTCCCTCTCTTGCATACTCTTCCTTATCCTCACCCTTATATCAACACCTAGTTTAAAGAAGAAACCCAAAAAAGAAACACCATGAAAAAAAAAACCATCTATGCGCATTCATTAAAAAGAAGAAGAAAAGGGGAAGGAGAGAAGAAAAAAAAATTACTTCCTGCTAAGACCGCCTCACTTTGTTCCTGAGCGTACATTGTGTGTTGTATGTGTGTGTGGTTTTGCTCTCTCTACCAGATCGTGTGTTTAACCCCTCTCCAACGCCGACGAAAAAAAAAGTTATGTGCAAAATGAAGAAAGAAGAAGAAGACAAAAAAAAAAAGGTTCCCTTCCCTGACCCTTTCCTAAACCCCCTTTCCCCCACCCCTTCGCTTATGTACCAGAAACCCTGAACCTTTAAAACGCCGCCCTTCTTTGTTTCCCTGTGCTAACAAAAAAAAAGAAGTAGTAGAAAGCACATGTGATGCTTCTGTGTGTGTGTGTTCTCGCTCATTGTTGATAGAATCCATTTACTCCGTGTTGTTGTTGTTGTTGTTGTGATGACCGAAACCGGGTTTCCATGAATATGCACAGATGGGACATGTGGACCATATGAACAGAAAATGTCTACATCTTGCGGGAGAAACGCCTTTCTCAAAGGAATATGCCGACCCATTCAGTCTTGAGAGCCACCTTGGTTTCGCACCCGTCCACTGCACAGCGAATATCGTTGGGAGTTGTCTTGCCTCCTGGGAAACCAACACCGTCGGGTGCAGTTTTTGTCGGCTTTCTGTTTTCAAAGCATTCGGCACAATAGACCTGTTCCCATCCAGTTAACGAGGCTCATGAAACCTCGGATAAAACAACAACAACTTACGTGACCGCACTTCTTTAGCGCCCAGAAATGGTGCTCTCCAGGTGACCTCTTCCTCTTCTTGGACGGCGTGGACGGTGCATCGGCAGGGTCATAGGCGAGTTCTTCGTTGCAGGCCGGACATACAACCACCATCTGCTCGGTCTGGCCGTCAGCTCGGGTATCGCGGGTGAATCCCGTCCTGGCGGGTGGCACGGGTTCCATCGGGGGCTTGGGCGTGGGTTCGCGGTTCGGAAACATGGTCTGCAGCTCGGGACCGAAATTGCTGAGGCTGCCACTGAGAAAGCCAGCCAGCGTTCTACCAAAGACTCTAAAATCGGATTCGAGCTGCTGGTGGTTAATAAAGTCGAGCGAGACGAGGCGGTCGCGGCCGTGGTGGCGAAGATGATCGTGGGCGTGGTGGTGATGGTGGTGGTGATGCCGCGGGTGGGCGCGAGTCCGCCAACTCTCGCGGTTTGGGCGCTGGTCGTCCTCGGGCGAGTCTGCCGTCAGGTCGATGAAGCTCGGGGTGCCGACGAAGGTGCTGTCGCTCCTCGAGAGCTGGGGCGGCGAGATGCGCTGTGAATTGGTCCTCCGCGGATGCCTCCCGGCGCTGTTGTGCGGCACCTGCTGCAGCATTACCTGAGGCCCGGCGGCCTGCGTCCTTCGTCGGTCGACGGGTGAATCTGGCTCCTCGGTGAGATCGATGACGGCGGCGGATGATTCGGTTCTGTTGTGACGGCGAGTTGAGGAGGCCTGATGCGAGGGCCGCAGCCGCAGCTGTGAGGCTGACGGGCCGGCAGGCTGAGGCCGGCGAGATTGGCCGCCAGCTGGTTGGTTGTGGCCTTGGTTCTGGCTCTGGCTCTGGCTCTGGCTCTGGCTCTGGAAGCTGACTTCTGGCCGCCGCGGGACGCCTCGCGGGTTCAGCAGGTTGTCAAAGATGCTGCGAGTCTCGGTGACCTCGACCTCGACCAGGTCGTCGTCGCTGGACCCCAGCACGTCGTCGCCGGCTCGCGACATTTCGGGTGCGAATGTTTTGGTTGGTGTGGCAGAGAGATGGAGGGCGGAGAGAGGCGGAGGGCGGGCAGAGGGAGAGAGCTGCAACGGAAAAATCGGCGAGTGGTCGGTCCCTTTTCCCTCCAGTCGTAGCCCAGACGCCTTGTGTTGTATTGCGTGTGCGGAGAGGAGATTCACCGTTGCGTAAGGGTGGCGTTGTGTTGGCCGGATCAAAAAAATCCAAAGTTGGGAACGTTTGCCGCAAAAGGGCGAGACTCGATATAGCGATGATGGCGCCCTGTAAACCCAAACAAGCTCAGATAAAAAACCAAAACCGAACCCAAAAACCAACCCCTCCCAGAAGCAGAAGCGTTTTCAGCCTGTGGGGAAAAAGCTGAACCTCTTGGGGTTTTTGTTTTTATTTTATATTTTTCTTTTTTTTTTGGTCTTTTTAATGGCAATCGGTCCGCCGGCTCACGTGGCGATATTTCGAGAAACCAGGGAGCCAATATTGTTTGCTTCTTCGGTTCCTTCTAAGCGCCCGGTTTGCTGACAAGCGCCCTTGTATTTTCCAACCCTTTCTTGTTTGTCAAGGCGAAAAGAAAGAGCTGGTTTATCGTTTCTAATACAGTGCGTGGAAAATCACACGAGAGCCGGTGCCATTGTTCGGATCAACCTTCGGCACCTGACAAATGAGATGCGAGAAGGGAGAAAAAAAAAAGTGAGGAGGCAACTTTCGGCGATAATGAGATATGACGCACCGTTCACGCTGGGCTCACTTTGCAGTGACGGCCGGGGCCAATCGCACTTTTATCAGTCTCCAAGAGCTCCATGACTCGCGCCTTGATTGCTTTGCGGTTCTTGCGTCTTTCCAAGGTCAAACGCACCTGAGTCTCAAGGGCTGGCTGCCTACCCTGCAATATCTAATTTGGAGTGTATCAAGTATAAAACAGACATGCCTCCGTTGTCCCCGGTTAGGCAGGCAGGCGGGCAGCTCACAGAATTCGTAAGTAGTAAGTAAACAACAAGTCTTCCCCTTGTCATTGCACGGAGAGAAACGGTCTGCATGTCTTCTGCCTGATATCGTATTTTGTTTCTCTGCTAGTAGACTGAAGAGAACCCTCTCCTCCATGTACAGCCCTTGTGACACAATCTAAACCACCTCATGCAACAGATTTCCCAAAAGTCCCGGCGCGTATTTAGTATTAAGAAGACGCAGAAGAAAAAACCCAGTAAAATTCAAAAACATTGGCTTGAATCAGCAGACCCAAATCACTCTGCGCCAGTTGCCTAGTTCTTGACGCCCAGCACGCTCACGACTCCCTCTCCGTTGAGGGAAACCAGCTTCTGCCCTGACTCGCCCCATCGAACCGCAACTGCTGGGACGGAATTCCGCAGAGGCTCGCTCCACTTCTTGCTCGACTTTGTGTACTGCTGCACCGTAATGCCCGTGGCTCCTCCGGTGGCGAGGAATTGGCCAGAGTAGTCCCAGGCCAGTGACTGAACTGAGCCTCCCGTCTCGAGCACCTTGGAAACGGCGGCGTCGCCTTCTTTGCGCAGGTCGAAGATGGTCACGCTGGTCTGCCCCTTGGCCGTGGCCGCCAGCATGAATCCGTTCTCGGAGAAGACGAGGGCCTGGATCGGGGCGCCCAGCTTGAAAACGACGGCCTGGTCGAGCGTCTTGGTCATGTACAGCTTGATGTCGCCAGTGACTGTGCCGGCGGCAAACAAGTGTCCGTCGGGGTGGAATGCGCATGTTGTCAAGGCTGCCGAGTCTCGTTAGTTGATAATGCTCACAGAGCAGCCAACAGTTGACGAATTCCAAACTTACCAGAATCGGCGTATGCCCGGCTGACTCGCTTCATCGTCTCCAGGTGGTAGAATACAATGCTCTTGTCGGCGCCCACAGAGGCGAGCAGGTCGCCAGAAGGATGAAGACTCAAACCGCTGGCAGCTCCGGCGTGCTCGGATAATGTGCCAACCTCGTTGCCCGCCTCGTAAACCTTGATGTTGCCCTGGCTGGTCGCAAAGAAGACCTTTGACCCGGCCCAGAGGGTATCCGTCACGGGCTCGTTGACGGGCACGGTCCTTTCCACGTTGTCGGCCTCCACAGAGTAGATGGCTGCCTCCCCGTCCAGTCCTGCCGCCACGGCATAGTTGCCCTCCAGATCGAGAGAGGTTGCCCGTAGAATAGACAGGTCATTTGTTGTCGTAGTTTCAAACGATGACACTTCTTCGCTAGAGATCCATCCCTCGGGGATAGAGCGCTTCTTGCGCCCCTTGGACAAGCTAAAGAATGGGTAAGCATATGGCGAGACTGCAAGAAAAGACAAGGGGATGCTGACCTCTGGTGTGTCTGATCCACCTGGGCCGCCAGATCTTCCGGCAGCGCCTCGACACTATCCACAACCATACCCTCGCCGTTGGCAGCACCGTCCGTCACGGTGACCTTGCTCAGCGAGTCTCTGGCCTCATCCCTCTCTCTTGCCAGCCGGGCGATGACGCGAACGGCGGCATCATGCTGGTAGAGCGCCGTCGCAAGCTCCTCCCTCGTCCGTGCCAGCTGCTCCCTCAGGTTGTATGTTTCCAGCGCCAGGTTATCCCACTCGTTCTGGAATGTGGCAAGCAGCGCGGGGATCGAAGTCAGAGTAGGGGGGCGAGGGCGTGGGATGCGAGAGGAAGTGATGGGCAGCAAGTCATCGGCGGTGATGGCCTCGCCGTTGGGTTCTGAGCCATGTTCGTTGATGTACTGTTCTATCAGCCGCTTCTCGTAGACGATTCCTAGACACAAGCAACCAAAGTCAGTCAACTCAACTCAACTCAACTCAGTGTGCCACATGCGGTGTTCTGCATATCCGTCCATCTACTTACCCGACTTCTTGGACGCGACAGGCTCTTGAGGAGCTTCTCCGGAGACTAGTAGAGCTGCGTTAGCGAGATGCACAGCAGGGGAAGAGGCCTATAACCCCCCCAATAAAAAACTCCGAAGCATCACTTACTTCCGCAAAGCATGGTGGCTGGTTTTGAATCGCCTCTACGCTTCCAATGGCAAGTTGCAGAAACCCAAAATCCTCATTCGCCCAAACGAGAAACGAGAAACGAGGCTGCAGCTCGTTGGCGCGCGACCTGCTAGCATCCCCGATCAAGATTTTCCGCTCCAGACGCACAGACCATGCACGTCACGAGCTGATAACGGAATGTTCGTTGATAAGCCTGCTCGTCAAACTACCAACTCGGTATCGCTGCGTTTGTTCGCTCCACTGGAATTGCGGGGAGTAGGGGATGAGCTCGTCGTCTGACTTGGGCCAGGCGGTTGGTTTTCTTGTCCTGTAACCCTTTTCTGAAGGCATCGCGAGCTGTTGATCTTTTCGGCGCTGGATTCCGGCCTCTTTTGCGCGCGTCACGACCAGCCGTATTCGCCTCTTTTCCTCTGTCTCTTGTCTTGCAATCGCTTCCTCGAACGCGGCTCTACTCTAGCCGACCATCTTCCTGTCTATTCTATACCTACCCATAATCCATTCCATTCCTCTTCTTCTTCTCTGGACCCGGAGCTATACACGCACATTATACGCGCAACCATCATGCCACTGGAGCGTCTCCCTCCCATCGCTCTCCTCCACTCGTATTCGGACCTGGCTCAGACCGAGGTGCTCGACCTGCTGTTCGAGCCCAGTCCCGCCATCCACGCCACTCTCCTGCCAGTCATCCGCACGGCCGTCTACAGCTCATACCCCGACTTGATAGACGTGTGCCAGATCAGGCTCCTCTCGCTCGCCGCCAAGTCTGCCGAGACGGAGCCCCATCCCGTGCTCCTGTCCGTCCTGGAATCTCACCCGCGCCTCGGAGAAAAGAACATTGAGTCGGCGCAGTCCGTGGCCGAACAGGCAAACCTCCAGGGAGAATCCGAGGAACTCGCCGCGCTCAACAGGGAGTACGAAGAGGCGTTTCCGGGGCTCAGATATGTCGTCTTCGTCAACGGGCGGGGGCGGCCCGAGATTATGCAGGACATGAGGGCGCGGATCGAGCAGAGCAACTATTCCCAAGAGGTCGACGCTGCATTACAGGTACGGACCGGTGCTTTTTACAAGTCAGACCAGTCAAAATTCTTCACGATGAAGGCTAATTCTTGTGGATTCAAACAAAAGGCCATGTGCGACATTGCAAAGAGCAGGGCTTCCAAGCTTCCTGAAGATACTAACCGCAAGCAGTCCAACGGCAACTGATCTCGACGATTTTTTTTATTACATTCATTTTGGTGGGATTCTGATATAATCGACTTCCTTAGCTTACACAAAAATCGGGGGATATAAGACAAAAACTCCCCCGGCCGCCCTTTCGCCCATAGCCTTAACTTTCATCCAACAAAAACGCCTCCCCTCCAAGCCCAGCCTTGGCTACCATGCGCCAGCCATGCCAATAAATATACAGTAATTTTCCAGCCCTACAAGTGATTTCCGGACTTTCATATGTTGTTCCGAGTTTCCAGCCGTCTCTCTAAAACCGTGTGAATAACAAATGAGATGTGAAAAAAGAAGAGAAAAATGTCAGCCTATCCTCCAAGAAATGCCGTCCAGCTCGTCGATGTACTCTTCATATGTGTGCTCCTCCGAGGGCGATTGGGGACTGGGCGAAGTCGCCTTGGCCGCAAAGATGGCGTCGAAATCACAATAGACGTCGGCATCGTCGTCGTCCAAGTGCTCCTCGTCTGGGTGGAGGAAGGCAAAGCTGTCTTCCTCGGCATCGTCGTACATCCACGCAAGAGGCGGCCTCGGCTCCGGAGACGTCGTCGAGTCGATGCGGGCCGAGGTGCGGTCATTGGTGGCATCGACGTCTGCAGAGGGAAGCGGCAGAGCTATGGGCTTTGATAGACGGCAGGCCGCCGGCGCTTTCCCCAGCGTTTCGGCAGACTGAATGCCGGTTTCGTCTCTGAGTTGCCGTGATGCTGGAGTTGCTCCTTTGCTTGGCTCGAGGACGCTGGGCCGCGCCTCGGGGGTTGACTTGACTTGTTGTGATTGCCATGGTGCCTTGGCGAATGTATCTGTGCTCGGCCTCACCGTGCTGTCTTCACTCTCCTTTGCCGAGCCCTGATATCTCACAGGGCCGAGCCTCTTCCGCATCCGGTTCATGATGGAGTATCTCAGGTAGGCCGTCGCCCGCAGATAGGCAGCCCGCCTGCTGGAATCGAGCATCACCGCCATCTTGACAAACCGCCGGTCACCAACCTGCCTGCCCTCTCTGTTCAAGATGTGCGTGGCCGGCTGGGAGAATGGCTGAGACAACCTGCTAGTAATGAGGTGAGTTCGAAGGCGGCGCTTCTTGCGGCCGACATTCGCCGTATTGGGGCCCTCGACGTCGGATCCAAGACGACAGCGTTTCATTCCCCTGCACACCCATTGCGCATCTACCGCGAATTCGAACTCAAACGCCGTCTTGTTGCCGTGGTCCAGTATCGTGAACTGCACGAGGCTCTCCGGAAGGGGATACTCTCGCGGAGCGGCGGTGGGCTTCCGCGCGCCCTTGAGACGATGGCGATGGGGCGCCTCGAGCAGGAAATCCGAGCTCTTACGTTTGGACAGTGACTTGCTCAGTCGTGACCTCGTCAGGGAGTGCAGGCCGGACACGCCAATGGCGCCGGCATCCAGAGCATCATGACATCTCAGCGTTTGCACCGGCTCAAGTAAGCTTGACATGCTTTCAGACTCGGTGATGCGATACCAGCAGGTATAAGGATGGCACGACCCAAACTTTGTTTAACTGTAGGCTGAAACGTGTTTGCCTGCAATGTGAAGCTTCACGGGGGACACATGGAGTGAGTGAAATGGGGCTCTTTGGCTTCACTTCACTCCTTCTCATGCCCTGCTGTCACGAACGAACGAGGCAGACCAGAACCAGCAACGACAAGCTATAGACGGGGACTCTTGCGTGTAGGCCAGAAGCAGGCAACAAGGCGCTTCTGTCTGGGCGAGAGAATCTGGTTTGGAAAACAGGTCACAAGGTTGAAAGTTTTGTGTGAAGAGGCGAAACGAAGATGCTGGGACAAGAGACAAGAGACGCAACATAAAGCGGGGAGTTGGGACAAATTCAAGATGGGGTCTCGGGCTGGTCGACCGAAGCCTCAAAAAAAAACGAGCTAAAAATCTCGTCCGTTTTTCTCGAACAAGCGCCCCCTTCGCTTCACACGACCTCTCTCTCTCACACCACATGCCCCAGAAGGAGAAAAAGGGCTAGCTGGGCATCGCATCCAATCCAGCGGTTCCGAAGACACGGGTTTTCGCCCTCCCTCTCAGCGCGTGGAATAATGGGGGCATGGGGAGTAAATTGAATCCTTGGACCAACACATCATCACCACCAGGGAAGGGGGGTGGGTGTGTGGCATCGCAGCGGATTTCCACTTCTGGCCCGTCTCATGGTCCGGGGAAGCACGGGCGGCTTGCAGGGGCGCCATCTGTTATTCGATAGTTGGGTGGTGCGGATGATCCGAATGGGACGAGGAGAGCGAGAGAGACGAGAGAAAGTATTGACATGGTGCGAATGAATGAGATCCCCTTGCCTTTGCCTTGTCTTGTCTTGAGTCATCTCTCTGTCTCTTTCTCTCTGTGCGTGTGTCTCTTTTCTTGCCCTCCCCCCTTACATGGCTCGACTTACATGGTCCTACACGGCGAGTATTTTCATTTTTTTGTGTCACCCGGACTGCTGTAGCGTTGCACTCGATGGGCCGTTTTGAGACAGCACTTTGAGCACCCAGCCGGGGTCAACCCCAGGTTCGGCCACTGCAGGACGACATCATGGCGTACTTTCTTGTTCCCGTCCTTGCAGCCAACGGGAGTTATTGGTTCTCCGGCAGGGATGGGATGGGGCGAGCAAGGGTTCAAGTTGGTGCGGTTGAGAGAGAGAGACGCACGCACGCCCCCCCGGTCAGGTCAGGTCAGCCCATTTGCTTTTTCCAATACCGAGCGTGCAGCATCTTTGGTGTAAAAGAAGGCTATTCACGGTTCTACTAACACGTACGAGTACACTGCAGCAGCAGCAGCACACTCTCTCGTGTACGAGTACATGCTTGTGTGCCTTTGCGAATGAGACATGTGGCCTTTGTACATGCATGCACTTGGCTGCATGTCCCTTTCCTGCAAGCCTTGCTGCGATGCGATATATTTAGCCCGAGCTGGGCTCCACGACTCGTACAATACACACGGGATCCACGGGGCCATGGAGTGAAATGGACTGACAGACAGCAAAGATGACGGACATCTCGCAATAAGAAACTTTGGGTGCAAGCGGCTAGAAGAGGGTTGGGAAAGGGTCCATCCAATCCATCCATCCAGCGGGCGACGAAATACGATCAAGACAGACCCCCTGGCCCTGGTCTGGTCTGGGTCCTGTTGAGCTGAAGGACGGGCTGGAACTTGGGATCAGCTAGCACGGGAGACTACGACAATGCTGGTTCTTTATTGCTCTGCCCATCAATGTTACTACCTTATTTCGTCCAAGGGGGTTGCAGTTACATCTGCCAACCCAATTCCGTCGTTTGCTGGGAACTTGCCTCCATGGTAATTTTCACACACATCCCCAGAAACACCAGAATCTCTCCCACATCACGACTCCTCCCCCCAAAATCCTTCCTACTATGAATCGAGCTGTCGTGAAACCATACCATCGAATCGGATCGCTGCCCTAGACCCCGATTCCCCGTGATAGGCTACGGTACGGTACAGGCGGGGGAAGGCAGCCTGGCAATACGCTATGCACTCATGCAACTTGGTAATTTAACCAGCACAAACCCGTCTGGTCCAAAAAGCCTCGAGACACACACGCACACACACACGCACGCAAACGAGGCCATCGTGATTTGCTGCTGCTGTCCAGACGGGGACCAAAAAAAAAGCACAGACGAAATGCAAATCTGCGTCATCAAACGACTGAGAGGATGGTCACGTTGATCACAAAGACCCTCCCCAATGACACCCTGGTTAGCCCATCGTGATGATTGCCACACACACCACACACTCATTCTCGCACTACTGCCAGCTGAAGGTGTGGTAACAAATCACTTTTTTTCTTCTTCTTCTGGGGTTTGCCAGCTTTTCGAAATCGGTCATTGTCCGCGTTTCCCCAACTTCCATTATAGTCTTCATGTGCAGAGAGTATGTAGTATCCAGGCGGGTGGCGTGAGTTTGGCATTGTTGTCCTTTCTTTTTTTGGGATGCTGCCCTCCCTCTTTTTCCTTCTGCGTGTCTCGGATTCTTCTTCTAAAAAATTCCCTTTGTTTCTTTTTGCCCATCTTTGAGAATCTCGATTTGCTTGCTGCCAACCAACCATCCCCGAAACTCGAATTTAACCCACAAACCACAACAACGGGCGGGCGGTGGTCGCCGAACATGAGCAATTTGGTCGTGTCACGGAATGACAAGTAATAGAGCTACAGACTACTCGGACTAGCACCCGCAGCTCTTTGCATTGCTCGACTACTCGTACCTATCCTCCGACTAATGAGCGTCTTGCCCGTCTTTCCCCCAGCACCAGCATCAGCCATCACGTCCAATAGTCAGTCGTTGCCGCCACTCAACTGCTGTGTTACCTGAAACCTCCTCCCTCCGGGCCAACTCAGTACTGCACTGCACTGCACTGCATAAACTCTCACCCCCAGGCTTGTCCCCCAAAAGCCAAGCGCCGCAAAAAAAAAGAAAAAAGAAACACACACTGCAAGGCGATTTGGTTGCCTTTTTTTTTTTTTTTTTGGTATCTCCAACTTTGGACCATGTGGCCACCCATCTTACAGCCCAACTGCCAGGATCGCGGGGTCGTTGCTCCTCGCTGCCTGAATCGTGGCCGAATCATGGGACGTTTGTCTGGGGAAATCAGGCTGATGGAGGGCGACGATTGATCAGCAAACCAGATCGTAAAAAAGAAGAGACCGATTCGAAAGTTGCCGTTTTTGTTTTCTCCCGCTATATCCGGCTATGGGTGGTTGGCTACTATTCGGCAGCGTCCATTGGTTCATGTTCCCATTCGCTCTGCTCTTCTTCCCGACCCAAGCCGCCGCCAGCCAGCCGATATTTGCGCCGCACGTAAACAGTTTCGGGATCCCTACTCCGTCCAAGCGACGCTTGTCCTGCCGTACACCACGCGCGCATATGACGAGTCAGGCTGTCAGACAACAAAAAGCAAGCAAGTGTGTTTTGCCCGTAGGCCCTTCTGGCCCTTCCCGCCTCTGGCGATGACTTGACTTAGGCGGGACGCGTCCGCACGCCAAAAATGTCATTGCGCCAGCCGCCTCTCTCATACTCGTAGATCTTCTGGCTGGCGTCTTGAGCCTCACGCTCCCAAAGCTGGACTAGACTTCCCGGAGCGTAGCGGTTACGGAAGATTTCCGGACGGACGCCGATGCGGGCCTCGATGTCGGGATGCGGCCTCGGGACGAGCCGAGCGGCAACGGCTCTGATAAAGGTCCAGAGGTCTTCGGGGCTGGCAATTCGGGTTGCCCGCAGGCGCTCGCGAGCAAAGAGCAGTTCGCGGTTAAGAGTGTGGAGGCTGTCTTCAATGGCGGACGCTATGCTCTTCTCTATTGCTCTCTTTACGATGGGTCGAATCAACGGCTTGAGAAGCCAGGCCAAGAATGAAAACTTGGACCGGCGCAGGGTGTAGTTGAGATGGTGGATGTGGACTCTGGCTCTGCGGAGAGAAACAATCTTTTCGAGGCGATCTCGTCCGATTTCAATATCCAGCGACAGGTCAATGCCACGCTCGTCCAGGTGGATGCTCGCAAGGCCCTCGTCCATGAATCTCAATATGCCCGAATGCAGGTGTACCCAGTATCCCAGCTCTTCAGCTGCGATGGAAAGCCCTGAGATTTTGATCGTGGCCACAGATGTGACGGTGGACAGGATTTGGAAGCGAGCTTTGCGGATGTCGACGTCATTCCGGGTCGAAATTTGTAACCTGTAAGGCAGAAACGAAGAGTTGTTGATTGTTCGACCAGGTTCCAAAACCAGGTTTTCGAGGAGCAAGTCTGCGTCCGGAGTCGACACCTCGAGGCGTGGGATGGGCAGATACTGGATTCCCTGTATGAGCATCGGGACGAAGACGTTGACGAGATCCGTGGTCATGTCCTTGTTGATGTACTGGTTTTTCGGCGACACAATGTGCGCAATGCGAGTCGAGCTATTGATGAGCTGAAGGACTTCAGCGTCCTCGCTCACCGAGCGCAGGGCCGAGCTAAGGCTGCCCAGCAAATGATCGACTTTTTCCCTGATGGAGGTTTCCGTGGTGAGCTCTTTTGACTCGGTGCGAAGCTGCTCAAATCGCTTTTCCGCATTGTTGAAGAATTCCGGATCCATGAGGATATCCTGCACCAGCTTGGAGAGGTGGTCTACCAAGTTTTCGAATGCCGGGTCAGACTGACCAATTTCCACCACCTCGTGAAACGACTTTTCGACTTGGTTCCACGCATCTTTGTCGCCGAATGACGTGATGAGCTGCCAAAAGTTGTGCAGAGCTTCATCGGCTTCCTGGTTCATGCCGACGTCTTCTTCTATAATCTCAGCTGTGCGCGCCGCAGCGCGAGAGTACACCTTGAGATAGCGCCTCAGGAGCAGGGACAGCGTGGACACGGAATCCGAGTAATTGGGCCGCTTGCGAAGTTTGAGCACGGCTTGCTTGAGGCGATATGTCAGGGCCTCTTGCTCGTCCCCCTGGATGTGTTCTCGCGCGCTGCGGGCTGCCGTGCCCAAGACATCGCCCGCGCCGTCTGCGACCACTTCGGCCACTTCGATGACCTCTTGCTGCAGGTCTTCTGTCGTAGGCGCTGGCTGCGCATCTCCGTTTGCGTGTTTAAGGGCCTGTTGCTTCTCCTTGGGCGGCTCAATCTTTTTTGCGGTCTCGTGAGCTACGTCTCGTAGTGTGAATGCTGTGTCGCGAAAGACCTCGCGGGAGACGGTAGACAGATCTGTAAGGAAGATGCGAAAGTCCGAGTTTGTGAGTAACAGTGATCCAACCGTCTTGACGCTGGCGACGGCGGCCATGACATCTGCCTTCATCTTGGCAGCGCCGGCCCTGACGTGGAGATCTGTCGAGTCTACTTGGAGACGCGCTTTGGCCAGATACCAGAGGAAGTCTTGGACTTGATCATTGGAGTTTTTGGCTTTTAGTAGGTCGATAAGTTCGCCGAGCCACATGCGCGTAGTTCGAACCAGAGCTCTGCCCGAGGGACTCAAGCCCGAAGCCTGGGGATTGAGAACGTCGGCGGCGAGCAAAGTGCGGAGATGAGTGATCATTTGTTCATTGGAGGGCATGTAGCCGTTTGAAAGCGCCCGTAGCATCTGATATGTGTGAAGCTTCTCATGGAGGTGATTCTGTCTCTGCGTCGCCTCGTTGTACTGCGGGAGGAGAGGCTGGTGCTCTTCATCTTGGCGGCGTGTGGAATGACTCAGCGCCTGCCAGGAAAACATTTTGCCTTGTAAGGGAAATGTATATCGACGAGGTGAGTGAGCAATTTGTAAAGAAAAAAATGGGCGATATTGGATGTATGGTAGGTTCAAGGAGGGAGATGAGCTGTGAGGAGTGGGTGTTGATATAAGTGTTGTGAGATGATGTCAAAGTCAATGACGCTTACTTGACGTTTGGTGATGAAACACGGGGAAGAGCTTCCGGCGGCGCGTCAACAGGGATTATAAACTTTGTTTTGTTTGTTTTGTTTGTTTTGTTTTTTAAAAGTCGAGTTAGATTGGACTACGTTTTTTTTTGAATGATTGATTGATTGATGAATGCTGTTGATGTTAATTGTTCTTGATGGAGGAATAAAAGCTGCGGATTCACTGGAATGGCAGGGTAGGCTGCCAAGCTGCGTATTATTGTAGCAAGACATGATGCACGTCTGGAGCCGCATCTCGCCTTGCCTTTACAAAATGAAATGATATATATCCCCAACTCATAGAAGACGCTTGTTGATACAACTTTGGTGCGTTATTGTATGTTAGTGATATTATACTGAGCGTCAAATATAAGTCTTGTTTAAAGAAGTGCTATAACATTCTCGTGAAACTGTTAGTGACCAAATGATTACGTAAGGATTTATGGCTCTCCTCGGCTATCGCATTCAGCCTAGCCATGTGAAACTCGGGAACTGAGATAGGCTTTAGATTCACGTTCTATTGCCTCTAGGACAACTTAGCCAACATTACTTTTCGAGGGTCTATTTAGCAACTGTACATATTGGTTATCCTGGCTGGTTTCCCGGTAAGGACAAATTGATTGCTAGATGTGGTAGTGTAATCCAGCACTATTTATGGATTACTCATCAATGGTTCTTGACGAATTGTTGCACATGTTTGTGATTACATGTACAGTGCTCCAGCAGCAGTATTCGCACTTGGACCGACCAAAGCCACGGCTGACGCAGGCTTCACTTTCAACTTATATGTGAAAAAAGAAAAGAAAAATAATCTTGCATAAATAGGAATTAAGCAAAGAACAAGAAAAAGCAGTGGGATCAACATGGCCCTCAATAGCCTATCTGGATCTGCTCGAGTAACTGCGGATATATGGCCGGCAATTACGGGGTGCAGCTAGTGCCTGTGGGTTGGGAGCCGAGGTTCAATAGCAGCTGCACGGCTGTATATGAAGATGGCCGGGGGTCGTGCCTTAGACACTTCAGCTGCATCAATTTGCTGGATGATTGATGATGCGCGCAGTGGATAAAGCTGGATTACAAACGAGGATTGAGAGAGAGAGCATTGTCAATCCACATTGTCAAACCACGCATCACAGCACCTGGACTCGTACTCGTGCTTTCGACCATGGCCTCCAACAAGGATGCACCAGCTGCGATCCCACGCAATGACCTCTACGAGGCCCTGAGGCTCTCGCGACTCCCAGATGCCCAGAACGGCTCACAGGATCCCGTCAAGAGATTCATCAGCCGTACACCAGCCTGGAGGCCCGGGAATGAGCTGCCATGGGGATCAATCGACCATGAAGGGTATAAAAAGGGCAACACAGTCGACTTCAACCCAGCTGCGTTTGGAGGCCACGTCTTCGCCCAGGCACCCTTGGCGGCTGCGAGAGCGGTGGAAGAAGAAGAAGAGAATGGCCATGGCAATGGCAGTGACAAACTGGGCATTCATGTGAGTCTGAAACCATTTTGACAAGAGCCGTTTGCTGACTGGACCTGTATGTTAGTCCATCCAAGGCGTCTTTACAAAAGCTGGCGCGATTGATCGGCCATTCGTCTATGATGTGACGAATGTCCACTCAAGCCGTTCATTCACCACCAAGCTGGTCCAGGCACGGCAGCCCACAGAGGCTTCAGATGCTCCTAACGGCCCCTTTCCCGAGTCCGATGCGAATCGGCCGCTGGGCGCCGTCAACTTCACCTGTCTCGCAACGTTCAAGCGTCCCATGCCGTCGCCTACAGAGCGGCAGATCAAAGGATCGGCACAGGAACGCTATGCAGACATCCTTTCGCAACGAGCGCCGGACCAGTGGGAGGCCAGTCCTCAGGTGGATGTCGATGCTGTTACGAGAATCTTCCCCAACGCTGGCCACGGAGGCTTCCCTATGCTGGACATGTACAAGGTTGACATGAAGGCGTACAATGCTGATAAAGAAGTGCCTGAACGGCGCGAGCTTATTCTCTACCGACCGTATAAGCCGATTTCCGAGAACGATCCCAATGCGCATATTGTTGCACACGCGTACGAGGCTGACCGCAACGGGCTCATTATGCTCACCAATCATCTTGGCTGGGGCTTCAACCTCGGCTCTGCGGCTAGCTTGTCGTATTCCTTCTATGTGCACGTCAATGCTGACGAGGCGGTCATGAAGGGAGATGGGTGGTGGATTCAAGAGGTTTGGTGGCCGAGAGTGAGTGCAGGGAGAGCAATGATGGAGGTTAGGATATGGAGTCCGGAGGGGAAGCACGTGGCGAGCGGTTATCAGGACGGAGTAGCCGTGCCGTCGAGCGATTTGACCAAGAAGAAGAAGAAGATGGGAGAGAAGCTGTGATGGTGGGTGGAAAGGGGTTGACTGAGGATTTGTTGGAGAGATGTATGATGCTTAGGGGATTTGCGTAATGACGGTACTGTACAGCGTAAGGCGTATGGGACACCGGGATAGAGATATAGAGGAAGAAAGACTAGATACACTACATGAGCTATTAATTATTGAAAATGGATTAAATGAATCTAATAGTCTAATAGCTTACTTGAGCTGTGCTGGGAAGCCCGAATATACACACTTGTACGTGGGCATCTCTCTTCCCTAACCCCCCTTCTCTGCTGGATTCAACACTAATTCAGAGCAAACAAACGCAGTCAATCACAGGCATCCACTGTCACTGATTCACTGTTCTATTTAATCTCAGCTCTGTTTGCTATTGACAGCTTACGCCATCCATCTGTTTCCTCCAGGGCTGTTTACCGCCAGCTGCCACCAGAGACTGCCAGCTGTGAGGCAGCCGAGCTTGAAGCCTCGTGCAGACTCTTGGCAGTTAAGTTACTTACCTGTAGAGCACGTGAATGCGCGTTTGATGATACTGCTATAAAATCACGCCTTTTCGTTTTATCTCTCTTTATTTCTTCCTACACTTTTCATCTACTCCAACCTTCTCGCCAGCCAGAACTTTTATCACAAAAGTGTCTTTGGCTATTACATCGATCTCTTCTTAATACATCTTCAAAACAGCTTTCACAGCTTTTGGAGTGTGCTTTATACACGCTGCTCCATTTCTACCCGCCGAGCATCTGCACTCGAGGAAGCAGTGAGTCTACGATAATTCTGCCGCGCAAGATACCAACTAACATTTGCGTGCAACACCAGACAAGATAACCCCTTTCAAAGGTCAAGATACATTCATCTCGGATCGCCCATCATGAATATCTCGAATGAAGATGTCAACTCTCTCCTTCCGAGAGATGAGGCCGCCTTGAAAGCCGTGCTCAAAACGCCATACGACAGCGTGTACAAGCTTTCGCCTGACGGAAGCACATATGTGGAACCATTTCTTCTCAACGGCACGCCAGTGCGACGTATTCAGGAGAATTCCGAGTACTAGGAAAGCTCCTGGGACTCTCTTGAGGTATTTCTGGCAGAGCAAGAACCAGAGGCCGTGATGAAGGAAGAAGCGCACAAGCGTATCCAACTCAACCCCAGCAACGACGCGCTCAAGGCACACAAGCACCTTTCGGACAACTCTAGCAAGTTCAAGAAGATTAGAGAAATCTTTGGCGAGGGCAGCAAGTATCATCCCAATCAACTCGTCGCCAAGAGATTTCTTCCTCCACGAGGTTTTTGCCAGAAAGAGCTCATGTATCGACTCGTTTGCAAGATTTCCGACCTTCAGCATCTATACAACACCGGAGACCTCGCGATGGACCCGTTTGACTTCATCAGATGGCGCATCATCAAGAAGGTGGGCAGCTTGCTTGCCAACCCATGGGACAATCCCAAAAGTTTCATTCGGACTGTCGTCTACAAACTCGCTGATGACTCGGAACAAACCGGTGCCAAGACGTACCAGGACTCTGTCGTGAGATATGCGGTCCTGCTCTCGGCCGCCAAGCGGAACCACTTGGGTAACTACGGCCACAAGGGCAAGAATCGGAAAAAAACCTTGAAGCAGACGACTCTGCCCTATGCAGCGGCTGCTCCTCGACCGAGAGTGAAGATTTCGAGGGATGATATTGTGGACAGTCGCCCCGAAGCTGCTCCAGCTGTGGCTCGACCGGTTCAACGACGTGCCCGACTTGCTGCTGGCCCGCCCATCTATGCCGGTGTGAACGCCTATAGGGCTGGACAGAAGCAGCAACAACGCTCTCAGCAACGCCCCAAGAGAAATTGAGCACTTTACAGTGAGTGTGATGCCCTGTAAAGTGTGTATGGCAGCACGGGTCATGGGGGCAAAGGGCGAATTTTGGAAGTGTTGATGCGCATGCTGGGAGGGAAGGGGAACGAGGTGAAGGGAATCTATGGTTGATGGCCAATTGGCATGCGGAATTTGCTTTTGATTTGGAGTTTCTTCATTGCGACAGGGTTGGGTCTTTGTCCTTTCGGGATGCAAGCTGTTTAAGCTCTATACACAGCTGGTTGGGATGCCCCCTCATCGGGCGATGTGGCATCTGGTGAGGCTGGTTTACTTGGGGGTATAGCTCCTGTTGCTCTAGTTGATAGCTGCCCTAGTCTTTTTAATTCTACATCGAGGTTGTTTGCACGTCTTTGATTGTGTCTGTTTATCTACACTTGCTATTATAGGTAGCTACCTATGCGGTTGGGGAGATGGGTACATACTTGACGTTGGTTCTGTTCTACATGACGATATTGAGCAGGTCTTATCACAGATTAACCATTATACAGTGCTTTAAAGATATCTTACACATCACAGGGAACTTAGTAAACCAGTTGAATAGCTAATCTAGCTTTCTTTTGTGTATTCTGTTCCCAATGTATAGCTATGGCGCCTATATCTCGGCATCTCAAATAACACACACTTCACACTCACTCACTCACAGCCCATAAGCTCAGCTCACACACAAAAGCTTAGTCACGTGCTTCCAATCCCCCTCCCGCCATTGGCCAATGCCCATCCAAAAGTGGGGGACCCAGTATCCATCCAACCCCGAAAATGGCATCGCAAATCAGACCATCCGCAAATCCCTCGAACGAACCGAATCCGAACCTCTCTTTCCACTCTCATCACCAACTTTTGCCCCCCTGGCCTTTGTCGACAATCATGTTCTTGCAACGCTCTGCCATCGCTGCGGCTCGCCGCGCCGCCGTCACTCCGGCCATTGCCCGCGGTTTCGCCACTTCCTTTGCTCGCCGTATGACTTTGATCTTTTTTTCCGTGACCCCCCCTCTGACGTTGTGGTTGGATGTTGTTGCTTGGGTGTTTTGGGGAGGAACTTGCGGTTGGGGCGGGATGTGAGGATTGTTATTCGTGGAGCTTTGAGGCTGACGTGATGGACGATTTGAACAGGTTCTGCTGCTACTCCGTCAACCCCCAGCGAGCAGGCTGCTGCTCTAGCCGGCACTGCCCAGAAGAAGGTCGGCACCTACAAGACTCTGTCTGGTATGTTGTTGTTTTTCTCTTTCTTATACATGATGCATATAGCTTCTACAACTAGCTACCTGTCTTCCTTCACCCCGCAGCATGGGCAATTGCTAACCACAGAGCTTGATCCCGCGCAACAGAGGTCAAGGTCGAGGAGGACCTCGTCGGACCCGGTGGCCAGCCCGGCACCGTCCCCACCGATCTCGAACAGGCCACCGGTCTCGAGCGTCTCGAAATCCTCGGAAAGATGGAGGGCGTCGACGTCTTCGACATGCGCCCCCTCGACGCCAGCCGCAAGGGAACCTTGGAGAACCCCATCCTGGTCCGCTCCGCCGGCGAGGAGCAGCTCGCTGGCTGCACCGGCTCCCCCGCCGACTCCCACGTCGTCATCTGGCTCGGTGTAAGTGAAAACCTCGGGCTGAATATAACAAAAAATACGCAAATAGGCTGACGTGTCCCCTCGAAAAATTGCAGCTGACCAAGGAGCGCCCCATTGAGCGATGCCCCGAGTGCGGCAGCGTCTACAAGATGGAGTACGTCGGTGCCGAGGACCACGGCCACCACCACCACGCCCAGGAGATCGAGGAGCCCAAGACTTTCGCCGACTTCGTCAAGCCCGAGTACCGCTACCGATAAATGCACAACTTCGACCATGGAAGGACAAAATTTCGGTGGAAGGGTTTGAGGCGATGTACTATCAAGGCGCAAGAGTGGGGTGGAAGCGAAAGGCCCATGCCTGCGGGCAGTGGGAGGCAGCTGTGTATTCTGTAGATACTCATGACTTTGTTGCAATGTGAATCACAAAACATTGACAAGATTTGGGGGGGCTGTGTGTGTTTTCTTGAATTATCTAATGCTGATGCCGGCTGGTTGCTTGTATCGTCTGTTGTTCTAAATGCGCGTCTGTCTTGCCCCCAGTGTCTTTGCGACAAGAACGGAGACGGTCATTAAGATTGCGCAATGTAGGCGGGATCCCTCGGCGTTGAGATCGTGGTAGTTAAACCATCAGTGTCAAGCCCCTACCTAGCCTCCAAATGTCGAGTTTGAAGAACGGAGTTGTTGCTGTGTAGACATAAATAGGTGATCCGTAAGCGTATGAGGTGAATTGCTCCCAACAGTTTGCTCGCTGTTGTATAAAGCTTGATTCGCACATGAGTCGCCATTCGTTCAGATGCTGATAACTCAGCCCTCTTCCTCGTCAAAGCTCAGCTTAATCTTCTTTGCCTTCTTCTTGGTCTTGCGGTTGGTAGCCTGCTCGGCATCATCTGCGCCTTTCTTCGCAGCCTCAGTCTTCTTCTCCGTAGAAGGCTTGGCAACTTCATCGTGAGCATCTTCGCCAATCACTTTGCCGACCTTGCGTTTCCTTCCTCCTATCGAAGCCTTGGCTGGTTCCGATTCGCCTTTATTCGCCTTGTCCTGCTCTGCGTCTAGAGTTCCGTCCTTGGCCCCTTTGTCGGCTTCCTCATTTGGCGTTTCTTCCACGGTGCCGTCTTTGTTGACTTTGAGGTCCTCAATCGTGTTTCCATCTTCGTCGACAACCAACGGAGCATCTTCCGCCTCTTCGCTGCTGGATCGCTTCTTCCCACTGCGACGCTGTGCTGAGAGGATCGGGTCCGGACCTGAAGCACCGGATGCCTGGGCCCGGAGAGCTGCGAGGAAAGGCGGGAGAGAAGAATTGTAGGACAGGTTTTTGGAGTTGATTTTTTGTGACATGGTGAGGCCTGGTTTGTGATGAGAGAGCAAGTTGGAGTTGTCTGTCGCCTTGAAGGATTGCTTCGACGTCTCTTTGATTTGCTGTGGTTGTTCCAACTTTCTTAGAGCTGCTTCCAGGCGTCCCAGATCAACCAATCAGGTAATATGACGGTTCCGTGGTCTAGTTGGTCATGACATTTCGTTAACAACATGCGTTGACGCCACCGAAAAGGTCCCCGGTTCGAGCCCGGGCGGAATCATTGCTTTTTGCTTCCACTGAAGATCGAGCAGTGGAGAGGAAATTAACGTGGAGGTAGATCGGAGACTCGGATTATCTGCCGCGCAGAAATGGGGGGAAAATCAATGTTCCGCTAGTCTCTTTTTGTTGGCTCGACCCCTTGCTCCTGCTCGGAAAATTCATGATTCAAGTGGCCACTGGTTGGCTATAGCGCAATTGGCATCCGGCAAGTCGCTCGTTTCAGATGCTGGTATGCGATACAAGCTTTCCGCTGCGGCAATGCTTGGCGGGCCAAGTACTCCGCAACAGCAGCACGTGCAATTGACCTTGTCGGCAGGCCCTGAAAATCCGAGCCTTTCGTCCCAAGCCCAAAAACCGCCGGCCCACGCTAGATCAGGCAAATTCCCCAATCAACAGCGGTCTGGGCTTGCTCCAGAGGCGAGGTCTTAGCAACTTCTCCCTCTTCTCGTTTTTGCCCTGTCGAGGGAAAATAAAAAAAATCAAATCACGAGTTCCAGAATCCCATTGGCCTCGACGACGGACTGACAGCGACGCTTCTCGCTGCGAGGCGCCTTATCTTGCCGCGCGAGACTGAGATTGGAGTCCGATTCTGGCCGGTGCCCCGCGAAGAGGCGCATCCAATTTCCAGCCGGGGAAGCGCGTTGACATTTGCCTCGATCCTTATCTTGTTTTGCTGCTTGGGCGGCATTCAATCCCTGACATCGACGAGGCACGGAATTGCCTTGCTGGATATTGTGTTTGGCCCGGTCTTTTCGCTCGATTGGCATGACTCTGGACGGCGTATCGACAATCTAATCCAATTCGATTTCCCCCTCCGACACCCAAAAAAAAAAGCACCCCTGATTACCAAGTCCCTGCTATCACAGATCTGGCCTCTATACTGCCACTGCCACATCTCCACACCACATTCGATACGAAGCCAGTCGTCGTCAGCTGCGACCTGATTCCCCTCTGCTCGACTGACTCACACGTCGATATTTGACTTGTTGTTGTTGTTGTTGTTGTTCCTGCCGCATAGGCAGGCTGGTTGCTCGTCGCCATGGACTTGTTCAGGCGATCAAAATCGGGCGCGGGACGCCATTCAGAACTTCCGACGTCGGATGAGAAGCGTTCAAGAAACAAGGGGCTGTCGTCCAGCTTGGCCTTTTTCCAGCGGCCACTGCGTCTGCGCGGCAACTCTGCAGTCTCCATCCCATTGGGCGTCGTTCTCGTCTTCCCGGTGCTGGTGGTTGTGCTCATCCTGGTCCTGTTCGTCAGGCATCCCAGCTCTCCAGGCAGGATATTGATGCCCGCCGGCTCGCCGCCCGCTATTCGGTATGGTTAAGCGCCGTCTTCCCTCACGTTTTCGTATTGCTGATTGTGTTTTTGTGTGCAGAAAAATCAGCGAAAAGCATGACAAGGTCTTCGTTACCGGCTGTCTCGAGCCCGATACATCGACGCCCCGAGCCAACGCTGCATTCGTTGTCTTGGCCCGCAACAAGGAGATTGATGGAGTCATCCAGTCCATCAAGTCTGTTGAGCGACACTTCAACCGATGGTACCACTACCCCTATGTGTTCCTCAACGACGCAGACTTCGACGAAAACTTCAAGGCGACTGTGAGGAACTATACTTCGGCAAACGTCGAGTTTGGCAAGGTTGAGCCGGGCACATGGGGCTTCCCCGACTGGATCGATGAGAAGGTCGCAAAGGAGGGTATTGCCAAGCAGGGTGATGCTGCCGTCATGTATGGTGGTATGGAGAGTTACCACTTCATGTGCCGCTTCTACTCTGGGTGAGCCTTCTCCTTCATCAAGACAATGCTTTCATGACTGACCGTTTGCGATTCAGCTTCTTCTACAACCACCCTCTGCTGCTAAAGTACGAGTGGTACTGGCGCGTCGAGCCCGAAATCACTTACTTCTGCGACATTACCTAGTATGTTTCCCATGGGTCGTGTACCCGGTAACATCACCACTAACATGGATGACTAGCGACCCATTCCTCAAGATGATCGAGAACAACAAGACGTATGGCTTCACGATTGCGGTCAAGGAGCTTCGCGAAACCGTCCCCAACATCTTCCGTTATGCCTCGGCTTATAAGCGAACGAACAACCTGACGTCACAGGGTCTTTGGGAGATGTTTGTGGAACCCCAGGAACACAAGGAGGAGCACGAGGACCCCAACCCACCACTGCCCGACGAAGTTTTGCAGGGAAAGCCGGCCAGTCTACCCCCCATTGATCCCGAGGCTATGGAGGGGGAAAAATACAACATGTGCCACTTTTGGTCCAACTTCGAAATCGCAAAGCTCAGCTGGTTCCGCAGCAAGGAGTATAACGATTTCTTCCAGATGATGGACCGGAGTGGTGGATTCTGGATGGAACGGGTAAGTTGCAACCATGGAACCGCATCTTGCAGGATGAGAATTTAGCATGTCAACTAACTCGGCTATTAGTGGGGAGATGCTCCCATCCACTCTCTAGCTGCCGGTGCTCTGCTAGCCCCTCGAGACATTCACTACTTCAGAGACTTTGGATATCGACACACGACTATCCAGCACTGCCCCGCCAATGCCCCTGCTCGACAGCTTCCTCGACCCCCCTTCCTCGAGATGACGACTCCGGATGAGCGGAAACGAAAAGAAGAAGACGAGTACTGGGAAAGCTGGGACGAACCCAAGGAGAACGGAGTCGGATGCCGCTGCCGATGTGATACCGACATTGTTGACGTTGAGGGTAAGGACGGTTCATGTCTGGCCGAGTGGGTTGACGTCGCAGGTGGCTGGGCCTCACCATAAACGAATAAAAGGAGATTGGGGGGCCTTTTTCTTCTTCTTCTTTTGGAAATTTGAATAAAGAACGGCCTGGTTCTTCCGCTTATGGAGCCGGCCATTAATGAAGTGCACGAACTTAATACAGACCAAGGAAAAAAAACACCAACAAGCACAAGGTGTTAGGACACGGCTACAACGTCTCATCTATACCAATGAGGGAGGCGATTGGCGACAGGCTCGTGTTGTATCTTGTTTTGGGGTATCTGGAGGAGGGGTGCGACGGCGGAAAACGGTTCTTACTTGTGTGAGGCATGGGGCTTTTCGAATGGGGCCCGTGCCTCTCTTATTATTATTTTCAGACAATGCTTGCCACTGCATCTAGGATACAAGAGGGATGAGCACAAGCGGCGATGATAAGGGTTCCTTTTTTTTTTATACATACATATATATTAAAGTAAAGCAAAGGGTTAGGCGATGGGAATTCAATGTGTGGTTTTTTTCATCGGAGATGCATGTGTGGTTCTTGGGATGATGGCGGGAGTGAGGGTTGGCGGCATTGTTAGATGTATTACTTTTTACTTATTGTGTGGCAGGCATGAGGTAATGGTTTGGGCATAGTTGTATTAGAGGTGTGCAAGATGAAGCTTTTTATAAGTTTATTGAGATACTTGTTCAAGTCTGATATGTGACTTGTGCGTCATGTTGGGTATTATGATGATGATTGAGCTGCCAGTATAAGCAATTATGTGGCAATGTTCAGAGGAAGATGAGCTTGAGTTGGACCAGCTCCTCGGCTTATTAAACCAAACATACGTGCTCTGTAAGATAAAACCTCGATCTTCTGTTCAACGCCTGATGCCTTTGATGTTCACTATCGCGCCTCATACGTCGCTTGCAGAGGCGCCACAACCGTACTGTAAAACTCATGCTGGAACTTATCCAGATCAAAGTCCATCTGCTCTTGATCAGCGAGAAAGACACTGTATACGCATCGCTGAGCGGCGTTGAAGTAGTATATCCCAGCTTCTAGCTCTACACGATCAAGGTAGTGCTTCAGCGGGCGGTAATCGTGTTGAAGTATAGCAGAGAGTGACTCTTGGCTGAAGGATTGATTGACGGCGAGTTCGATGAGGAGAATGCCGAGCTCGAAGATGAGGTTCTTTGGGGTTGTTTGACCGAGCGAGGTGGATGACGATGCTGGCGATGGGAGCGACGTCTTGGAGATTATGCATGAGAGGTAGACTTTCTCGGAAAGGCTTATGTAGCCGTTTGCTTGTTTTCGTTGGAGGAAGAGCTTGACTTTGCGTCTGTCTAGGCCGTGGGAGAGCCAGGGGCTGCCGGAGAGGTATAGGACCGCCCAAGCGAGGGAGGCGGCGATGCCGTATCTTCGTTTTGCGGAGAGGGGTTGGATGGCGGGAGCTACGCGCTGGGATTCCGTGGCGATGATTTTCTCGAGGGAGACGTCTCGTAGGATTGCGTCGTGGTTTCGCGATACGTGGCTTAGGGAGAAGATTGTTTGTTCGTGGGATGATGAGGGGGTTGGGTCTTTGAGGGAGCCGAAGACGTCTTCGTGGGGGGATGAGTCGAAGTCGTTGCAGAGATTGGTTATGGGGGGAGGGCTGGGGGCGATGATTTCGGAGATGCTTGGGATGATTGATGTGTCTTCTACGCTGGCTGTGGTTTGGAAATGTTGAGTTAGATGGGCTGTTTGCGAGTGAGGAACTTGGAGAATACGGACCTCTTGGGGTGGGGAGTTGTTTGAATGAATCTCGCGATTTGCTCCATATGCCATGTGCCATCTCGCGTAACCCTTGTGAATAGGATGATCGTCTCGACCGGAGAGTCGACGGTCTGGATCGTAACGAATGTGGCGACATTGGCGGTGAATCTAAACCCGTGGACTTTTTGGTTGCTTCTTCAGCGGCATAAAAGACTCTCCACGGAGCAGTTCGAGCATCATCCAACTCGTGCAAAATACCAATTCGAAACGTCAAAAGAGGAATCCCTCCTGCGTGAAGGCTGTTTAGCTCGATACACACCTGATGGCTCTTCGCGCCATCCCTATCTAACCCTGCCTGAAGCGCTCGATGGAGAGCTCGAAGGGTGTTTCGGACTGATTCGCAGTTGCTCCTATTGTACAGCCGCCTTACTCTCCTCATGGCGTAGCTCTCGTCATGTGGGAGAGTTGCTGCGCTTTCTATGAGATGCCGGAGGTCGTCGTTCCAGTTGCGCAGATCGTGGATGATCTTGTCGCATTTCTTTGCGCGGAAACTTCGTTTGACGCGGCGCCATTCCCACGATGCCCTTTCGGAAGATTCGTGTGTCCACAAGGGCTGGAGTTTACAAAGTAAGTACAGAATGCTTTATGATGGAGGAAGAACGCGGGACAAAAGCGACTACAAAAAAGAAACCATCTTACTTTGCGGCTCATGTCTACTTGTAGATTCTCCATCAATTTCATCATCATGTCGTCCATCTGCCGAATAATAAAGAGAATCTCACGGTGGTTCTGCGGAAACTTTTGGCGCAGGCACTCATGCAGCTCGCGCGGCGTCGGGTGTCGCAAGCCGATGCTCTGAAAGGTCGCCTCGAGATGCATCCGCTGGATCTGCAGGTTGGCCTGAAGCGTGCTGATTGCATTGTGATACCCGGTGTATGCTTCCAAAGGCTCCGAGTACTTCTCCAGCGCCCAGATGACGATGGGGAGGACGCTGAGGGCTAGACCGACTGCTTCTGCCATTGTTGAGATTTGGCTGCTGTGTGGGGGGTTTTCGAGCTGTGCGAGGGAGACATCTAAGCGTTATGGACAAGTTGATGATGGAGCTGTGGAATGCTGAGTTGAGGCTTTTGCCTCGGAGAATATCCCGTCTAGTTCGCAGGACCCGTCTCATGCAAGACAGTGTCTTTGCCATGCGCCTTGCGGAGACGGAGTGCATTGGGGGCGATGAATCTTTTGGACGGGACTGCGGAGAGAGGGATGGGCGGGAAGGCATGGCGATTCGATGAGGTGGTATTGAAAGGAATGGCTTCCCTGCTAGACAGGGGTAGCCGAGTGCCAAACCAATGCGGGCGCTGACTCGAGAGCTCGGTCGAGGACGGCGATGGGTGATGTGTTTCGGCGTGAAGAGCGAGGCTGGGATGATGATGAATGTTGGGAGAAGATATATTGCGAGGTTGGTCATTGCTTTGCTGTATTGATGTTTTAAGTAGGCGTTTTAACTATTGCTTGGGAGAACCGTATGAGGCAACTCAGAGACTCGGATGGCTGAGACATGCCAGTTTGGGTCATCTTTGGATTGGTTGCCTTTTATTCATGCGATGCAATCACAATCAGGGCCCTCGAAATTGTAAATCATATAAGTTGTATTTTCTCTATTGGTTAGCCATGGGTATTAAATGTGATATTAAATGTGATGCAACTTGGAATATATATTTCTAGCGCAGTTTCGATGACAACCTTGCGACCCTGTCGATACGATCCCTGAGCCGCGGAGATGATTGTGACACGCTTGAAATTCGAAAGAGGTTACGATATTTACGTCGGCAGAAACATCAAATCCTATATAATATATAATGCCTTCCCCCATGATATTGCAGAAACTGTCAAGCTTATAGATCTGTGACCCGAGTCGCCACCACCCGAACCGAATCTTGCCCAATCGAGTAGCCACTTCGGGAGACCCGACCCGAATCGGGAATCCACCATCATCCGAGATGACGAAATCAGATGTCAGCTGTCAGTGGCTTTTATATGAGCTCTGAAGAGTAAGATACGTTTTCATATAAATATATAAATAGTAAAGAACGTTGAAGTTGAACTAATACACCCATACGAGACATTGAACCACTTTAATTGCCAAGTTCCGTCATGATGAAAGCCGTCGAAGTCCTGGGCACCAAAGCCAATCCTCAAGTCACGCTCAACCCCGCCGTCCCAAAGCCATCACCAAAAAATGGTGAGATTCTCATCAAGGTTCACGCTGCGGGGCTGACTGGAGATGAAATCACCTGGTGGGAATTGTGGGAGCATCCCATTCGCATTCCGGGCCACGACATCTCTGGAGAAGTCGCTGAGCTGGGCCCGAATTACAAAGGAGACTTGAAGGTTGGAGATGAAGTTTACTCCATGATCCATGGCTGGAGGGGGCTGGGACAAGCAGAGTATGCCATCGTGGAGAGCGACGAAGTAGCCAGGAAACCAAAATCTTTGAGCTACGCTCAGGCATCTGCGCTGCCAATTCCTTTGCTGACTGCTTGGGAATCTATTTTTGAGCGTGCTAATTTACAAAAGGGGCAGAAGGTCCTTGTTACTGGAGCTTCTGGTGCTGTGGGCGTCATCGTTGTACAGATGGCCTCTCGACTAGTCGGTGCTGAGGTTGTTGCCCTCTCAAGCGCCCAACATCACGATTCATTAAGAGCACTTGGCGCCAGCCAGCTCGTTGACTACAACGGTCCTAATTGGGAGGATACAATCACGGATGTTGATGTCGTTATCGACACCGTTGGGAACCCAGTCTTGGCCAAGACATGGACGACGGTAAAAAGCCACGGTCACATCATCACAGTTGGACAGCCTCCGGCGGCATGGGAGTATGGAAAAGGTCGACCTGAGGAGCTGGATGATTTCCCCAATGTGAAGTGGCTCTTCTTCGTTGTCACACCAAAGGCCGAAACGCTGGATAAGGTGGCACGGTTGATCGATGAGGGGGCGATTAAACCTATAGCGATTGAGGTTTTCCCTCTTGATAAGGTGGTTCAGGCACATAAGCATGCCTCGATACGGAACCGAAAAGGGAAAGTTGTCATTGAGTTTGTACCGGAAAAGAATTGAGTGTTGGATTTAGATAAATGGGATATGGTGGAATTTAAAAATGAATACTTGTACGTCTGTTCAATCTAAATTTCTATAACGATACTCTAATTTCGTACGTGTTTTCATGAAGGTCAATGTCAGTTACCACTTGCGGTCTATGTGATCGAACGCGGCAAACTTTCCTCCCTCAGTCCTTTTCATCTCATCAATCTGTCACCTGTCAGTATTATCCGGAAAGTAATTACTGTCAGAATAGCTAGCATCATTCACTTACCTCCTGAAAGACACCTTCGATGGAAATGTCCAATGGCACAGGTGCCGTCTCTCCGAAGCTCAGCTTCTGTGCTCCAATGTTGCCCATATCCGTCTGAGTCCAACCAGGGCAGATAACCATGGACGTAAGCCACTTCTCCTCAAAATGGACTTTGCGCATCAGATAGTTGATGGCAGCTTTACTGGCTCCGTATGCTCCCAATTGTACGGGGTATCCTTCTATTTCGGCGATGCTTCCCACCGAACTCGAGATGACGACAAATCTGGGGTTGGCTGCATTCTGAAGGAGCGATTTGGCGGCTTGAAGAAGAGCAATGGGAGCGAGGGTGTTGACTGCAACGTGGGCGGAAACCTCATCCAGAGCCATCTCCATGACGGGGCCGTACGCGTCAAGAATTCCAGCATTGGCAATGACGAGATCGAGATGGTTGATTCTATCGGAGATGCTTGCGAGGCCGAAGGCAGCGCTGGAGGTGTCCAGACTGTCAATCTTGGTGATGATGAGCGAGCTCTCGGTTCCATGGGAGAGCTCCAACAGAGCCTCGGTGGACGGAGCGTTGTCGGGATTCCGCACGGCAGCAATAAGAATTGTGTTATCTCTGGATAGAAACTTTTTGGCGAGTTGAAACCCAATGCCTGTCAAACGTTAGAATGAAGTATTATGAGATGGCGGACCATGCTGCCAGGCATACCTCGATTGGCACTGGTGATGAGAACAACAGTCTTCTTTGAGGCAGTCATGTTGATGAGTTGCGTGAAATAGTCTTAAGCACAATGTAATTTTATAAAGCTGTAACCAGATGTTTGATGATTTGAATTGATTGACTTGTATCCCTTCATCTTCTACTGCAGCGACTCAACTACTTATTTATCTTTCGAGCTCACAGGGTTAACTATCTCCGTCTCTTTGGTCGGTATCACCGTATCACCGCATCACCGTTTATCCTTGTATCCAAGAGTCCTGACAAACCATCATGTTGAAAAATAATGAATGATACATAGTATACTCTGAATTTGCTGCCATCGGCGACAGCAAGTCACCGAGAGCGACCGACCGTGCTTAAGAGACGGAGCGGCACCGTCCGCTCCCCTGCCGCTCCAAGGATAGCGGCCATTTGTCAGCTTCTCAATGAGTTGTGCACCGAGAGACGCCGACAGATTGGTGGCTCTATTTCTTCAACTCTTGTGTCTCAAGTTGTTGTCCTTGCAACCATCCTATCGGTCTTCTCGGTCGCTATCATATTCATCATCAAGCCGAGCGTTCTATTTGCCTACGGCATTACGAAAATAGTTTTACTATCAAGTTGCGGAATGGAATCTGAGGATGCATTGACAGGGTTGCAGCCCGATGCTTCAGACGAGTCTCCATCAGACATTCCCTCAATATCGACGGCATCCACTCATAGTCCAAAGCTGAAAAGCCGAGTATGCACCCCATTGTTTGCCAAGTTTACGAAACATCGTATTTACAAGAAATTCTTTAGGCTTGTGATACTTGTCACAAAAGGAAAGTCAAATGTGACAACGCTAAGCCGTCTTGCTCGGAGTGCGTCAAGTTTCACGCGCAGTGTACATATATTGTGGCAGCAACATCAAAGAAAATCACGCGCCGAAGGTGAGCTTAGCTTTTCTTTCTCTTTCTAAAATTGCCCTTTCACCTTGGCCAATTTGCACCTGAATTCATCTCTTGTCTTGTGACCTCTCAGTCCTAACGAAGAGCCCCAGGCCGAAGAGGAACGAAGCTCTTGAAAAGAGGGTCAATGAGCTCGAGAGCCTTCTGCGTCAGGCAGTTAACGGTCTTGAAGCTACAGACTTCAGCCGGAATTATACAAATGAGAGCACTTCAATACAGGAGCTTTCAACAGTACACAGCCCGAAAGATTCCTCGTCACCCCCAAACTCTACTTCAACCACTACCACGAGCGAACCCAATGCTCAATATGTCGAAACTCCATTATTTAATAGAGAGCTTGTGACTTGGATTTCTGGATGCTTCACGACTGTATCTGTGTCAAGACCACCTCACAGCCGTACCGGGCATACCAGATTGAGAAGACGGTCAGAGTTCATGGCTCTTATTCGAAGCTATTTCCACACCTACAATCGAATCGTCCCGCTCTTCGACGAAGATGACTTCATGCATCGATTTGCCGAACTAGACATGGATCAGATCCGGGCCGATGCAGCATTCTGGACTGCCACAAACGTCATGTGTGCCATTGCTCTCCGCCAGCAAAATCTGTCGTATTTTGCCGACTCTCCCAACAACCCGGACCGTGAAGCATGGGAATACCTCGATACCGCATTAGACAAGGCGGTGGAACTCACAATCCGTGGTAGCAATGACCTCCTCGCCATTCAGGCACTGGTGGGAATGGCCATTTTCCTACAAACCGCGCCGGACGCACATGCTGCATCGACACTCCTTGCTGCTGCAAATCGGCTGCTCCTTCAAAATGGTCTCCATATTCAGAAAGATGAACAGCTTTTGGGGCAATCCGGATCTGAAGCTTTCCGTCTCATGGTACAGCGAAATCGTGTCTTCTGGATAGCTTTCAATCTGGACCATGATCTTGCCACCCGGCTTGAAAGGCCACCGCTAATACACGAAGATGATATCGGTGCTGATCTTCCTCTACTATATCCCGAAGATGAACTGGGCTGTATATCATCTGTTGATAATTCTACAAAGATCAACTACCTGCGGGCACGATCTCACCTTGCTCTTATCGAAAATCGTATTCACCGACGACTCATGTCTGCCAGAGCAAAACGTCAAACAGCCCTCGAACGAGGGGCTGCAATTAATGAACTAGAAGCGGAGCTTAGCATTTGGAAAGCCTCATATCTAGATCTAAGTGCTACTCTCGATTATCTTGCTACACATCGCGCACTGTGGGTGAGCTTTGAAGGGCCAGCGTTTCAGATGTTACGAGCACTTTCTCTTGCCTACCTTGGTTGCCATGCCAATTTGCATGGTCTATCTTACCGGTCTCTGAGAGTGCAAGAATGGAGTCACCCCCGGTTGTTGAATACCGCTGATCCGACAGAGATTGACCTATTGCCATCAATCTCAGACGTATATGGAGATAATGGACCTCCTAATTGCTGTGTTTCGGTGGCGAGAGCGTCTTTAATTCTACTTCATCTTAGCCAAAGTACCGATCATGCCTGTACATGGTGAGTTCCATTGACCTAAGCAGATATTACCCGTGGTATAAACTCAATTGACAAATATCTTCTGCGTATACAGGTCTTCACTGCATCATCTTATTACAGCGTTGATAGTCCTCGTTTCTAATGCTGCAAGAAACCCCCTGACTGAAGAATCAATGGCAGATATACAGCTAGTGCTTCCAGTTGTAGAGATGCTGCGTCGATTCGAGAAGGTCTCAATGGATACTGGTATAGAGGATACGAAAAAGGTGGCTGCGCAACTGGTGCATGAATATGCACGTAGGGCGCTGTTTGATCAAGCAGGGTTCGTGGGCATGCAATCTGAACTTTGCAAAATAGTTAACAATGGTGCTCCATGAGAGGAATCATTTGCTGAAGTTGTTTGGATATAAACTTACTCCAATTATAGATTTAAATACAAGGATAGCTCAGTCTAGAGGCTTATGGCTTTATTCACTGTGTCTCGAGCAGACGAAAGAATGCCCAGATATTAAACCCGACTCTGCCAGGCCCTTCTCCTCACCCTACGTTATGGAAATATTCGTATTAGTAGGCCCCACAAGTAGTGGAATAGACTAGTTCCGAAAAGAGAGCTGAGAAAGAATCTCGTGTTACCAATGTTTGTTTACTTAGTAGTTCCTGACTGGTTTTTGAGCGTCTGTTGTATCATCTACAATACGGTAGATCTCAAAACTTCCTTGAAAATCCTCTCAATGCACCCGGTGAACAACCCATTAATCCCAGTACAACACGTTGCCGACATTGCTATTGTAAATCCTCCAACTGCCGGCATGTTGTGACGTTCAACAGCGCGGCCTATCTACCATTTCTGGGGTTATATGCGAAACTACCCCCCACAATGCCCTTGCCAAGCTGTATCACAAGAATTTCGAGTCATTACTTGCATTAAGTGCTGAGATCTAGGCGAACTCCGAGCCCAATGCCCGTCAACTCTTACAAGATCTTCGAAGTGAACTCATGTTAACTCTAGGAACTCGGTTACAGCCAACATCAACTTTGGGATCTTAGGCTGTAGACGATCACCAAAAGAGTGCATCCGAAATGTAGCACGTGGACCAACGCCACTGGATAAACATACAAAGAAATTGAGAAACAGCTAGCTTTAACATCACCTTGCTCGGACACCCTCGGGCCTTACGGTGGAGCCACGGTAGGCGAATATAATGTGACTCCACCATCGTCTCTCCCGTAGATCGAAGATGGGATTCTCTCGCTCGCCAGTCGTATACTGGATTGTCAGTGGGTCAGCCGTTTTGATTCCGTTGGCGTGGGTGGGTGATCGTGCCGTCTTGCCGGTATCGTCGGGCTGTTAAGGCTGTGACGCCACCTACTGGAGCCGTTTCGTCAAGGAGGGGCTCAGATCAGTAGGGATACACTTGATCTTGGAACTAGTGGGGTATGCTCTCAGCTGTATGTGAATGGTGTATCGATGGAGGGGAAATTTAGCCATTTCTTTCTGCAGATGAGGCAACATGGGTTGTAGAGCTATTGCCCCTACTCACCCCCTGAGAATTTTAGCGGAAGTGGCCACGAAGTAGCATTGTTATGGTGCCTAGGTTCTCAATTCTATATAACATTTAGAACTAATTGGATGGAGACAACTCTTGTCATAGCCAATGGTATTGTTAGAATATATGTGTAGCTGGTGTGGTTTGATCTTTCAGTCTAGCGGTAAGAAGAGGAAACAAAAGAAATGTTGATATGAACGTAATTTCAGGTTGTTATTTTTCAGTAATTCTTGTCTCTTTTCACCGAAAAATATGCTAGAAGTTGTACAAACTAATCAGGTGGTCTTATACAACCTTGAGTGCTATCTTCTGGGTTGTGCTCCAGAGTGACTATTCAACACTTATCCTTCAGCATGGCCAAATAGACAGAGTAATTGGCACCGCCGAGACCTCCACTACAGCTGCATGTGCTGGCGAAGCAACAGGTATGATGTGGGTCAAGAACTCAATGTTTCTCCATGCCAAAGAAAGCCATCAGAAGTGGCCTTGTGTACTCAGAAGGTCTTACGGTCTTTCATGAATGGCATCTTTGGTGAAGTAGACCTATTCTTGGACTTCATGAATGGGAGCTCTATATGTACGATGCCAATATGCCAGGCGCAACACAAACTGCAAGAATCACCATTCTCAGTAATGACGCGCATCGATTCACGCGGTATTCCTTCTGCTCAAACCCTCTCATGCCCCTCAATTCGCTCTCGGCTAATGTGAACAAGGATGAAGTGGTTTGCATGCTTTGACGCAAGCACTAGCCCGCCACATCTTCCGATTCGAAACTGGACCGGGAAGTGGGATTTGGACGAACTGGGTGGTACTGATCGAGAGAGGCTGGCAGATCTATTGGTTCAGGTAATAGAGAGAGAGTTGCATCCTCGCCAATGCATAGTTGGACCCACGGATCCTTCTTGGCCATACTCAATACAGATTCTTTACGAAGTTGAGTGGCGCTTCAACGTTCCATCAGATCTGGGAGTCCTCGAGGTTTAATTGGGAGTGACCTTCAGTATAGAAGAGCTGGGGGCAGAAGTAAAGCTTCTTTTATAAACATCTCGCTTTTCATAACCATTTATCGACGCGAATTCATTCTAGATTTAATAATACAACGATGTGCTTGGTGTGGCCGACTTGTAAGATTATAGCACACAGCATGATTTCACTTCAGCTTGCCCATGTCTGACTATTCCGGCAATCCCGCTTCTTCGCCTCAAGCTTGCTAGATATAAGGTGATCAGGCCAAAGACTTGGCTTGTATGAGAGTGCATGGATTGGAGTTTATTTCTCTTATTGAGTCGGATATTCGGCTGATGAGCCATGGTAAGTCATTCTAGCATACTGCGACGGTGCTGCGTAATGATATGCTCATGCAATGCTTGCGTAGCTGCATTGAGGTGTAGAAGCATCCATTTTGCTGGATCTATTGGAGGAGAAAGTACTCAATTGAAATATTTTCAGGCTAAAATTCTCCAATTGGTGCAAATGACTCGTTTCGTCAATGGCTTGAAGCTTGTGCAGACGTAGCTGAGGTCTTGGGAGCTTCTGAGATTACGCACATCCTGGTATCGCGTAACATCGTCGAAGACAATGTTGCCATGAGGCGTAAATGCCTTCGTTTATTGGTCGAATGATATATATTTTGTGGCGGTTTTGATTGACGAAAAGGGAATGTGTGAGCGAGGTGTCCAGCTCAGGCCGCGATCGAGCGATTGCAATGTTGGCGGTCCTACCAGCGGAAATCCCAACTGGTTTTTGAGCTGAACTATGACCAAAATAGACTGGAAACGAGAAGTTGACGGCGGGTTGACGTATGTCTGCCAGAGCTTGGAGACAAGCGATTGGACCTTGACGTGAATTAAGTTTGGCAACGTACGGAGGAGATATCAATCAGCTAAGCTGTTTCTGACGCCGCGTCGGTCCATTCCTGTAAGAGCGTAGACGCAGCCACAGCCAATAGGACCAAAGGTAGCGCAACGTTGATGGCGTTGACTACGGCAGCTTCACAGCTTGTCTAGACTCAACTTTTCTTTACGGAACAATGGACGACGCTTCCTATTCGTTCAATTGAGACAGGTCAACGGACTAATAGGTAAGAAAAATGCAACTAAAGGTCCCGACCTGTGTTCTGAAGCCACGAGATGCACCCAGGTTCGAAGCATCAAGCAAAATGACTCGATATCTTTCAACAAAAACTCAAAGTTCCACTCGACGAGATCGACAACTGATCAAATGAGAGATCGATACGAAACAAAGCAGTAATAACCCCTCTTTGAGGCGGGGTTCAGCTGCTCCAGGATTTCTTGATATTGCCCTGTTCGGGATCGGAGCGGTATAGCCATGTATGACATGGCTTGTTATTGCCGTCCTTGGTTATCCGAGGCCCCGAAGAGGTTGCCTCCAGCGAGACAACCATGCCGACGGGATTTAGATGATATCAAGAGAAACTTGGGGAAATCAAGGTATAAAGTTGGCTGAGAGACGCCCGTAAAGAAGCTTTGTTCACCAGATCTCACTACTAAGAATCTCTTGGTAGTTTCTCTACTTGACTTCTACTTATCGTATCCATCTTTATGTCTTCTAAAAATACTGTTCCCATTCAATCCAACAAAATGGGCGTCAACGTGAAAGACGGAGATCGCTTCGACTTTATTGTTGTTGGTGGCGGTACTGCCGGCAACTGTGTTGCCGGCCGTCTGGCTGAAAATTCCAAGGTTCGCATCTTGGTGATTGAAGCCGGTGTTGGTAACCCGGAAGAGCTTCCAGAGATTACCACGCCGTCCAATGCCATGAACCTACGTGGCAGTGCTCACGATTGGGCTTATAAGACGACCATGGTCAGGCGTGATGATTATGAGCGTATCGAAAAGCCGAATTCGAGAGGCAAAATGCTTGGTGGAAGTTCATCATTGAACTACTTTACTTGGGTTCCTGGATGCAAGCCGACGTTTGATCGATGGGCCGAATGGGGTGGCAAAGAATGGACTTGGGATCCCCTCGTTCCTTATCTACGCAAGAGTGCCACTTATCATGATGATCCTAAGCTCTATCTCCCTGAGCTCAAGAAGATTGGTGGAGGAGGGCCAATCCATATCTCTCACGCCGAACTTATTGATGAGATGAAGCCTTTCCGCGATAATCTCGAGAAAGCCTGGGTCTCGCGCGGAGAACCCATGACGGCAAACATTTATGATGGCGAAATGAACGGCCTCTATCACTGTGTCGATACTATTTATAAGGGACAGCGCTCTGGAAGTTACCTCTTCCTCAAGAATAAACCCAACATTACGGTTTTGGCCGAAACTCATGCCAAGAAGCTGCTGATCAACTATGCTGACCGAATCTGCCGTGGCGTGCGAGTTACGACTCCTGATGGCAAAGACATCAACGTATACGCAGACCGTGAGGTTATTCTCTCGGAGGGAGTGTTTGAAAGCCCCAAGCTCTTGATGTTGAGTGGCGTCGGCCCTGCTCGTGAACTGAAAAAGTTCGATATTGATGTCATTGTCGATTCGCGCCATGTTGGCCAGAATCTCATGGATCACCCGGCCGTCCCATTCGTGTTGCGCGTCAAGGATGGCATTGGTATGGATACCGCTGTTCTTCGAAAGAGTAAAGAAAACGAAAAGCTGCATGCTGCTTATAAGAAAGATCATTCTGGACCAGTCGGCTCCGGTTTCTTGGAGATGGTGGCGTTCCCTCGCATTGATAAATATCTACAGAATGATGAGCAGTATCGCGAGGCTAAGAAGGCCAATGGTGGACTTGATCCCTTCTCGCCTGAAGGTCAGCCTCATTTCGAGCTTGACTTCGTTTGCCTTTGGGGCAGCGCATTCCAATGGCACTTCCCGCACCCGCCGGAGGGAGAACACACCACCGTTGTTGTTGACCTAGTCCGTCCGGTCTCTGGTCCTGGCGAGGTCACTTTGAGGAGTGCCGATCCGTTCGAGCAGCCCAACATCAATCTCAATTTCTTCGAAAGCGATCTCGACATCATCGCCATGCGTGAGGGTATCCGCTTCAGCTACGATGTGCTGACCAAGGGTGACGGTTTCAAAGATTGCGTTGTATCTGAGACGCCTTGGAAGATGCCTCTCCATTCTGACGAAGAGATGAAGCGTGCCGTCTTGGATCGCTGTCAAACAGCTTTCCACCCCGTCGGAACCGCCCGCTTGAGCAAGAATATCGACCAGGGCGTGGTCGATCCGGCGCTTAAAGTGCATGGCGTTACTAACCTTCGCGTTATTGATGCTTCTGTCATTCCATTGATTCCAGATTGCCGTATTCAGAACTCTGTGTACGCGGTGGCTGAAAAGGGAGCAGATATGATCAAGGCTGATCACAAGGACGTCTACTAAGTAAATGGACCAAGTTAGTGTAAGGATCATATGGCAGTGTACACGTGAGGAACCAAGAAACCAAAAAAAAGTAAATGAATCACACAACCAGGAGAGGATGGCTGTGATGACAGAAGTCACTATTGATAGCGCAGAACTTAAGCTTAGGGTAGCTCACTAAGTACCAATTCACTCTCTCGTTGTTTGGCGTTTATATCTGCATAACAACAGAATTCTAATGACGATCTGATGTATCGTAAAGCGAAAAAGAAGCCACATCTCAAGATGTAGTGGCATAAGATCTTGTGAATTGAGGGGCACTTTCAATCACATGAACTTGTATACTACTAGCTGCGCTATCAGTGGATGCTAAACAGCCGCACTCAGATACCTTCAATGTTTTCTACACCACAGTGAATCAGTCCCTTGAAAGAGATTCGAGGAGGCTGACTTGTTGCCCATTCTGCGGCACGTCAATGGTTCATGGGGCGATGCTAATGATGATAATCGTCATAGGCAAACTCGCCCGATGCTAGTCAAAATAGCTGGGAATGATGATTATATATATGTCGGTATTCACTTATATACATGTATGCAGAGTTTCACACAAGCAAACTGACAGTGGCAAGTTACATAGAGAGATGTAGTAGGTGCTCGTTTCTCCCGGAGACTTTCTTTCTTCATCTCTCGGTTACATACATCTGCCACGGCCACACACGTGCATAGCACTTCCCGTTCTACGAGAGGCAGTCCAGAGCATTGCTCCGGATTACGAAGCCATGAGACGGGCAATGGCAAGGCAACGAGAGCATTTTAAGACGGTTCAAACGTACATGCTATCTCAGCACTCAAGCGACCGAGATGTTTGCTTTGGCCTACGCGCAGCTCCTGCCAGCTGATATGTTTCCTCGAGTCGCAACCGTCGCTGTGCCAACTCCCAGCTAGATACATGTTTGTTCCAACGTCTCTCAGCTCGCCGTATGTCACACACTCAACATCTTCGTGCCGCATATTATTCCGAAACAATGAGTCTTCCGATTTCCTCGCAAGTAGGTATTCCTTGGCTGCGTCCTCCCAGCACCTGGCTATTTCCACCTACTCCGCGCACCATGAGTGGGCTATCACGTCTGGAATCTCTCCCGCAAGAGTTAATCTCTCATATATGCCGGAAAGTAATCGGCCATCTGAACGACCACATCGGTGATCTGGTTCGAATCAGAGGAGACACACAATATGACACTCCGTCTTTGGCTTCTCTCTGCCGCACATCAACCCGGCTCAGGGATATTGCGACGCCTGTGCTTTATTCTCGCTTCACGACACTCAGAGGGGCTGAGACAGCTATGCGTTTCCTGGCGACCATTTCCCTACGCCCTGACCTGGCCCAATATGTAGAAAAGCTTGATCTCTGTCAGGGGACCTCTATGGAGGAGATTATCTCGCAACGACTATTCGAAACCACTCGAGTGGACGGAAACATGACTATGGCGGAGTGGTTGATACTCAGCAGGGCAGCAGCTTACTTGGGCCTCGATTACATATACCCTCCCATTGATCTAGGGGAGTTCGCCACTATTGTGCAATTGATACTTGCTTACACGCCCTCGGTGAAAAGCGTCCACATTGCCACAATGCTGTCGGGTACTGTGTATGACAAATGGGGCTACACAATACTCCAATCGTTGGCTGATCAGAGACCAAGAAGGGTATCGCTGGCCCATCTCAGATACCTCTATTTGGAACATGTAAAGGACATGAATTTTGGAGGCAGTTTCTGTCTTCAATACTTTGCGGCGATATTTGAACTCGCCCCGTCCATAGAGACTCTTCATATGAATCCCTGTTCTGGAATTAATCTGCTTGAGCAGGTTGCGAGACCTCGAATCTCATTAGCAAACGTCACAACTCTGTCTCTCAATCAAGGAGACACCCCGACCAATGCAGTGAGGTGGATGGTTGGCGATTGTGCACAACTGCAACATTTCCGATACTTTGGTTCAGAGTTCCCGGCCATGGACGGCGTGACCCCCAGGGAGATAATCCAGATCTTACAACTTCATAAAGACAACCTCATCAGTCTTTCTATCCTACTGAAAGCAAGAACATGGAGTGAATTCAATTTGAGTACATGCATGCCCCTCTTTGCGGATGGTGAGCAGATTGTGTCTCTCAAAGATTTCTCAAAGCTCGAAGTCTTTTAGATAGATGTGCTTTCGATTGTGTTTCCAAGAGCGGATGCACCTGATTACCACACGCATGTTCTCAAGGACATGCTGCCTCAGTCGATCAAACGCTTCCGTTTTACTACTCCACAGAAGGAATGCGTGGCCAATCTCAACACCGTGGCTGATTACCGAGCCGATTCTTTCCCTCACCTTCTGGAGGTCTAGTTGACGAACAGTTCTAAATATTTTCCGGAACGAGAGAAGGATTTTGATCCAAACGAGATTAAAGCCGTAAGAGAGAAGCTGTTGGACGGTGGAGTGAAATTCACGCATGTGAAACTGGCCTATCCATGGTGATGACGAGGAAGCAGATATGTGTGCGCAGCGATGATTTAGGATTGGCGGTCATCAGCGTTTGGACAAACAATGTTTTATGCATTAGCTACTGAAGACAAATGAAGGATACATCGACGTTCTTCCCTTGTTGTAAATCTTGACTCTGCACATGTGGTGCTCGTTTCAATGTGCGATGTCCACTCTCTTAGCTCTCAGCTACGAGCGGCTAAGTTAGGACTGTTGGGTATAGCCGTCTGGTGATAGAGCAGAAGACATCCATGCACCCATCCTTGCGAGATGTGAAAGTGATGGAGCTACTGGGCACGCAACGAATACCGCTTCCAGCCAAGGAGGTGCTAGTCCACTTTCCTGTGCCCTCATACCAGCATGCGTGGTTAACAGAGCCATCTAGAGCAGTCTAGAACACCTCCATGTGCTAGCTGTTCATGGAGACGACCTTCAATGATCCCGGGGCAGCAGTAAAGTCCGACAGCTTCTCGAACCTCCAGATTGTGGGCTGTTCAACTTTCCAGTAGCCCTGGTACACCCTGTTATCGTTTCCAATGTAGAAGATGTTCTTGCGGAAGTTGCTTCGCGCGAGAACCGTCATGCCAGAGCTGGTATGTGCTATTTCAGCTGCTCTCAATTTGCCGTACTCTCAGCCGTTGAGAGGATTTCCAGGGGGCCATAGTTGATGGCACCATCCGTGGTGATCCACCAAGCCTCCGCGCGCTGGTCGTTTCTGGTAAGAGCTCCGGAACCCTTGTTCGTGGGCTTCCCATAGGAGCCATCGACAAAGTCCTGATCAATCACTCAGTTTTTACCGGAATTGGTGTTGTCGGAGTGGATTGAAGTTGCCGTTGGTTCCAACGTAGAATATCTCCACGTGCGACGATTCGCGAGAGATCCCCTCAATATGAGTGTCTGGGGCTTTGGATAGCTTTGTCCACACCAGAGTTGCCCCAGCCACCACCTGGCGTCCAGAAACGGCTGTGGATAACGTTGTCTCCTGCTGAGTACTAACAAAAGTCCTCCATGTTTGAGGAAGTGCGGGCAATTGCAGTTAGACCGTTGTAGGCATGGAGGCCGGTCAGGTCCGCGAACCCGATAAGAGACTCCGCGACAGGTTTCCACATTGCCTCGGTTGAGTACCTATGCCATGGTTGCTAATTCGCCGAGAAGAACAGCTCCCAATTCCTTGAAAGGTAATGAAGAACGTGGGGTTCCGCGCCCGGGGTACTGGATATCGGCTTGCAGTCAGTAATTACGTCCCCGATGATCCACTTCCATGCATCTCACATTGTAAGGATCGTTATATGAACTCAATATGATTGCCGAGGCTTCTGATTGCAGCAAACACGTACAGCTTGACAGGGCGGCCGGTTGGGCCCAACCATGTCACGAAATTTCAGGAGGAACGTGCGTGAAGTTCATCGCCGCGTGGCTACATCTCCGGAAGAGCCAGACCGTTGGAAGCAAGGGAGAGGCATCCTCCAAGGAAGAGTGAGGTTCGAAAGATGGACCATTGGTTTGCGGGATTGCAATTGCTTAATGAGATGAATAGACAGTGTTATGAATAGATGCCCTTAAGAACATGCGCGCTGCTGATTATATACATTCTCTCAACGATAGAATGCTCTTGCACGATTCATGAGCTTGCTTCATTGCGAAGAAGGAGGATCCCTGGCGATGCCCCGAAACAGCTTGTGACCCTGGAATTTGGAAATAGGCCGATATCAAATCTGCCTTGTGGATATATTTGTCGTCCACTGTTATCTCTTGACTGTTAAAAATATACCAAAGCTCAATTATACGAGATGCAAATAGAGACTAGGGTTAGTCTAAGTGTCACAGAAACCTCACAAGTAGCGAAGAGGTTGGAGACTGATATAAGGGGTGCAAGGTTGATTGATAGCTTACTTGCATCTATCTAGGAACTCATATACTAGATTAATGCATAAGTCCTCTCATGGGGCTCAACAACAGATCCGGCGTGACTCTTGTTCGTATAAACAACCCGTAGGGCTGAGTAAGCTCTGCGCTTCTATTTTGAACTACGTCTTGAAACTGGGATTCGATTTGGAATTGGCAACTTTCCCCAGCGAATACTATCTAGTAGATTCCATGGATGATTCCCATGCAGAATCTTCCTTGTTTTAAACCTCCAGCGGATTAGGCAGCGCGGAAAGTTTTGCCTTGTTTACTTGTTCACAAATCCGGCGATCCCCAGCTATCCGCCACCCTCAGCTCGTCCCAACTAGGCAATCTGATCATCGCCGCAGACATCTCGGCATTAGTAGTGGGACTGACACATAGTTGTGGACCGCCAGTGGATCAGCTTCTCGCACACAAGTCGGCGTGAATTGTGGATTTTGGCTCAAGACAATGACGCTGATAGGCTGTCTCAATAACTCAAATCTACGATGCTAGTCCTGTTTATCTCTTTCCCGGGGCGGTCTCGCCATCAACTCGGGGATGCTCGTGGGGCTGTTATTACCGGGGGGGGGCTTGAAAGTCGACACCCAACGCCGCCGGCTCTCGCACTCGCTTCGGTATTATCCGTGGAGTGGATAAGGCTCTTTGGGGTCTGAAACAATGAAGAATGAAGAAGCGATTCAACGGGAAGAGATTGCAACAGTAGAATGTCGTAGCCATGACCATGTTATCATTTCCCCAGATACGCGCTTATATTTGGGGGTGGAAGCGGGCGGGAGCTGCTCGTATTCTTCTAAAAGTCGTAGTTGCAAGGTTGCGGGCTCGCTTATGCGTCAAAAGCTGGATGGTGTTGAGGGCGAGTGTGAATGCGGGCAACCACACGCGCTTATACCTTGACCCTGACGATACCTTGACCCTGACGACACCAAGACGTACGCTAAGGGAAATCATCCGAGCGGCGAGAATTCCAGTTTTTTCGAGATTTCGATCCTTCCCGCTCCCTATCGCCGCGAGAGACGCCGCCACTCGGCGATTACTGTCCAGCATCTCCTTGCTCTTATCGTCCTGATTGCTCCTTGTCCACTTCGCTTTCGGAAGGCATTCAACGTCAAGTGCAGTTTAGAAACGATGGTTGCCATAAGCTGGATGGAAACCAACTCGCTAAGATCGCTTGTTTAGGCAACTTCTCCTACGATTTCAGTCTCACCGGAGATGAGCCAAGAGTTTCTCTTCTGCATAGATCGGCAAATGGCATGCGTTCGGCCAAAACAAGGGTTAATTTGTATGATGACAATTAATCAATGTAACAAGTTACTATTTTCTTCTCTCTTTTCGTGTTTGGCGGCCGTCGCGCTTATGAAACTATAACGTTTTCTGACACCCAAGGTTGAATGGTTGACCCCAACTCAGTCTTCTGACTATAGAACGCACAACTCTTCTGTCAAGCAGTTGCGAGTAGATACAAGCAAGTTTAGAACAATACAATACACATGACCAGGGGTAGTTCGTATAATGCCAGTCAGCTGCCCGGATGTCGTTCGATCGTCAAGGCACACACATAATATTCCGCTTATGCCTACACGAACACTGAAGGGCCGTGCCACAACAGCCTTATCTAGGGTGTAATACAGATCTGCTTCCACGTTGCCACCCCCTGATGGTCAGACTAGGCGTTTAAGCTTTGCAGTCCCAGTCAAGTTAAGCATCGGCTGTCGTCTATTTGGCGGGCATTAAGCGCGCCGATGGGATCATTGAGCCATGCCATGCGACGCTCCACAAAGAGGCTGGGAGGTTGCAAGTTTGCCCGCTTGCTAGGATAAACCGGAAATAGAATTGATGACTAGTCGACGGGTGCTTGAGTCAAAATGAAGCCAAGAGGTTGAGAGGCAACTGTATAGTGTCCTAGATTTGTCGATACCGCAAACCTGATTGCCTGAATTGCTTCTCAACGTCGGCGATGGCAAAAAAGCGGAAGTTTCCGTTGAGAACTCTGTCCAGCAAAAAAAAAACCAACAAAAAACAAAAGACAAGAGTCAGAAACAAGACAACTCAAATAGACATAAATACAGCTGTAACTCTGTCTTAAAAAAGAAAGACATGCAACAGGGCAGCTTCAATTACAGCGCAATGACAAAGCGTCTTCGGTCATCCCACCCATCGAGATCGCCTCAATCTTATTGATCAGTTAAGCCATTTTTCGGTCTATTCACGTGATCCAACTCCCTCCCTTACACTATTTCTCTTTACGAGAAGGATGAGGCTCGGTATTACGCCTCCAATTCGGAATCGCTAGCTGTCTAATTGCCCACCAGTGGGAAAGTGGCTTCCCGCGGCCCTGTTAGCTGTCATCGATCCGGTTAATTTAGTGGAGTCTCGGCATCATTGAGACTTAGCGACAGAAGCCCCGTATTGCGAAGCTGGTGCGCCTTGTAGGTCAGCTTTCGGGGGAGCCTAGCTTTGTTGCTTGGCGATACCTTCGCTTGGGGTATATCAAGACAGCATGGACTTATAAACAGCCCGGTTTAATACGGGGGGCTGACACGTTTAAACGAACTGGCTAAAAGATGGAATGTGACTGAGGCATCAAAAAGAAGGGGAAATAAAAGAGGTAAATAAATCACCAGTTTCTCGCGAAGAAGAAGAAGAAGAAGAAGAACAAGAAAAAAGTGGAATTTCAAAGAGTATTAACAACTCGGCGTCTACTAGACAATCACTCTACTCCTATTCCTAATTCATGCAATACAGGAGAAACAAGTTGCCGCGCTTCAGCTCCGTCACAATGCCTGGAGGCGATTCAACAGCAACAGAAAACATACCAGCTGGGGACTTTGACCTGCTCCTCTTCCGGCGGCGGCGCTTCCGTACAGCCAAAGCGTGTTATCCATGCCGTCGACGAAAGGTCAAATGTGACCTAAACCAGCCGTGCGGGACGTGCATCAGTCGGGAGCATCCCGATTTGTGTGACTACACGACCAATACCTTTGCTGGAGCGGAGTCGTCTACCTCCGAACAGAGCCCGAGTGTTCGAGAGCAGCCTGAAGGTGCTCATGTGAGCCCTTCAGCTGCGGAAACAGCTCAAGGGCTGTTTGTCGACTTGGCATTGCCGTTTAGCACCAAGGTGCATCTCGGTTCGGAGTCTCTCCCAGGAATCTTCTCAATGTGTGGGAGAACAAGAAAACAGCCATCAACGGCCCCAGTGAAGCTGTCGACGGATCCAAGGTTGATCTGTGAGCTTCTGTGTCTTCAGGACTCCAGCACCACGTTTCCCTTTACCAACCTGTGGATGCCTGGTGATGGCATAGAAAAAGTGTACAGTGCACTGCCCGAAGACGATGTAATCCTGAAGTAAGTACTTCATTCTCTCCTTTTCTCCTTTTCTTCTTTACGGCAAGAAATTCGAGCTAACAGCTACGAGCCATTTTCGATTATTCCAAGAATCTCTCTTTCATCTCGAACCTTCGATCGTAAACCTCCGAAATTTCGAAACTGTACTCCTAGAATTCCTACGTAAGCGAAGGGCTGTCCCGCCAAACCCGTACCTGGAGCCTCTGTCTGAAAGCACAAGCTCGTGGATTGGCCTCTTATTTGGCATTCTGTCATGCGGTGCCCAACTTGCTGTAGTCGAGGGGGTTGAAGGGGAGCTGGATGCCACGAAAGCGTGGGTTTTTGGTAAGTGACGGACAAAATATCGATTACGTGGAAGTATTTGATTCTTATACTGGTATACAGCATGCTGCTCTTTTCAGTGCTTACGATTTTGCAACTTTACTTCATACCCTAATATCGAGGTTGTCCAAGCCCTAATTATGCTGGTCAATTATCTGAGAAACCAGGGAGATGCAGGGGCTTCGTGGTCGATGTTGGGTGAGTAATCCTCTGTACACTCCTTTTCGATAAGGATTTTACGAGTCATTTTCTTACATTCAACTCCACAATAGGCTTAGCCATACGTCTTGCCCAAACTCTTGGGCTTCACTGCACGCCAGATCCCAACTCCATCAGCAATCCGAAGAAAAGGGAAGAGGCTATCATAAGATCATCCATATGGTAAGCCCAATATTGCAATCTGGCATTTGTGGACTCATTTCTAATCTTGCGGTAAAATCATAGGCGATCCTTAATCTGGCAGGACACCCTCGCCTCCCTCTGCTTCGATCGGCCGTCTGGAATCGTTGTTTTAGAATCCATTCCATCGAACACTGCCTCACCTCGATTCTATTCATTCTTCGATAGCTGCCATCATCTATTTGTGACGGCAAACAAGATCGGCCATGCATTAACCCAAGCAAAATTTTCAGGGGAACGACTGCCCCACGAGACGGTACTCGATTTCAGAAAGCTTGTCAACATTATCGAGACCCGATCGGTGCCGCATTTACAAGATCTTTCCAAGTGTCAATCGAAGAATGATTACATTCAGCACTACATATTCAGACTCTTCACCGATTCGGTCATGGTGTGCCTGTATAGGCCAGCCATGACAGGCAACGAATCTCAAGATGACGACATCACGGATTACTACCTCAATCGATGCCGTTCGACATTACAAACATACATGGAACTGATGAATTTGAATGCCCCGTTCCAGAGGCTTTGGTTCTTTGTTCACATCACATTCAGCAGCGCCCTGATCCTGGGCCAAGCTGCCTACGCGCGCAATGTTCATTCCGATAAGACATTTTTGAAGCGTTTCTTTAATAGTCTCTCGCAAAATCGAGCGTTTGTTAGTGTTCCGATGTATGAAAATGCCTGGAGATTACTACACGAGTTCTTGACGATGAACGACAACAATATGGAGGAATAGAGGGTGAAGGGGGATATACGAGATATACGACGGCGAATTAGCATGGCGCGGCTGGCCGCGCTTTTATACCCTTCCTAAGTAACGAATGATTTTATTTTTTATTTACATCCATCTATCTATATAAGAATAAAAATCTTGAAACTTAATGTTATACATCAATTTCGGTAATGTTGAGCCGCTGTAACAGTTATCGTAGTAACATATACCATTAGTCTATCCAGAATCCTATATTAAACGAAAGGAGTGAGTATCTCACGGATTCTGGCCGGTCGCCTGGCTAAAACGCAAGAATAACCAGTCATCAATACCGTCATGAATGGCGACTGTCCTCCCATGTACCATAAAATTATCTCCAAGCAAGCTTGGCCTACTACCATCAGGCAAGCAAATAGTCTTATGACCATTACGAGTGATCCAGCCATCTTAAGCATCTAAGCCATATAGACACAATGTCGACACCACAGGACTTCCGGTGTCAGCGAATGCCGATGTTACGAATGAGCTTTGGTCGCACTTCAATGTTTGACAAGCTGCTGCTGAGCTTGATGGATTATCGAGGCTCCATACTTCAGTAACAGCGGCATTTGGGCCAGAGATCAACTGTCTGCCATCCGGTGAAAAGGTCATTTTGGGGGGAAATTCATTATGTTGTTCCAGTGTTTGTACACACTTGTATTTGCCGTCAATCTCCCTCCAAATCTTGAGACAGTAACTCGCGCTTGATGCTATCGTTTTTCCATCTGGTGAAATAGCCGTTCTCAGCCCCTGCATGATATCGATGGATACAGGGTGTCACCCAATCTGTACATATTTGCCCGACGTAGTGTCCCAGATCTTTATGTTGCCGTCATTAGAACCCGAGACGAGAAATTTACCATCCTTGGTGAAGGTAACAGATTGTCGTAATACATAGCCGTCGTCATACAAAATAAGAGAAGATGTTGAGGCGAGGTCCCAGATCCTGATTGTGGCATTGTATCCTGCTGATGCTAACTGTTGACTGTCTGATGAGAACATGACCGACGTTATCCGGTCGGTGTGGCCTTCCAGTGTTTGTATGCAAACATGGCCTGCTATATTCCAAATTTGTACAGTATTGTGTGATGCGGAAGCAAGAAGCTTGTCATCTGGTGAAATAGCTATGCGAGTTCCTATGCCCAAGTCTACATATACGGTTTGGACGCATGAATCCCACCCAGTCTGCATGCCGTGCTTCATTTCAAAGAATGTGGCCGGATCTTCTAAAAATTGCTGCCGTATTCGGCTTGTGATTGGACATATAAGAAGGGCCGATGGATGGATTTGGAGGGCAAGGCTCTCAATGGTCTGTTTGGCTGCCAATATGAATCGATAGGCATATCGAATGAGGCCAGTTGAATCATACTTCATCCCCTTCTTCTGTGATTCCCATCAGTTAGCCGCCGAGTTCTCGACACTCTGAGAATAAAAGAAAGGCCGGAGAGTCTCCAGTTTTGGCAAGACTCACAAAGAATTCCTGCAACTTTCTCATTGCTATTACACCTTCCGGTATTCTTCTTAGTAGGCTGAGAGCCTCAAGCAAGAATAGATATTTCCTCTCAATGAATGCTTTGGCATCATCGACCAGTGATTCCCAGATACCTTCTGCTGTTTCTAGTTTGGCCTTGCTCGTAATTGAATCCACGAAATGATCAATCCAGAAAACGCAAGGGTATCCAATGGCGATCAGAGGATCTGGATCAGGAGCCTGGGCATCATCAATGTGTATTCCTGGATCGCTCAGATTATACATATCCCGCCTGAGGAACTAAGTCATGAGTTGTATAGATCGTGATACCATATAGTCATTGGCTGCATCAATCTTCAAGAAAAATGTCTGCTTCGTGTTCGTGCCGGATAAGAAATCTTTTGCTGACTGGTGCACAAAATAGACAACCTCATCTCGAATAGTGAGGAATGAACCGCATTGCGCTATGAGGTCGCAAATGGCTGGTATCTTTTCATCTAACTCTCCTGGGGTTTCAGCAAGTGCTATCAACTCTTGAAGTGTAAGAGGTTGGCGATCAACAGTGACAACAGCAAGAATGCGTTTGCATATCTTGGCTTCATTAGACTTGGCTAAACTTTTAACCATTTGCTCATAAAATGAATCGAGCCCTGGAGGATACGCCTTCAACGTACTTAGGGCATTCCATGCCGAGACCCTCTGCAAAGTTTGGCAAACGAGGGCTACCCAGAGAAATGTGCCATCGGCGTTCTCCAGGAGGTATTTTCGAACAGCTTCTTCCCTGTCCTTTTTATATCCTTTGCTTTCGCTTAACTGTAAGACCTTTTGCTTGATGTATATCTGGACAGCACCGGCCACAGAGTCGGCGTTCAGCTCTAGACTTAGCTGCGCTTGCGGCCCTAAACCCTCCAGCTTGTCTATGATCTGCGAGCGACCAATTACGACTCGAGACAACCCATTTCACATAGGGAAGGCTATTAGACATCTTGACAATGAAATCGAGAAGTCGTGACATGTCCTCACTAACACATTCGTCAAGTGCATCAACAAGCAGACAAGTCGGCTTCTGAGTATTGTTCAACTCCGACAGAAGTGACTCTAAGATGCTAGATAAGGCATACCATGCACTCGGTGGCTCGAAAAGAGATTTTCCTTGACGGGAATAAGGCTCCCGCAAATGCTTCAAAAGGCACCGCTGCTGATCAACTAGCGAGAAGATTAATCCTCATAAGACTGAGGTTGAGTTAATAATTCGTTCGTCGGTGGCTTGACAGAAAAAAAAAGAGATGAGACAGAGGGCGCCAATTTCTGCAAGTTGTCGACTGTGCCACACAAGAGCATCGTTTTGCCTTTTCCTGGATCGCCACAGATCCAGAGAAGTGGACGACTTGGATCTTCAAACCACTGACAAAGGCCGTCGTTCTCCAATATCCAGTTAAAAGAGTCTTGTAACAAGCCCCCCTTTGTATCTTCAATGCGTTTCTTTTCAACATCAGGATCGTGCGGCCACAATTCCTTCAAACAATTTTGATCCTCTGCGGAGATTTCCCGACGGAGTTGTTGCTCCTCTAGAGCTCTTGCAATATTTTTGATCTCCAATTCTTGCGTTTTGGCATGGCTCGCAATGAGTTGGAGGTGTGATCGGGATTGTTGGCTTCCATATATCTCAGTATCCTGGCGCAAACTGTTCTCGGCTTTCTGTATACTTTGGATACTGACTGCCCAATTATCAAGCTTTACCAAATCCCGCAAGAAACCGTAACCACGATTTCTGTGGTAGGAACAAACACTCTTCATTTGATACAGAAGTAGAGCTTTGTAGAGCTCCACCAGCCGTTTCTCAAGCTCGCTCTTCATTCCAGACAGGGCCGCACCGTTAAGAGTGCTTTCGTCAATAAGAATACTGGAAACATTTCCATACCATCTGATGCGAGTAATGACGCATTCGATCCCATCGCGATTTGAGGCGGTCTCTTTGACGGCGCTTTCGAGTACCTAAATTTCTGTTAGAATAACATTGCATATAATTCGAACTCAAGTCTACGTACTCCCAGGGCAACGCATATACCAGACCAGGCAATTGAGGCCTGTGGAACGGCTGCTATTGTCGTACTGACCATGTCTTTGAAAGAAAGGACAATTCCCATCGCAGTCCCAAGGCCGTCTTTCACTTTGGCCTCCCGAGCCGTTGAATCAAGGCCCACGCGGATAAGCTTGTTCATTTGCTGCCGTCGCGCATTTGGACTCTCCGCAATAATGGCATTTGGAGGTGACTTATCCGAATCTGTGGTGAAGCCGTGACCCTGTAGATATTGAGACAGAACTCTCTCATATCCCTCGACGAGTTTGGCATCTTCATGCTTAATGGCATCATAAGCTTCATCCCAAAGTCGCTCTGCTGCATTAGAGGGAGAGTTTCCAAATTGGGTTCCTTTGCTTGAAGAAACTTGGGGCCATGGTCGATGTCGACTGAATCAGGTTGCTGTAAAGCAGTGGGGTGCACTGCTATGCGAGAAGGAGACGCGTCTCTACTCTGGACCGTAGGCGTGGAGGCTGTAGAGATCTTGGAACCATTCACGGGATCCTTTTCAGGTTTGAACTTTCTGCGCAAGCGCCGAAATACGCTTGGGGGCTTTTCCGACATGGCAATTCACGAGATTGAAACGGGAATACAACAAACGGGACTGTAATCATTAGAGGGGAAAGGTTGCTCTGGTGCCAACCGCGAGCCGCATCGATGCATGATTTGCACCGAGGTAGGGATTCGGGAAACTGACCCCGCGCAACGCAGATTGGAGACTCAAGTTGGGTCTTCATGCATGGGATGAGATTGATGTTACGCTGCAGCTGAATAGTGGTAGCCCCCTACGGTACACGATACTCTTGCTACTTTGAAGAATGAAGTAGCTTAGTACTGCCAAGTTGATGAATATATGTATGCTTAATGTAACAGCGACGAAAGGAATCTTCACTGCCTGCACCTGGATTAGGTGGGGGCTATATCTACAATCTTTATGTTATCCACTACCAGACTACATACATACATGTACAAGTAAACAGCCTTAAGGTGGAGCAGCCAGTCTATATATATCAGTCGAGCTTCGAGACTCATCATCAAACACATAGATTGCCAAACCACCGTGCCCAACATGTCCTCCCGCCTTGATAGGGTATACGCACAGCTACTACGTGACCACCCCTACGGATGGGCTCTGTACAAAAAGGTGACCGCTCAAAAGTTACATCCAGGTAGCTGCGGTTATTTTGACTCTGATGGTGACTGGCAAACTCTCATCGACTTGACAAACCTGCACAACGTCGCCGATCGGGGATGGACGATACCCAGCGATGAAATACAAGACAGCGGAGAGCCCGAGTCGATGATATGGGGTCCCAAGAATTCAGACTCTGTTCGGTCCTGCCACGTCGGCGGCAAAGTGGGAGCCACGTAAGTCTTGCATCGTCCTACATGTCCCATTTGAATGCTATACGCAGCATAAATGGCATGCTAATGAAGGATACTAGCGTGGTGGGTGCTCCGGTTGTCGCCTCGGTGGCCATGTCGTTTGAGAGCACCGGCGACAAGGGTGCTGTACTTGCCACCGAGAGTCCTGTTCTGAGGCACCAGATTGGCGACGAATCCAGTGCTTTGCAGTGGATGGCTGAGAATACGGCTGAAATGCTACGACGGCACGGGAGCGTTGTTAAGAAGCACGGTGTCTGGGTCGTGACCAAGACCTACTCTACGCGGCGCAGTGCCGTTGCCGTTATGACGCAAAGATCGTCCAAGGTCGAGATTGGTCTTGGTGCGGATATCCAGGGCCTGCTCACACTATCTCCAGAGAGTTCCTGGACGAGCAGCACCGGTAGCTCCTCCATGGAGTTGCACGAGGATGATGATGGGGTGGTTGTGTTCATCAGCGGGATGTACTTTTCTAAAAAGCTTGCGAGGTCGAGGCTGAGCTACGTTCGAGATCAGCAGGATCAAAAAGATAAGATCCTTCGAGGGGACGATCCAGAGGATACGTGGGATTCTGAGAATGAGAACATCGAGCTCGATGTTGAGTACTACCCACCCCTCGACGAAGACAAATTTGATTGAGCAGGGCGAGAACTATGGTGCGCGGGTTGACCAGAGCGGGGTAACGAAATCAAGGTAGTATCAGCCTCGACGAGGAGGATACAATGCATTCAAGTACATGTATGTGCAAGGATAGCTAGTGAGTCTGATACTACATGTACGAGTACCCGTGCATACTGATGAGATCAATAACCCTGGTAGATAGTAATTAGGTAGGTCGAGTTGGGATACTCAAAACAACCCCAGACCCATCAGGCTACGCATCATTATTCAAGTATCAATCTACGTTTCCATGTATTTTGGACACAATAGTTGGGCTCGTTTACTGCATCAGGCCGCTACAATCAGCTTGCTCTGTGCCAATGAGCCCTCCGGGGCTGGCACCCTTCACGGATGTGGGAAAGAGGGCATTGGCCAGTTGGAGCACGAGGCAGAACTGAGGTTACAGAGAGCCTTGTATTGATCAAAGTAAAATGACTCATTAGCCTGCAGATAATTGGCTATAGGGAAGACACGTTGTTGCGAGCCTGGTCGCTTTGCTATGTGTAATGCAGCAAAGCCGGAATTAGCCCACATTCTAGCAACAGATAAATTCCTCTGAACGACCACAGGCAATCTGGTGAATATCAACAAGTCAAATCTTGAGTCCGCAATCACAGAGAGCAACATAGAATCAAGCTTCAGCTGCTTAGAAACCTCTACTTCGGTATACTACAATGCTGAACCGATATGCCCTGCTGGTCGGCATTGACCTCTATCTCAACGATGGCTCGAGAAGTAAGCCCAACGGTCAGAAGCTGGTTCTCAACAACCTTGGTGGCTGTGTAAACGACACCAAAGCAGTAAGAGAGTTTCTACTCGGCAAAGATGAATTCAACGACATTTCCGTCCTCACGTCCTCATCGCCGGATTCCAACGACGGGGACCTTGCAAAGGCTGTCGAGCCTGAGGAGCGTTGGCCAACGTTTTCTAATATAAAGCGAGAGTTTGATCTTATGCACGACCGCGCAAATGCAGGCGACTTCTTCTTCTTCCATTATTCGGGGCATGGCGCGCAGCTCCAACGGGTCAAGGAGTCGCCCAAAGGGCGTTTAAAAGATTCCTCACTACTCACCATGGACTTTTGCTGCGGGGGTCCAGCGGTGCGCGGATGGCAACTTAACCAATGGCTGGAGAGATTAAATGCCAAGGGAGTTCAAGTGGTCGTCTCCCTGGATAGTTGTCACTCTGGTGGCTCTTGGCGAGAGAGCGACGTATCGTATCGCACGCCCAACGATTGGCCTGAGCTTTCTAACCTGCCAATCGATGAGCATGTTACTGCTAGAGAAGGAAGCGCTGAGCCGGTCTATCGCCATGCTGAGCTAGAGACATCTTGGTCTATCAACCCAGAGGCCTTTACGCTGATGGCAGCCTGTGGGGATAACGAAAGGGCGGCGGAAAAGGTCCTCAATGGGAAACGGAGAGGTGCATTTACCCACGAACTCTTGGACTATCTGGGAGAGAGCAGTTCGCCTGTGACCTATCGCATGATAAGGGACGAACTAGCTGGAAGACTCAAGGGTCAGTCTCCAGAAGTCCACGGCCGCGATAGGATGCTTTTCTTTGGTAGTTCGGAGCTTTCCTCGTCTACGCCTCTCGCTGTGCGAATTGAAGGTGACAAGGTGTCCATCCCAGCTGGTAGGGCGCACGGAGTTCAGCCAGGATCTGAATTTGTGCTATTCCCACAAAGTTTCAACACGATCTTGACAGTAGACGAGGTAGACGACTTTGTCTGCAAAGCGCCTATTTCAAACAGTGCAGCGCTGCTGCTAAAACAACACCATATGGCTGTGCCCTCACGGTGGCACTTGGGAGAGGAAACGCTTCGAGTGCTTGTGGATCCAGTCCTTGGGTTAGAATTTCAGCAGTCCCTTTCCGCATCGCTCCAGTGCAGAATCGGTAGTCTCCTTGACGTCGGCCAGTACGTTCAAGGTGAGGAGAACGCCGGCGCTCTGAGGATAGAGATGCAAGGAGAAGAGATTAAAATTCATGGACCTAAGCTATTGATTGGGTATGACGGTCCTGTGCGGCCGCTGAGGCTCAGAGGTAATGACATCGGGATACTTGCGGCAGAGACCGCGGCTCCTCTGGCACATCTCGCCCGATTTCAACAGGTTTTGAATCTAAAAAGCCAAGGTTCTTCGGAGCCGGCGCCGTTTGTGGTGGACATCAAACCGGCCAACGGCGAGCGTGCAGCTCCCTACCCACTCGACCAAAAGTTCAAGTTTGTGTTTGAGAATACAGGGGATGAATCTCTACATTTTACAGTCATGGTTCTGGGGCCTGAATTCCATATAGAGCAGCTATATCCTTCAAAAGACACGCCGAGTGTCGTGGGTAGAAGCAAACGAGCATTCAACTTTTCCATGAGCCTTCCCACCGGCCCCCAGTGGGCCCAAGAACTACTTCATCGCAACCATCGCCGGGATATCATCCGCACAATAGTTACAAGAGGCAGGCCAGTGTCTTGGAAAAGTCTCGAGTTGCCAAATGTATGGGATGCAAGTCAGATGGGGTTGCGAGAGCACCTTTTCTCTCAAAGGGATGCTGTGCTTGAGCTCGACAGTGATGGCGATTGGTGGGTATACGACAAAGAGATACTTACATCCCAGGCAGTGACAGAAGCTAGATCTGTGCCATCTCTTGATACGACAAATATCCAAGACGCCAGAGTTATCGCCAAAAAAGACGTCGAGCAAAGTGAAATCAAGTTTGAGAGATTGAGAGGAAAGGAACGGAAGTTCAAGAGAGCCATGGCAGTGTTATCTAGAAAGATGCAATTACTTGAATCCAAGGACCTCACTCAAAAGGCACAGGGTGCTATTGACGAAACTCCACCAGGCCACCAAGACAGGGCTAGACGCCTAAATAGTCTTGCAAATCAGCTGGGCGATCGATACGCTCGCACCGGAGCGATGGTAGATCTCGAGGAAGCGATTCGCCTATCACAGGAAGCTGTCAATATAACTCCGTCAAACCACCCTGATCGCGCTAGATGGTTAAATACTCTTGGAGCTCGACTAGGCGATCGATACTCTCGTACCGGACTGGTGGCAGATCTCGAGGAAGCAATTCGCATTTTACAAGAGGCTGTTAGTGAGACTCTGATAGATAGCCCAGACAGGCCTACACATCTAAACAATCTTGGAGATCGACTGAATGATCGATACTCTCGCACCGGAGCGATGGCAGACCTTGGAGAAGCAATTCGCCTATCACAAGAAGCTGTTGATATGACTGCGTCAAACCACCCAGACCGCGCTAGATGGTTAAATAGTCTTGGAACTCGACTGGGAGAGAGATACTCTCGTACTAAAGCAATAAACGACCTGGAGGATGCGATTTGCCAAGTTCAAGAGGCTATCAATGCAAATCAGCCAGGCCAAATAGACAAGACGAATTTATTCAGCAGCTGTGGAATTCGATTCGACACTTTTGACTCTCTTACTGTAGCAGACCGGCAGCGAGCGTCTTACATAATACGCCAGGCCTTTAGTCCAACCGTGTTACAGCATCCAGACCAAGCTGTATGGCGAATTAATCTCGGAAATCTACTGGGGGATAGATATTCTCATGACGGAGATACAGCAGATCTTGAGAGGGCAATGTGTGCAATAGGGGACACTATTGCCACTACACCATATCACCTAAGCCGGGCCAAATGGCATAATAACCTTGCATCTCAAAACATCAGAAGATATTCTTCTACGAAATCAAGAGCAGATCTTGAATCGGCAATTTTTCACATACGAAGCGCCATCGATGGAACTCCTTTAGATCATCCAGACCGGGCTACGTGGCTGGTTAACCTTGGAGTTCAACTGATTGATAGATACTCTTATACTGGGGCTATATCAGATGTTGAGGAATCCAAGAAATGCCTAGTTCAGGCTCTAGATTCTTCGATATCTAGTTTTAGCATACGAGTTAGTGCTGGCCATTGTTATTTATTAACCCCATACATCTTGGATGATCCGCAAGCATATACCATCGCCGAAACCACGAATAATTTAATACCTCTATTGACGCCCCAGTCTCTTAAAAACTCTGATAAACAGCATCTACTTTCCGAGGCCGTGGGAATCTCATCAGATGCGGCAGCCATTGCGTTACATATCAATAAAGGGCCCCTCGCTGCTATCGAATGTCTTGAGACAGGTCGTGGTATTATCGCAGGGGCTCTCTTCAAGGACCACGAAATAACCATTTTACAAAGGCACCACCCCGATATAGCGAAAACTTTCATTGATTCGCGCGCTCTGTTGGATAGACCAATTACCCAGCACTTGGATAATGATGCCGAAAACTCCGCCCGGATCGCAGAAACTGAAGGTGGTCATCGACGCGACGCGGAGCAACGGCTGCTTCGCGATCTAGAGACAATCCGTTCTATGAGTGGGTTTGAGCGATTCCTTCTACCGGCATCGGAGGCCGAAATGCTCGACGCCGCAAGCCATGGTCCAATCGTTATCTTGAATGTGAGCCAACATCGGTGCGATGCATTGATCGTCGAGCAATCCGGTATTCGACTCCTAAAGTTGCCGAATCTCTCCCAAGAGGTTATTGATTACCACGCGTATGATTTAGACTCCATCGAAACACTTATCTGGCTCTGGGATGACATTGTGTGCCCTGTTCTTGATGACCTTGGCTTTACCACCTGTCCATCTGGCAGTCAGCTACCCCGAGTGTGGTGGATTCCAACTGGCAAACTAACGAAATTTCCACTTCATGCGGCGGGCCATCACTTCAAAGGCACTAAAGAGACAGCTCTCGACAGAGTCATCTCCTCTTACGCCTCATCTATTAAGGCCATTATACATAGTCGTCGACAGCAATACCAAGGGCTGGGAGAAACAGAGTCGCTAACTCTTACAACTGTTGCCATGAACGAAACAAAAGCACAAACGCCGCTCCTACATGCAAGCCGCGAAGTCGATGCCGTTTTAGCCGTTTTAGAATCGCCAACACTACAACACACCCAACCTCTTCCATATAGAAACGATGTTCTAACGGCCTTAAAGACATGTAACATATTCCATTTTGCAGGTCATGGTTACACACACGTTTTACAGCCTCTTCAGAGCACACTGCTCCTTGAAGACTGGGAGCAGAGCCCGCTTACAGTTGAAAATCTGTTGGAAACCGACCTCAGCTCACCACCTCCATTCCTCGCGTACCTATCCGCATGTGGGACCGGTCAGATACAACATGAAAAGTCTGTAGATGAAAGTATCCACATAGCGAATGCCTGCCAGCTCGCTGGGTTCCGCCATGTGATCGGGACGCTTTGGAGTGTTGATGATGAGCTGTGTGTCAGTGTGGCTAGGATGACGTATGAGTTCCTTCGCGATAATAGCATGCGAGATGAATATGTAAGCCAAGGACTTCACCACGCGACCAAGATACTACGAGATCAATGGGTTGATAGCAATGATGACAACGCTGCCAATATGGAGGTCGGAAATAAGAGGAATGGCATAATACTGAGGTTCAGAGAAGCAAGGCATGCTCAACTGGATGATGCTCCAGTGATAACACGGCCATTCTGGGTCCCTTATGTCCACTTTGGTGTTTGATGTTGGATAGGTTTCTTTCTTCTTTTATTTTTACTTATTTTTTTCGTTGTCTTTTTCTTTTTTCGTGGTTTGTGTTAGTGGAAGGGATTACTATATTTACAAAGACTCCATTGCATCAGACATATCTTTATGCGTACGAACAGCGTGGACTCAGATGCCGATGGATTTTGCTCTAATAGACGACTTCATCATCATCAGTGTTCGAAACTCGTGCCATGTCCCACTTTCTTTCCAGTGACAGATGCTCGCCGTCTGCTAACTTTATTAATGTCTTTCGCATTTACACTATAGTATATTATACATGTTACCCGTATACAGTATCTTGATAAAGAGGTTTTACTGGCTTTTGAGATGTAGGATAAACGCAACTATAGCATGACGGTTAGTTCTCTGTCAACGATTTTTGCTTGTAGCCCTCCGCCAAACGATTGAGAACCTCAACAGCTTCTTGCTCCCTTCCCAGTGGTATAAACAGATGATCATGATAGAATCCGCTAACTGGATTTACTCCCATATTCTTTTCTGCCAACTTCGTCGCGATCACCGCCATAAAGCCGACAGCCTCTAAACTTGACGTTACGTTGAGCGTAATCATCTTGCAGGGAAAGAAAAAGTCAATCTTATGTGCCGTCGCATATTCCCTGCTGAATATGACTGTAATTCCCTCATTCTCTTTGAACAAGAGCTGTGTTTCTTCTAGAGGCGGGAGATTAGATGCGTTGGCAAGCGTTGCGAAGACGAAAATAGTCTCGTGCAGGGTTGTGGTGAGAGTCGCTAAGAGTTTGGCAAGTGACTTCTCACCCGGATCGCTTGCGAGTACAGACATGGAGATAAAAGGCGATTGGTGGTTTAATAGAGAATGAACTTGTAAGGCGTATTTTCGTGATATGTCACTGTCACCTCTTCGTATTTGTTGTAAATAGATAATGTCCGAACATGGATTTGACAGAGTGAAGCCATTCAGCTTTATACGAAAATGAGCTAAGCGCTAGTCTCGTTCACAGGGCGCGCCTGCGTGTACATACGAGGTAGACTAGCACTGGATGTGGCAAGAGGATATACCAAAATATACGTGATAAGTTTGGTCATTCTTCTCAAGAGTCACGCACAACAGAGAATGGTGTTTTGCACTGAATCGCATTTCTAACCGGTTCCTTGAATGGCGTAAAGGGATGGAATGCGAGAGTTGTCCTTGACATATGTACTGTATTTGTACACAAGTTTTACAGATGCTACTGAGCCCGCCCATGCGTCTGCTGTCACTAGGATATTGGCAAAATAACGATGAAGCTTATGCAATGCGATGCTGGAGCAGGCATGCAGATCTTTGAGTCTCAGGTAATGTTGCATGTAAGCTAATAAGTTGGTGTTTAAAGATTTGAGTTGTCTGCGTTTTTGAAAACACCATGCCGTCCAGCCCCAGCGCTAAACTGAGCGGCTCCCTTGACACTCTCCTTCGTGATTACTGGAGCCCCATTCACAAACTCATTTCGCAGCGCATCCTCGAAAGACGTCGCGTTGTAAGCCGAATAGTAGCAGTTTGCTCGATCGACGTTCATGCAAAGCTGAGGGAATCCCAATAGCTGCTTCGCAATCTTTGTAGCTTCCTCAAGAGACTGGCCCTTGGGGACAACTCGGTTTGCGAGACCCATCTGAAGAGCCTCCTGCGCTCCAACAGGTCTACCAGTGAGAATAAGATCCAGGGCTCGACCGAGGCCAATAATGGCCTGAAGCCGGACCGTTCCGCCATCGACGAGCGGCACGCCGAAGCGCCGACAAAAGATGCCAAAGACGGCATCCTCTTCAACAACGCGGATATCCCCAATAAGAGAAAGCTCCATGCCTCCAGCAACGGCGTACCCCGCAACAGCACAGATGACGGGCTTCTTGATCTGGAGTCTTGAGGGGCCGATAGGGCCGATCTGTCGACCGCCCGTCACGGTATGGGAAGCGTCGACAATCGGGCCAAGGTACTCGTTGTCTCCGGGGCCGTTCCACTTGGCTACTTCGTGTAGATCGAAGCCCGCGCAAAAGTAGCCGTGGTCGCCGTGAAAGACGCAGACTTTTTGGCTAGCATCGTCTTCAAAGGCTAGAAAGGCTTCGTGCAGCTTTCGCGCGGTAGGGCCGTCAACAGCATTCCTGCGATGATGTCTGTTAATGGCGATGATGGTGATGCCGTCGTCAGACCTGGTGACTTTCACAGACGAAGTCTCGGGTTCGGTGGATGCCATCTTTATAGTACGGGATTGTGAGAGTCTTCTGTGAGGCTAACCCGTGGTGCATGCAACGAACATGCACTTGATGAGAATGAATGAAGATGATCTTCTCTGCAATTGATGAGATGTATATAAAGCAATGTCCCCTCCGCTCACCCGACCCAAAGGCGTAATTTACACCTCATCTGTGAGGAGTTCCGGAGTCGGTGTGGAGAAAGATCACCGGCACATGGGAATAAACTTCACTACCATAATGCCGTGAACAGCCGGCACTGTGTATTTATATCGCATTCTTATTCGTGTAATGGCGCCAGAGCTTCTCAAATGATGAATACTTTTCTTTAGTCATTCTCGTTGGAGGCAATTCGCTTCAATGCCTCGGCAAAGTTGAGCATCTGCGGGAGAATTGAGCTAACTTGGACGCAACTAAACGTGCCTTGCCGAAAGAGTGTATAAAACCCGATCTTGGAGGGCATGATCTATGACAAAACGCTTCGGGAATATTAGCGTACCAAGCAAAGATGCACTAAAAAGACGAAGCCGTTGTTAAGGTGCGAGACAAGTTTGACAAGTCAAAGTAATCGGTATTGAATAGCTTGATCTTATTGTCTAATATATGATATCGAGCCGTAGACTTAGATCGTGCCCCAGAAAACCGGACCGTCACTGACTACCGTATACTTTGCTAACCGACTTGAATAATCCATCACTCAAACGAGAATCTACCCAATAGAATTGCGGTTAATTCGCCGACTAACCATAAAGACTCCGACAGAGAAGCCTTAAAGGCTGGAGTATATTTGCTTAATGGCATACCAGAACAATGATCCATCACAGATTTCTTGGAGTGAAGGGACTATGAGATCAGTAATATGCAGTCCGAAACGTAATCTCACCAATCAGCACCTCTGCGCAGCGAGACGATAACGTAGAGTAATCGAATGGCATTTGCAAAAGCTCATTGGTCATTTATTCGGCGAGTTTATAGATACAACTCATCAGACGCGCATCACAAAGTAATCTCTAAAATCACAACCGCCCATAGAAAAAGCTACAAGAGACTTTGGGCATCGGACGAGAGCAATTAGCATCTAAACAAGCAGCACCAATGTCTACATTTCATCTCTTCCCTCTGTTGCCAGCAGAAATCCGGTCGGCGATATACAATCTGGCTACACCGCCTCGGGTCGTTCATATACATCAAGAAGTCGAAAGCTTTGATGACTTCAAAAAGAGGTTACCACACATCACAATCGCTGAGCGTAATCTGCGCCCGGACGTCGATTATTCTTCCTTCTACGAGCTTCTTCGTCAGGCATCGGCCATTCTTGTTCACCAAAGGTGTAAACTCTTCAAGCAAACTAAGCTCGAGGCATATGGATTCACCAGCAACAAGAAGCCGGGTTTCTCCTGGGAATTCGAGTCCATGATGCCATTCGATACTCTCATGAATTATCCTACATTGGCTTTCCCCATATACCGAAGGGCTACTATTACCTGCCAAGCTGCTATCCCACCGCTTCTACACACTTGCTCCGAGTCGCGTTCTTTACTCATCAGCTACGGGTACCAGCTTGCGTTTCCTTCTACTTTGCAAGATCCACGGACGTGGTTTAATCTTGGCCGAGATACACTGCTATTGGATGACGACTTTGACTGCAGCGATGTTGATATGTACGGACCGAAGGAGACGGAAATTGACAGGATCCCGCATACTTTTCATCAGTTCAGGCCTCGAGACGTTGGTCGGCTCCAACGATTAGCATTGGCTAAATCCACCCACTACAGCCGCATGTTTCTTAGCCACAAGCTCTGCCCAAAGCCAAAAGAACTTTTGTTGGTTGAGTGGGATGCTAGCGATTCCGAGCAAGCTCTACGCCAGTCAGTTGTTGATCCAGCCTTGCTTCGCCCGGTTCCAAACATCCCGCCCGCTTATCATGAAGGAGAGCAACTGTGCATACTACCGGTTGAAGAGGTTGATGCTCTATGGACTACACTAGAGTTGGAAGTGTTTGGAGTCGTGGAGGACTGGCATCCTGCTACAAAAGAAAACGCATGGGATCTCAAACAGCACAAGCTTGCCAACGGCTTCGATAGCCGCTTTATTAAAGACAAATTGCGGCAGATGAGAGAAGAATATGTGCAGCGGAGACAAAGCATCGAATATTATAACAAGGAGTTTTACAAGCCACACCAGAGGTTCCCGGCAAAAGAAGAAGAATATCCGCCATGGAGCATACATCGGTTGAGCTTTGCGCATGTTTGCACACTTTACACTGCGAGGAGAATAATGGAAGCCCGCTCGACTTTCATGGAGCAGTTTATAAAGCTAAGAGCAGAGGCAAAATGGTGTGAGGAGCCATGGACCCAGCATCGTCGGTTACCATCTCCTTTTGTTTTGCAGAAGTTTAATAATTGGCCCGCGGTTGAGGAATCACTACACAGTACAGAGTTGGAATGGTGGGTAAAGAACGGACTTCCCATATTTGACAAGTCTTTGCCAGTCTAGGTAGATATTTCGTTCAGATCTCTTGCTTAAGGCATATGTCCACCATGAAGAATGCATGATTATATTTCTAGCCTGTTTCCCATAATCTATAAACGAGCAATGAAGATATACAAGCAATCCATTATGCCATGACTAAATTTCCTTGAACCATCTGAGCCTGACCTTCGCCCTCCAGCGTGAGCGCCATCCATAAGAGCATCGATAAATCGTCCACTCTCTCAACCCATTCAGACAGCTCTTTTGCAAGCTCATCTTTTCCAGTCTCTTTTATGTCGTCGCCGCGCGACAAAGACCGTCGAAGTAAAAATAAGTTGCCCATTGTCAGACTTCCTCTCCCCTTCTCAATTTTGGAGCTTATCTCTTCATTATATCGCTTTTTCCATTCTCTATCCGGTATAGGCTGCCATAGATCTCGTGTGCAGGGCAACGGAAAGTTGATGAACTCTGGACACTTCCCTTTCGAAGGGCTTTCGGCATTGTTGTGAAGTAATAGGTCTACCAGGTACAATAGCAATCCGGTTCTAAGAAAGTTGGCAACAATTTTTCACCGTGAGTAATGTACGATTCAACAACATACCTTCTCATGCTCTCTGCAAAAGCTCAGCCACTTCGCGAGGATTGTATGTATTCTATGTCTATAGCCCACGAAGACACGGTGTATAACCTTCGGGCAAATGCCTATGAGCCCAAGTTAGTGACCATGACGACCATGCAGAATGTCGCATCGGGGTAAAGCAACATACCTCCACGGTCAAGACCAACCACCCAGGATCTTCACTCCTGGCTGACTCGGTGCACTGTGATCGCAGCAAGCCGTAGATGATAGCCGCTTGTAGAGCATGTAGTAAACTCTGTTTATCATAACTCCTGAACTATAACATCATAAGCAAGCTGCTCATGCTAGCTTTTACTGAACGCTGGGCCAAGCAAAGAACTTACCTCGGCATGCATCTGGCGGAGATGAGAGTATATCTGGTCCCATATGAAGCCGCCGGTTTCCTGAGTGCGCGAATAAAACATCTGCGTTAAAGTTCTGCATATTGCCAGAGTTTTAGGCAGGCAGGTATGAGGTGTATCTGGGGGACATTCATTATCTTGGTTAAGAAAACAGGGCGGGTGTATAAAGGGCGGCAAGGTTTTGCCCTCGGCGATTCGGTGTGTGTAGTCGATCATCTGGCTCAACAACATTTTCCCTGTTAAATAACCTTGCTGGAATGATCTCTCCCGTATGGAAAGGTACGGTTTGCGTAAAACATTGGGTGAGAATGCCGCTTCAGTCAGTAGTTCTGGACTGCTAAAGTCTATGGAAGCTAGTACAGGGGAAGATGCACTCCCGAGCCCAGTCACGAAAGGATAAGGAAAGTTGAACGGATTGTAAATTGACAGAGTATCCATATAATAAGGATACATGGATCCATTTTCAGAAGATCCTAGGCTCTTGGACTCAGGAGTTACTGCATGTGGCAGACTTGAAGTGCCGGATGTGTCAAAAAGTGACGGCGTGTCGTTGTGGCAGATGGATAGATCTGGCGTTTTGGCGCCTGAATCGACCAATTTGACAAGATCGGCCAAGGTATTATCTTCTGATATAGCGGTAGAGCTAGGAAAAGAAATCTCTGCCACTGTCGATAGCCCTACGGGCAAAATAGCATCAGAAGGCCTGATCACAGGGGTCGAGTAGTCCAGGTGTGGGTCGCCATCACCGATATTCCTTTCAGCCGTTGCCAGATCAGTCGTAATTGGTAATATCGGTCTAAACTCCTTTTTCCACCGCTGAGGATCAGAAGTCCGACTGCGAGAAGACGAATAGTGGCACTCAAGGCCTCGCTTGGCGCATCGTGAGCACGGAGTAGCCAAAGAACAGCGTGTCTTGGCCACACGGCAATGATCGCAGGATTTCGCTCGACTGATGGGCATCCCGGAGTAACGGCGTATCTGGCAAATCAGGTAACTGAGAAAGAAGTGAAATAAGAAAGGAAGATGGTTGAGTTATCGCCCTTTTCAGCGACTGCTAGACATCCCTAAAACATCTCCGGAGTTGTGAGCCAATGACGTGTCGCCTCCGGAGATTGCAACCAATCATGTTTGGCGTTTGGAGTCATCCATGAAGCTGACTGTTCCGGAGCAAAGAGACGGGCGGCGGGGCCGGCACTAACATTCAGCCCGCTAGAGACTACGGAGGAGAATTGCGTGTTGATGAGAGTGAAAGTCCGCAGTGAATAGTATCATATATCCATAGAGTTTCGAAAAAATTGTATATAAAGGCTTGTATCCGTTGATATTCGAAGTTGGAATGCGTCTTCAACGCACACATCTTCTACCATCATTACACAATGGCTGTTACAAGAAAAACCTGTCTCGTCACAGGCTGCTCCGCCGGTGGAGTTGGCCCAGCTTTCGCAGAGGCCTTCCGAAACAAAGGCTACCACGTCTTTGTCACAGCTCGCACGCCCTCCAAAGTACCAGAGAGTCTACGCGAAGCAGCTAACGTCACTGTGATTACACTCGACGTGACAAACCTGGAATCTATCGCATCAGCCGCAGATGAAGTCCGAAAGCACACGAACAGACTCGATGTTCTGATTAACAACGCTGGTCTTGGTTTAAACATGCCGGGTCTAGACACTTCAATTGAAGAAGCTAAAAAGTTATTCGACCTCAACTTCTTTGGCGTTCTTGCCATGATTCAAACGTTTAGCCCGATGCTAGTTGCAGCCCGGGGTTGCGTGGTTAACAATTCCTCTGTGGGGAGTGTTTTCCCCTTTGCCTTCTCAAGTAGGTACCATCAATATCTCCATCTCACTACAACTGGTCAGGCTAATTTATACAACTAGGTATCTATAACGCTACCAAGGCAGCTCTAAACCAAGCAAGCGAGACTTGGCGCCTTGAAATGGCCCCTCTTGGAGTTCGTGTCATCACACTCATTACGGGTGGCATTGCGACAAAGTTCTTTGTCAACCTACAAACGCCGACTTTTCCGGAAACTTCTTACTACAATTACGTCAAGGACATTATTGAAGACAATCCAGAAGACAATCCATATGGCGTGAAACCAGAAGTATTCGCCCAGGACGTTTTGAATCGGGTTGAAAAGGGAGCCACGGGCAAGCAGTGGGTTGGGGGCGGCGCCAGTATTGGGAGTTTCGCTTTATGGCTGCTACCTCAAGGTGTCATTGTGAGTGTTTTATTTAGAAAATTGACTGCTCAGCATCTTTTGGACTAACAAAGGCGATTTGACAGGACATGCTCATTCTGAGTCAAAAACCGTGGTCGAAGAAGTTGGCACAAGAGCATCTCAAGACCGACTAAATGCGATGGCTGCGATCCACTTTCATCTTACATAGTATAACAATATGCGAATCTTCACTTCTTGTTTGCAATGACCATTCATATTTGTACATTCACCCCAGACATATCTCACATTATAGAGTTCCTTTGTATCAAGTCATGCGGTTCAGAATGTTGAAACTCTCAAAAGACCGAGCTCATAATATACTAACATTTTCTAGCCTAATATGGTCTACAAGAATATGAGTGATGCATTAAATTCTAGTAGTATCGCGGACTTTTTAATTTCCTAAATCGTCAGGTCTTCAGCCTGTTTAGGGAGGAATCCATCCCCCTGTCGTACGTCGGAAGTAGAGGAACCATAACCCCCATGCGATATTATTCTCCGATGTAAGCAGCATTTGGAATCCGAATGCTACATGAGCATATTAATAACAATGATATAAGAAACTTTTGGTCATTAATTTATTCTCGCTTAGTAAAGACAAGAGGGCATTCATCCTAGAAATACGGTTAGCTCAGACATCCATCAAAAGGCCTCTATTGTCAGATACAGCCACTGGAAGGAGTCAACATACCATGGGAAACAGAGTGGCAAACACTCGAATCTCTTCTGATCGAGGCGTCGCGTGGTGCACCCAATCAAGCTCCAATGAGGCCTTGCCAATCATGGCCGCCATGGTGAGCGGCACATATCGTCGTGCAAGACAGTCATGCGCGCCAGCACCGAAAACCAGCCAATTCTTGGTCTTAGTCTCGGCATCGCCTGTGATCCACCGCTCGGGGTCAAAAGTGTCGGGATTCGGATAGGCTACCGGGTCGTGGAGAGCCGGGTAACAGGAGGGGATAATCATGGCGTTCTTCGGCACGGTATAATCGGGAGTAACCGGGAACGCCTTCGTAGCAAGATAAGGCACAAAGATGACAGGTGGGCGATAGCGAAGAAGCTCCTTGATCACAGCGTTGGTGTAAGTCAGCGACTCAAACATCTCAAGCTCGAATGGTCCGTTCTTATCGCCACCTCGTGCTGCCAGATTCTCTGCTCGCAGGCGGTCCAAAACATCGGGTCTCTGAGCCAGAACCTGGAAAAGCCATGTGGTGGCACTGCTAGACGCGTCTTGAGAGGCAAAGAGGAATGTGAAGAGGGTCTGGGCAATCTCTTCATCGGTGAACTCGCGGATAAGATTTGTAGGCTTCTCAATTCCCTCTTTGCCCGCAGCAATGTCTTCGTTGTATCTCTTCGACTCGTACATGTGCTGAACCCACTGGTCGACAATGCATGTGGGTTGAGCTCCAGAGGCCATGTTGGCCTTGCATGCAGCAGCACACTTTGTGAACTCGGCCAGTACGGCATCTGCAGTGCGCTTCCCTCGCCAGCATTTGGTGCCTGGAATATGGATGGAGAGCGGGATGTTGACAAGCTCGAGTGCATCGGTGACGAGATAGAAATCGTCTGCGATTCTCTTGACTGCTTCCTGGGAGATGTAGTCTCCAAAGAAAGTACGGCACGACAACGCACAGTTGATCTCCCTGAACCAGCCCATGAACTTTGCAGGCTTTCCTCCGTTGGCTTTGCTATACTCGACAAATCGGTTGAAGTAGTCAGAATAGACCTTTTCCTGGACAGGCAGATAGGTGCTGAGCGCCCTGTTTGTGAACAACCCAGTCAAGCCTCTGCGGAACTCAGCGTGCGCCTTTCCATTGAGGAACACCCAAGCAGTTGGACGCATAATGTTGATCGCCATGGGAACGAGGCATGGCCTAACGAATGTAGGGGACTTGAAGACTTTGTGTGCCAGGTCGCGGTCCGATGCTAAGACAACAAACCTATGAAGAATTTAGTCAATATCCTAAACATCACGCAAGGGCGGGATCTAGATGTATGCGGGAAACTTACTTGTGAAACACAGATACGCAGCTGAGGGGGCCACTGGCCCATTGAGCAAGATATGCGTCAAACTTGGGGTGGATGGCTTGCAGAAACGGTCCCATGATGGGAATCTTGAAGGCAGGTCCAGCGATTGATCCCTTTTGCCTTAGGTACAACACTGTTCTTGTATCAGCAAGGTGTAACCACGTCAAAGGTCTGACGCAACATACACTGGTCATAGAGAACGAGAAATAGAAAGGCCGTGATGGCAATCTGCCAGCCTGAATAACTTGATAGAAAGCCGCCAGCCAGTCTTGAGGCGTCATGTTGAGTCACGTTGGCTGTAGTCTCAACAGAGAGCGGCAGACTGCCTTCAACGATGGTCGCCATGGTGTCTGTTAGAGCTCGTCAACCACAGGCTATGATGGTAAAGAGTCACGAAAGCCCCCGAACAGCAGACAGCTTTCTGGGGAACGTGTGTTTTTTAACTGTTTGCTAGCGGCCGACATCTTCGTCTTCACGTAATCATTGTGGGTGAATTGGCCAATGGCGGCAAGTTTCAGGCCAGACAAAGTGGCCAGATGTTGACCGCAATCTGAGCAAACGGCACGATCCGTATCCGCGAAATGTGTCGAATGCCCTTCGTACTCGTATTATCACCAACATGTCGACATTTCTCAGCGAGTGGTAGCCGTTTGTGTACTAAACCCCGAGGGAGGACGGGTATGAGTGAGACAGACTCAAACTGTGGGATAACCAATGATGAAGCTAATTGCTCCGGAACTACCGCCGTGATTTAGACATTCGGAGTCTAGTCCTAATTAGTTCTAGACTCCGAGTTCATGGGATGTCCCTGTGGAGTCGAGAATGACAAGACTCTGGCATGATCCTTGTTGTGTCCCGAGCTTCGATTGGGTGTCATGATGAGAATCGAAAGAGCCCATGGTTTGATTGGATGACTTCCGTGAAACCCGCAAACTTGCTAACCTCCTTTTGCAGCCATCTTAAACACTTGCTCCCACTGCTGGCGGAAAAGTTCCTCTTGTGGCACCCTTACCCAGAGGATGCTCTGCAGATGCGTGAGAACATCCTCCCATGTCTTCAAGCCGAGAGCTGCTGCAGCCACGCTCGCTTGATCCGTGAACCACTCGTGGTTCCTGGTGCCAACAGTGGCCGCCATGCCGACAGAAATAGCCCAGATCCCTAGTGGATCGTGGATATGATCATTTCTCAGCAGGGCGGCCAGATGGCACTTGAGCTGAAGAATGATGGCATTGGCTAGGCCAACGTGGGAATAATATGTGGTGCCATGTAAGATTAGCATATAAAGTGCGGTCGCGTATCGGAGACTCTCAGAGGCGGCCGATTGCGCCTGGTTTGCATCTGCATCTGCATCGAGGAATGGAGGCAGCAGCAGCAATTTGTGCATAACAAAACAGGTTAGATCATGCAGCTGCGTGTTGGTCAAGCTTGAGTGCCATGAATGATGAAAGATGTTCCTGAGTCGAGACAAGATGTTGCTCATGGCCGGTGTGATGTTTAGTCTATCCAGATTCGCGTCTTGTGCCTCCGCGTCTGCCGAAGCCAGCTGCCACTGCGGTATTGCGCTGATCCCATCTCCATGACCAGAGTCGTCTTTGATTGGGAATTGAGGCGCTTCCATGACAAGCATAGATACCCTGCAGAAAGTTATTCAGCAGTCATTCCCGCCGTTCATTCGTGCAACACTCACCATGAAACCATTCTCGCCGTGAGCGGGCTTCTCTGTTTGAGCTCATCGATTCCGCCCCTGATGCCAACCATTCTTTTGACTCCATCCATGTGCATTCTACTGGCTTCGATATTGCCCTTTCCATGCTATCCGTACACTGCGTCAGCAAGGAAAGGTACTTGCCTCGTCCGAAGGAAGGGGGTATAGTACCTCAATAGCAGCCAACGTTACCACAGAGTCCAGCGTCTCGTCTTGAAATGCCAATGATGAATCTTCGATTCTTCGCCTCACCAAGGCAATCGAATCGACCATGAGGAGGTCTGAAATCGGGAACCCCTTCTGCGCCTGCAGCTCCTCGTAAAGAGATGCGGTCTGTAATGACACATGAAACAGTGCTTGGTCTGCAAGCGCAAGAGGCCACCAAGAGACAATGAATGGATTGGACTCCATGTTGAGGTCTAGCGGATAGTACTGAAACGCAATGCTGGACAGAACTATCAAGGTTCATAGGTCAGCCGGACATGAACTTTGGCATAGCAGCAAGAGGGAGAGCCATATACACCGGTGGATCAAGCGTTGAACATGTAGCCTAGGAAGCCTTGTCGGCGGATATGAATCAAATGGATCGAAAGAGGCGGTTGCTGGGTTTCGTATCCAAGCCGGATTTTCCGAGAATCGAGATATTGTCTCTCCATCTTGTGGCAGTACAGAAATCGCCTCGCCAAGATTGTCAACAGCCGGGGGACTGTAGCTAGCGACTTCTGTAGATGAGCCGTATGCATCCAATGGTGAGTTTAGCGGTTTATTTGCATATACGCATTTGGAGCTTCTCTTGATACACCGAGAGCACTGGGGGATTCGGAGATCACAGCCGAGCTTCGCCTTTGCGCACGCGTTGCAGGACCTCCGAAGGGTTGTGCGCATTTTCCAGTTGCGGATTTATCAAAACTGAACATTGAAGTGTTCTCGATTTGTGAGAAGAACAAGTTTGTATAGAAATGCAGCCTCTGAGTTGTGTTGGCATAAAGTGAATAAGTTGGTATGAATGAATGAATGTAAATTATTAATTAAGGCGCACGGCTCAAGCATTTGGCGTTGTAGAATGGATGACTAATGCGGGCCGGGTTTCGGCCGGGCTTTGAGAACAACTGATGACATATTCAAATCGAACAGCATAAAGCACATACCAAGTATTTAATGTTATAGACATAAATCGCCCACAAAGTAACGTCACATTCTCGTTCCTTTGCGTCGTATTTCTACAAGCATAATGAGTGATTTTGAGAATTTTTTCCTCTTGTTCAATGCTACTATTGCGTCTATTTTGAAACGTTAAAAGCATGGATATACGCGTGACCAGCTGGCGGGTAATCAAGCGGTTAATCGGAGTTGACAATTGGAACACTACTCAGTGTGGATATAAGTCATTAGAAATAAATTGGCTCTTGATATAGGGACTCATGGTTTTAATTCTGTTTACAGAGACCGTGCTTACACTGAATATGCCATGATGCAATCGCGAGGAGATATTGGCCTTGTAGCCCCTGCTACTCATCCGAGTTCAAAACTTAATGAGCAATGCTATTTTCACCATAGTAGTCCGTGGTAGTACTAAATCTCATATACACATACCACTAATCCTATCAATTAACATCTAATTACAGTGCGGCGCCGTGGCGCGCCATGTACTTTGCGGCATCACACAAGACCTTCAACATCACGAAGTTCGATATCGCGATGGATCACTCCCCGGCGGCGATGCCTTCCATCCGCCGCTATCGTCAGATATACCCTACAGCGCTGGCCGCGATTGCTGCCTCTGCCTTCGAGACCGAATCTAAGGCCGAGGAAGTCATTAAAGTCACCCCAGCCACCCAGATCGGAGAAGATAAGCTGGATAAACTAGCCGGCCCATGAGGAGTATTCAATTAAACTGGAAAGGCTTGAAATGCGATTGTTGAAGCAATTTGCATAGATTGATAGTCTATATAGTGTTGTAATGTGAATTGATATGATCTTCCTTCCCAGTGTGCTGTACCGTATTCTAGTGTGTGGATGTGGTAATTGAGATTAAGAGCACAGGGTAGATCCAGCTCGTGATGTGGAGTACTACGGTGAAAAAAAAAAGCAGCATTTTATGGCAAAAACAGCATTGTTTAACTTATTTGTTATTCATTCTGAGAGAAAATCAGACCCAAAATTGATATACCTAAACCTGACCAGACAAAATGAGTGTACCTATAACCACCTTGTAAAACACCCCTAATAATGACCGTAGAGTCTGAGACTTCCGCTCAGTTCCAATAGCTCCGTTTCCCTTAATCTCCCACCAGTGCCTTTCCCAGATTAACGCCATGCTCGACGAGCTAGACGTCATGATATCATTTCAAAACAACCGCTGATTACAAAAGAAAAAAAAACTGATTATACGCCATATCAAATCAGTTGCTTCCTTTCATTTCAAAGATTGGTACCAAGACTTTTCCCTCAGTATCTCTCTTGTTAGCCAGAGGCGTGGCGTTGAAGGTCTTCTCTTCCGATTCCTCCTTTGCCTCAACTGACATTGGCCACTGGCCGCAAAAGACCCATTTCAAGTTTGGCAAGACCGTTGCGTACTGCTCTGCTTCCTTGAGCATACGGTAAAGATGAGCACGCTCCCAAACCAGATCGTTAGGCGCAAAGTTATTGACATCCGCATGGATGTCGATATCGTAGTCATCTACTTCGAAACCGTAGTTGTCGACATCAATGCCATCAGCCGAATCAGTCGTGCGAGCCTCATTTCGTTGTCTAAGACCCTGATCGACTGGACCAAACTGCGGGAGTGCTTCAGCGTCGTTGAACTCTGCCTGTGTCACCCACTGGTCGTCGTAGTAGCTTTCGATATCAAGGAAGGGCATCTTGTCCGGAATCATGTATGTATCTCTCGAAAAGGCAAGCTTCTGGAGATTATCCAAGCCTTGGAGTCGCATGCGGAAGTCGTCATGGTCGGGCAGCCAAAACTGACGCCAGCCATCAACCTCATCAATAGCCTCACCAGCGCTGATGCAAAGCTGCTCTAATGATTTGATGCTAGCGATGGCGGCCAGCGATTCCGCGGGGATGTATGTGTAAACTTGCTGGGGGGTGCCTGAGCAGCACGATTCGGTTTCAGGGTATCGCCATGATATTGAAAGGGAAGTGAGATTTGACCATTCTCCGCCAGCCAGGGCCGGAAGAATTTGCTGATCCAGGAAAAATGGTGCACTGTTTTGGACAGAGAGTTTGCTGACATGAGTGTGCTGCAAGACAAAGTCTGCAATCAGCTTTGCCAATTCCGTGTCCATGGAGAGAGACGGCACAACCAGCGTTTCAAGGTCGTCAAACGTTGGGCAGTCGGACATGTATTTTCCAGAGGTGTTTGGGCCGTTGAGAGGCAGTGACAGGTGTCTCAGCGGTGCAGCCAAGAACGACGACCAGGCTAACAGGTCAGGATAGCTGGTGCCAGAGGCAAGGTCGAGATAGCGAAGGCGGGGGAATGTCATTGTCTCGTGGCCCCGGAACTTTTCAACCTTTGAGCCGGAGGCTTTGATTGTGAGGCTCTCCAGTGACTCGCAGCTGTGCTGGAGGAAGCTTGATGTGGGTGAAGACGGTCTCTCGGATTTCTTTGCCTTGCCGCTGCTTGTCACCCCTCTAGCATGCATAGAGTCTTTGCAAGAGCTGATGCCCAGTGAAAGCGATTGCAGCTGCGTGGCGTTTGAGCCCAACGGAGACTCTAGAGATAATAGCCCTCCAGCGTAGGCGCCAGAAAACTCGAGATTTTGCAAGGGCAGGCTCGCCAATGTTTCAAAGGCCTCGATGTCGAGACACATCTCATCGTTCCACCAGAGGCTATCAAGATTGGGCATTGCTTGCTCCAAAACCTTGAGAATAGGTTGGCGATAGTTGACGAGGTACTCCTGTGCTGCGTTGGTGCGCAGCTCATCCATCTTTTGCTGTGAGAGAGTATGCCCTGGGCTGCCCCAGTTGGCCTCCCAGAGTTCTTTGTGCGCAGCAGCAACGTGCCGTGACGCAGGCTGGACTGTGACTTGACGAATGCAAGAGCCGATGAATAGAGAAGTTGTCGTGCCGCTGGCACCGTTCGCTCTGGCTTGTGCTTCGTCCACGAGCCGCTGTAATAGCCGTGTTGATCGCGGGCCATAGTCGAAGCAAACTTCGACAAATTGATAAGAGCGAGCCAGCTGTCTGCAATCGCTGTTTACCAGAGCGAGAGCAGATAGGGCAGCTTTGTCACTGGCGATCAAGGCCATGATCTCGGCGAGAATTTCTAGAGGCAGCGCCAGGAAATGGCTCTGCGATGTGATCGGGTGGCCTTCCATGGCCTGTGAGAGGAGGAGGGGTAACTTGGTAGATTCTTGTGCGTCATGTCCTCGGTTCCGGGTTGCCCATTGGCCGGTCATGAGATTTGAAATGTCGTGCTGCATGGTGAATATAGGTTCCAGAGACGACACTGATGTTGTTGTTTGGTTTCGATGTTTGGGTCCTGTTCTCTGGTGTTGTTGGGAACCTCTTTCTTTTAAAATTTTTTACTCATGAGCAGTGGGATCTCGCCACAGATATCGTCACATGAGGAGCATGCAGTGAAATGAGGAGTAAAAGGTTACATTGACTCGGAATACTCCTCACCTTATGTCCGGGGGGGCATGTCACGCACGGTAAGCCTGCTTGTACGAGCCGGGGGCCATTCACCGGATGAATAGCCGAACTGATTGACATTTATCTCGGCTGCAAATTGAGCGCACACTAATAGCTATGTAAGGGAGAATCATGCGTCCAGGCATCAATGTTTTGAATAATGGCCTCTGTCTCAGTGTCAAATGAAGGCCATTCAGTCGCTGGCACTCGCAGCTATTTGGGCACGATTGCGTTCTACAACCGCCTGCTTGACCGCCTGATTGAAGTTGTATCGATGCGGGGAGTCCAGAGCAGCGAGTAGCATATCTGCGGTTAAAGTTGTCTACTGTTAGCGCTGAGCAAGGATGCAGAGACTAACAAAAATCCGCGAATTGAAGATTGATACTACGTACGGAGTCCGTAAAAAGGTGTCTTCCTATTGTCACCGTCGAATATTCCCATTTTCACCGTAACGGCCCGTGCCCGGACTAAAGGTTATGCGCACACACCACCATTCCCCAGGCCAGGTTTGAGGCTGAGGAAGCTATTGAAGCATCCCGGCGTCCCAACCCGGCGTTAACGAGCTGAATGAGCTAGTCGGCTCGCTAGAAGTGTTAATATTAAATTGGAAGTGCTGGAAATGTCTTCTTTTTTTCTTTTTACTTGGAGGGCTTGGCGCCGATCGATAGTCTATCGCTTTGCCGTGTGAGACATCGTATACTAGCACATATCCCTTTTCCAGCCTGCCATGTTGTATTTTGCTCTCTGGGTGTGGCAATTGCGATTGAGGGGGTAAACGCAGCATGTGATACGGAGCATATCGGTGAAAATAGGAAGACTCTACGGTGAAAATAGGAACGTCAAGACTCTTGGTAGAATGATATCATGGTGTAGCATCGACCAAAGCACCTTACATCAGCAGATACCTTCATCAACTCGTACAACCACACTCTCAGTGTGCTTGATAAGCTGTCCCCATTACTAACACAGGAGACCTGGCTGGTTACATTAAGCCACACAGCCACTAGACCCCGGTTTAAGGGATGCCCGGTATTAGGGGTCCATGGATGCTTGATAAGACAACCCTTTTTTTAGTACGATCCCAATTACTGATCCATGTCGGCCCCCGCAAATGCCCAATCATTATGATTTGGTGTTACCGTTGACTCGGCGATAACCAGTTAAAATGAGAGCGGCCGTCTAACGCGGTCTGCCAGCTTAATGGAAGGACCCCCCGAGCTTTTTTCTCGAACAGAACGACTTATAGGACCAGAACTGGTGAATATCTGGTTCTTTTCAAAGAGCAAAGTCAGCCTAATGAAGAAATGTGTTCAATTGAATGGTCATGAGCAGTAAACCAGATTACCGCAACCACGTGTAATAGCTACAAATTTCCGATAGGTAAATAAATATCTCTACAGGACAGATTACATTCAAAAATGGCAATACAGTGTTGAAAGTGTTGATACAAAAGTATATATGTTTTTAACCTGCATGATGTCTACAGCTAGATGTCATCAATTCTTTTTATTTAAGCAAGATTTGGTCTCTTTGCCTGTGAAACTCCGCCCCAATGTATAGCACAATCGCGGCCAGCAGCGCCATCTATACTAAAGAAACCACAACATTACTCTTTCCGTAGCGTGCAGGTTAGGAAATAGTATTATGTAGTATATTTTTTAATAGGTCAGATCCAAATCCCTACTCCTACGGCTTGCGCGGAACGGTACGGAGAATAATAACCTCAGGGAGCTCAACCAACAGCATATGTAGCTCATAGATCCACATTCCCCCCATGTTGATGCATTAGTGCTATCTGTTTGCCGGTACTTGTAGAGTCATCAGTTTTCATGAAGGCTGGGTAGGCCATTCGCCGGCTATATTGGCTACTGCTTGTTAGCTGCGCCAATATACAACAGAAAGGGAGATGTTATCAAACCTATGGTGGGAACCAGTTACAAAGACCTAGACATGCTGCTTGGCCACCTGGAGTTTCAATTAGTGGAATACAATTATAAAAAACAAGTGTGAACCATACTAGGGCGTTGCAGTGAAAACGGAAGTAGTTGCGCCGCAAAAGCTTCAGGTTGTCAACGCAGCAGGACCCGCCAGTGAGGCAGCCTTGCATGCAGCAAAGAAAAACCAACAACGCATGCGCGTCGGGGAAAATCAATGTATACAGGGAGTAGCATAGCATTGAAGGCTGCATCCTGGTAGCTGAACCGCAGGGATGATGTTTTGATGGGAGAATAGTGGTACAATAGTTTGTCTCCATTGAGTTATCGAACTAGGAAGTTTTCTGAGTCAAGTCAGGGGTCAGTTCAGGCAAAATAGTGATACCTTTCACTAGATGCTAGCTGTTTCGTTGTTGTTTTACATCATAGGAACTCAAACGTGAGGCTACTAAACTGAAGATTGAGCTGTGAAGCGTGTTGTGGTAACTGCTTGACTATCAAATGTACCAAGACGAGGCTTGTCAACTACAATAGAGGCAAGATGGAAGATAGATAAATGATGTATTCCATAGTTGAAACCCAGAACGGCCAGTACGATTGGTAAAATTGCCTTTGAGGCCATAACCTGTGTATTCAGTGATACTCTTGTCAACCCCTGACGATAGATACTGAACGACCAGCATACATATGTACTCCACATAACCAACCTCCAGCGTGGGTACGCAACCCAACTCCCGGAACGCCCGATCACCCCACGCCTGGCATACCTAGCCTCTGACGCACCAGGGTCAATATGCAGAGTCTCGGCAGAACCAGCATAGATCGGGCTTAGATCAGGCTATTACCGTGATTCAAAGAGGTTTGCCAGGGCTGAAAACGAAATATTGAAGCAGCTTCTGAAATAGCTTGAGATATTAAGACAAGAATCAATTTGAAAATGGCAATAAAGGACTATGTTTTGTTCCCCTATTTTCAAGAGAAAGGGGGCTTAATACCGGGAATAAAGATGGAACATGAATAGAAAGAGAAATCGGTGAATAGTATCGCAATCGACTGATGCCGATGTTCCGAGGAACGCAAATAATAGAAAGAGGAATAGGCGAATAGTATCGCAATCAATATGCCGATGTTCCGAAGAACGCAAATTATGCTAACCACGCCCATTTATTACATCGTGGCCGTACGATTCTTTGCTCACCTCAACTATATTCCTGGCTGCTCAGTGAGCGCAGGGCTTACAGCTAATTCTGTCTAAACGTCGTGAGTTATTTTCACCTTTCTATTATAACAAGCATTTCTATTTACATCTATCTCATCGCCTTTGTAACAAAATAGCTACAATAATATGACGTATATAAATATTTTCTCATGTAGTCCCGCATTTAGCTTCAGAAGTGCACGCCAGCTTGAGACTATCACTTATTGTACTCTTTTATGCAACCACTCTCAACACCAGGTCATCATCTACGTTATAGAAATAGAACATCATCTCCAGAAGGCTTATTGAAAACAGAAGGAGAATATTTCCAGTTAGATTCCATCAATTCCGGTCGTCTAACAAGGGTTCCGCCTCGCCACCAATGAAAATTCGCCCACGATGCAGCACGGCAACAGCCAACAGCGCTGCCTGCACCTAAGCAAACGCGAAATGATCCACGGCGACGAATTCAACAAGTTGATACCAAGTCATTCCAACATATGCACCTCCAGGGAACACAAGACGCCATGCCCATGCTAATGCCAGCACCGCAAACACGACCGCTTGCACGGCTAAACCGACGAGACTAAGTGATGAAGAGGCCGTGCCTGGTGGGTGCTGAAGGATCTCAGCGCGCTAGGAAAAGAAGGATGCCGAGGTCAAGATAGTGGCGAAAGGATTGAACAACATTGTGTGGATGTCGTGGAACAGCGCCAGCGCACACTCGGGATGAAGGATCCTGCGAGGGCCAGGCGGCGTCCACGACAACCGGCACTAGTGATATGATGAGAAATGCCAAGTATATGGACAGCACGGTGGGTGTGACAGAGTTGCGGACGCCGGGAGCCCTGTCACGGCTCTCTGATGGAAGCAGCAGCACGGCAGTGAATCTGAACCCCAAGAGAAGAAAGAAGTAACAAAGATTAGTGGACAAGCTGGTGGGATGGTATTTGGAGAGAGACACAGGGCTTACACGATGAGCCACAACACCCAAACCGAGGCCATCTGCACCAGGTTCAGATAGTCTCCCAGCTGTGGCGAATTGTGTGTAAAGAAGTCGGCGCCTGGAGGCGTTTGAATGCTGTTGACCACATAGTAAACCGCAATCGCGAATAGTTCCGTTGCACCAATGAGCTGGAAGAGCACATAGTAGGGCGAGGTGCCACATGTATTTCGCCGCAACCAGAACTCACGCAGCTGCGAGAGGAATGAGATCAGGCTGAGGACCAAGAGAAGACCAGATCATATGAGAGGTCAATGTCAGTTCCATCACTAAACAGCTCGGGGAAGCAGAAGAGGCTGTCGCGGACATTCTAATCCAGTTAGGCAACGAGGCTGCCATTGTTGCGATTGATCTACAGGGCGACCGAAGTTTGGTTCCAGAAGGCAACAGTCTCCCCTCTATATGAGTCTCGGGGTTAGAATTCGTTGCTACATGCAGCTATAGTATTTTTGCGCTAATTCCCATAGACTGACGTGAGTATCCGTAACCACCCTGTGAGCAGAGCAAGAGAGAGATGATATCAGCTGTTTACATGTATTGATGGAGGCGGTCGAAAGCAACCATTCCATAGAGTCGGAGCACTAGCCAGGATGATTGAGCCTTATTCGGGCAGAAGCCGAAAGTTCAAGCACACATGTAAGCTCGGCCAAGGTCGTACCAAGGTTTCATTCCGAGTCTCAACACTGATCACTCAATCCAACCGGTTTCTACAAACCGGGGACGGCAAAAAACAAAATTGAGGGTGCCGCGACTGTGAATAAGAACAACATCCTCCTTCGCCCGTTCTCATTTCAATTCCCGCGTGTGTGTCTGATTACAGCCTTATAATCTAAAAGTCCGGAATTTCTGCTCTCTCTCCTTTTTTCCCCATTGATAGCGCTTACTTCTCGGTCCTACTACATCTTCTTTCCCCGTCACTTTATTACGGACATCTCAATCTCTCAATTATTTTCAAAAACGGCCTTTACAATCGGCATTTTTATCACGGGCATAAGACACACATCGTAAACCCCATAGCCTATAATCCACGGCCCGCGTCGCTAAATTGTCTACCTGCCTGCAGCTGTAGATAGGCGTTTGAACAAAAGGCCGTCGAGTTGTACAGAGCGGGCGCAAAGTGAAATGGGTGTGGAGCGGGCGCGAGGTACAGGCATAAGCAGACTTCGGGATGTGGTGCCATGAGATAGATGTACGTGGAAATCCGGGATGTGGTGCTGAAGATATTACGTGGGGTGGGAGAGAACACGCGACTCACAAACCGTTATTTACTGTAAGGGACTTGAATATATATATTCTCAGGAACTGTATATGGAAATGTATACGGAAATGAAGACAATTGCTTACAGGAAATCATGAACCGTGTCCCTAGTATCTATTCCATACCATAATCTGCCTCTTAAAAAGCGATTTACTGGTATCTATTGCAGACAATATACCAAAGCAATGCCATTATAGAAGTGTATCTACCGTTTTCTTCTCTCCCACTCTACGACGATTTAGGAATTGATAGGCCATTAAATACTTGGCCACTATAGGAATACGAAATACCCTGTCAGCACATTTTCCCGCCAATTAAGGTCAGGTGTCAAGCTTGGCCGATACTACCTGTATTGCTGAACTAGCGCATCCTTCGTCTTATTACTATCTGATACCAACTTTCACATGGCTCGGGCCTCGGAGTAAGATAAGCGATGGTTACCAGGGTTTGTTCATTTAATTTGGTTCACTGTTATCTACATGTACTTGTAAAGTTGTATGTACGAGTAAATCTGTAGTTACTTCAGTGCTGTGACGTTGAGCTGACAAGTTAATGACCAGTTCAAACTCAGCGAATGATAAGACCAGAGTCTGTCTGTTGGCAAAATTACAAAAGGGTTGGTAAACTGGAGATGCTGCTTGTGTCCGTTTAAAGTCATGTGTACCTATATGGCGCATAGCGTTACTTGTAAGGTTATGGACAAGGTAAACACCTAATTCAACAGCACTAGGCTATTAGCCAGGGACCTCACAGGAACTTTGGAGCGTCCTTTATAGCTCAAATTAGACTGCGGTTAAAGATCTGATTTAAGCACTTTTCACTAGGCTAGCGTTGCCTCCTGTGATATTTTGTGTGTTGATTTGTCTAATAGTTCGAGACTGTGAGTATTTACAGCTTGGCCGTAAGGTCTGATATCTTGTATTATGCTAGTAATGGAATGATTTCATCAGCAGCATGCCTGATGTGTTCTCTCGTGAGACATTTCTTGGAGTCTCTCCTTCTTTTTCTGGGTCTGGTTCTGGTTGATGAAGGAGGGTCTTTGTATTGACAGACAAGATAGATGAACAAATGAGGCTTGCATATAAGAAGAGGCTGTCTTCAGCTCCAGCAACCTTTGAAATGCTCATAGCATGCAGATACTATAGCCTCTCGCTCATCTCGCACATCTCTTTGGACAGAGATGAAGCATCATGAAGTTATCCGACACACTAGGCATCTTGGCGGCGCTGCTGGTGCCCTACCGGGTACAAGCGGCCGCCGTCTTTGCGCATTTCATGGTGGGCAACGTACCAACATGGGGAGTCAACGACTGGGAGTCCAACATGAGGCTGGCACAGGCGTCACATATCGACGCTTTCGCGCTCAACGTGGCGTTTGGATGGCCTCAAAACGACGCATCAGTAGCCCAGGCATTCCAAGCCGCCGAGGCCGTGGGCTTCCGGCTCTTCTTCTCCTTCGACTACGCCGGCAACGGGTCCTGGCCCATGAATGTCGTGACGAGAATGCTCAACCAATACGGCGGCTCCAACGCACACTTCAAGTACCAGGGCAAGCCGTTCACCTCGACGTTTGAAGGGCCGGCCAACGCCGACGACTGGAACACCATCAAAGCCAACACGGGATGCTTCTTCGTGCCCAACTACTCGTCACTAGGGGTCGGCGGAGGCGTCGCCGACGGACTCTTCAGCTGGGCGGCGTGGCCGTATGGGCCGAACAACATGACGACGTACGTGGACGATTGTATGGAACGATAGAGTTACAAGCTAATGGCGTATATATAAATGACCCATACTATTAACGATAACCCGAGAACAAACACATGTACTGACATTCCATTCTCTTCCAATACTAGAAACACAATTGCAATCCCGCAGCTGGCTTTAGGGGTGCACGCCAGCCCGAGGCTATCACTGACCCTGCCATATGACCTCGAGTTCACTCTCCGCCGTATAGATGACAATACAAGCCGGCCCTGCATTGTCCGATGGAGCCCCGGCGTAGAAGCTTTCTCGGCCGCAGGTCTCGAGCTCTGGCGCCACACAAGCCGTGCGAATGACGGGTCAGATTCTCTCGTACGAGTCGAAGTCGACTACTCCGGTGGCGCGAAGCTGGCTGTAGCCTCCCCACGCCTCCTCGTTCAGGGCTGGGATCCCTTCCTTTGGGAGCTTTGGCCCGGAGGACACGTCCGCTTCACGGCCCCGTTGCATGAGCGCTATCACAAGGGACTTGTTGAAGGCGAGCGCTATGATCTAGTCTGGCCGGGCGGCGAGATTGCCATGTGGGATTGGGGCACGAAGCATGAACACGTTGGCCTAGAACTACGGGTCGACGCCAGCCAACCGCCGCTCCGTGTGCCGGCGAGGTGCCGCGTCTCTTTCACAGCGGCTGCCGAAGCCGTACCATAGCCTAGGAGAGCGGCGTGTGAGGCGAGAGACGGCTTTCTACTAGCCAACGTGGAAGAGCGGCAGTGGAGAGCCTAGAAGCTATGGCAGCAGGAGAACGGAGCAAAGCGTCTAGAGGCAATCGCCGAACAGGAACGAGCGTAAGTTTTCTATCTATTTGAACAGCCTCCCCATTCTTCTCTCCTCTCCCCTTTCAAAGTTTTGATCTTGACCAAGGCTACGTGAAATTGACCTTCTGCCAGTCCGTCGACGCCTCTCCTCAGTGCAACGCTCGAGTGCCCATCGACAATACCCTATGGACACCCCTTTGGCGTCACTCTAAAAGTTACACACGGGGGACTAGTTTCCGATACGCATGAGCTGGAACTCACAGGGCGCTGTATCACTTTTCATACATATGATTTCCAATTCCCCAGCGGTCTCCGCGAAGGCTTCCGTCTGTGGCGTCAACGACGGCGAGAGGCATCGAATGACTCGCATGATGACGACAAATGGGATGAATGCGACATTCCGGACGACGATGCTTTTCCTGATTGCCGACGACCCGCCCGTCGTCGTTCGGATAAGGAACGATGTTGACAACTTTGTCACTCTCCGCGTGGGTGAGACGTGGAACTTGGCGAAGGTCTTTGACTGGAGCTCGCTCCCTGATGACACCATGCCCGGCGATGTCTTTTCCTTCGTGTTCCAGGGCACTTCCGTGGATTGGTGGGATTGGGGGAGCCAAGAACAGAGCATCGAGACACAGTCGTGAAGTTGCCGTGCTGGATCGTTGGACCTGTTATCGACCCGACGGATCGGCCGCGACTGGTGAGTCCGGGATCGGCGAGAAGAGTCGAGTTTGTAATAGCCGTATCAGAGTGGATGGCCTAGAAGATTATAAATTACTCGACAGGGCCTTGCTTTGAATGTTAACTTTTAGAGACTCACAGATGTACAGAATGAACCTAGGTAGACAACAAAAAGGTTACATATAATTATGTATACTTTCATTAAGGCATAATTCTAAGCCTGTAGCCTTGCCTTCCATGCATGATTCATGTAAGACGCGAGTGTGTGATATAGCCATCGTTGTTCCAGCTCAATTTCGTCCGTACTTGCTCATACCAAAAAGCAAGGGGCTCGGGATAGTAACATGTCGTATACAAGTCAGTTGCCTGACGTAAGGCACTTGCTTCTTCTGTTCATTGACCAATCAAATTGATTTGCCCAACTCAAGTCTTAAGTTGGATGTCTATCGTGGTGATAAAAAGTAGCTAAATGACATCCCAATAGCAGAGCTGTGACTTCATAACAGGATAAGACACGGGAAAGTTTACCATTAGTGCTACCCTCCTGGCTCTTGCCAACATCGTCTCGGCCTAATGGGTCTGCGTTGCTGGCTTCAAATGTGGTTCAACCATTATCCATCGTGGTAAGTGAGCCGTTCTCTACATAGCTTCATCGCTGGTGCTAAATCCTGTCTCCATATAGATGACAGTCCTTTTTGGGTCCAGAATCTCAAGACTGCCGCCGGGAGAGGTGATCAAGATCCTCTGTGGGACCTCTTCCGTTGTAATTCCGATCGAACCGTTACTTTTGTAGAACATTGCCCAGGTCGGTGTATTTACACTGGCATCCCGGCAAGGGATAGATGTGAAGGGTACGTGCATCACTATTCAAGTATTGTTGTATTGTCATTAAACGATTCGGGTTTTAAACCAACTACGGGATGTGTTGAATTCGTCAAGGGTGCCCACAGAGGGAATAGTGTCTTTGCTTCAACAGCAGATCACTTGATGAGTACGGGGTCCAAACAGAGTTGTAACTGCTACTTGACATACACTTGGTTTCAAAATACAGTTCATAGATTACATTCTGAAAATGAGCCATGATAGCCCTGGGTTTTGCTGCCCGCCATTAGAAGTTGGTACTATCGCCTCGGAGATGCGTTGTGGCAGCTAGTTTGGCCCTCACTAGTTCCAGATAAGGGTCATGTAAGCCAGAGAATATGCCATCCACCGCAACTCAAGATAGCTTGTAAGCCTGTAAATTGATGGAAGGCCTGGCTACGACCGAAACGGCCTTCACTCAACGCCCGTCAACAGACCGGCAGAGACCATAGCTGCCTCATAACCAATAATCAATGAAAAGTATCAGTAATCAAAATTCAAGGATAAACTGAAGGATCAACTTAGATGCGCTTATTATTCAGATTTGTTCCTACAATTCTACTGGCCAGTTGACAACCCCACCAATGCCCCAACCACCCATTTGGTTGCCGCATCAGCACGCGGCTGTGAGTCGTGAGAATCCTTCTTGGATACCTCAAATGAAGCCGCGCTGTTTGACTCTGAAGCTTGAATCACGCAATGTTCTTGAAACATCTTTCTTCTAAAGTAAAGGAAAAGCTCCCTCACCGTCAGAGCAGATCTCGCAGTCCGTCATTAAGAGAGGGTCCTCAGCCAAGTCTTCAGGATGTTCAAACAAGTACATCCACCCCGAGCGACATACCGCCGGTCCCAAATTCTCTTCAGAATGTCTCTGCTGCTACTCAGGTCTCACAAAGCCGTCAATCTCTGCCCATCTTAGAAATCACCAAACCAGCAAGCGCACACGGATTAGAAGTTCAAGGTCCCGCCCGAGATTCTGCTTTGGATTCGGCACCAGTTACTGGTAGCGAAAATGAGAAGTTGGCACAGTTAGTACCCGAAACGATCTGGGATCGTGCATATGACGCATTGAAAACCGAGGATGCTGCATTGGTACAAGCATATGAGAGAATTTTATCGAGCAAGCTTCAAAATACAAATGTCACGGCCGACGTGAATGTCATCAACCAGCATGACAAGGAAAAGAGAAGAAGTCAAATGCATCAGCTAGTCAAGAACGGCTTGGACAAAATTTCGCAGGAAACAAAGGTCAAGTCACTCGTCGGTTCAGTTTTACAAACAGTCAATCTCGCCCAAAATATCGTCACCGAAGTAGTCAAGGATGTACCACAAGCTGCTATTCCATGGGCCGCAGTCTGCCTTTCACTTGAGGTAAGGCGACAATCCTCTATCAATTAGTAGCATCTACTGATCCAACCTCTTTATAGCTTTTAACAAACCCCATATCTGAGACTGAAGCAAATTGCAAAGGGATTAGCCATGTGGTAGAGCAAATGAATTGGTACTGCGAGCTAGCTGGGCTTCTTTTCAGCGACAAATCCGGTGGTGCCACGGCCGGAATCCAACAGGAACTGCAGACGAAACTCATCGATCTGTACAAGAAGCTACTTTCTTTCGAACTCAAGAGTATATGCTCTTATTACCGCCATCGAGCACTTATTTTTCTAGGCGATCTCATCAAGCTTGATGATTGGGAGGGGAGCCTTAGGGCTGTTCAAGACGCCGAGGCCTTCTTCAATGAGCATGTCCGCGTGTTTCAAAGCGTCGACCTAGGACAAGACGTGAAGCAGCTCGTTGCTCATGCAAAAGATGAACAGGAATATCGAAAGACAGATGACGACAAGAAATGTCTGAGAGATCTGTACATCACTGATCCGCGAATGGACAAGAGCAGAATTGAATCAACCAAAGGGGGCTTGATTCAGGACTCGTACCGTTGGATTCTCAACAATTCAGAGTTCAAAACTTGGCTCCGTGACGATGACAAACGGTTGCTTTGGGTAAAAGGTGATCCGGGCAAGGGTAAAACAATGCTTTTGTGTGGTATCGTCGATGAAATCAAACGGAGTGCCTCACACGCCAATGCCATCTCGTTCTTTTTCTGTCAGGCAACCATTCCAACAATCAACAACCATCTTGCTGTGTTACGCGGCCTCATATGGCTGCTTGTTGAGCAACAGCCATCCCTCATTTCTCACATAAGAGCAAAATACGATCCTGTCGGCAATGAACTATTTGAAGGACCCAACGCGTGGTACAGTTTGGCAAATATTTTCCGCAGCATTCTACAAGACGAAAAGTTAACCACGACACATGTGATTATTGATGGCCTCGACGAATGTACTACCGGTCTGAATGAGCTACTTGGACTTATTAAAGAAGTCTTGCCTTCAAGAAATGTCAAGTGGATCCTCTCTAGTCGGAACTGGGCAAACATTCGGGAAAGCCTCGAGGATGCCGGTGCCGAAGGCGTGAATCTCAGTCTTGAGGTGAACGCCACCGTTGTGGCAGCTGCTGTGGATACATACATTTCCTATAAAGCATCCCAGATACCACTCTTGAAACAAGACGCTGATTTGACAGAGGAGGTATGCAATCTGGTACGAGAAAAGGCCAATGGAACTTTCCTTTGGGTGGCAATCGTTTTCCAAGAACTGCAGCATTTGAATATCCATTACGATGACCGCTCATCTGTGTTAGAGCGGTTGAACGGATTGCCAAAGGATCTTACTGAGCTCTATGATAGAATGTTGCACCAAATCGGACATCTAGAAAAGAGAGAGTCTGAGTTATGCGAATCTATCCTTGGGATCACCGTGCTGGCTTATCAGCCTTTGCGTCTTCAAGAGCTGGCGACTCTGGCAAGCTTCAAAGGGAATCTCACTCGACCATCCACGCTTCAAAGCCTTATACATAACTGCGGGTCTTTCTTAACGGTCAAGGACGAAATTATCTACTTTATACATCAATCGTCTAAAGAATATCTGACTAGCAACAGCGCAGCTCAATCTACCCTATTCCCAAATGGTGTCAAGGAAATTCACCATAACTTGGCTATGCATTCAATCAACGCTATGGAACAGAGATTATGCCGAAATATCTACAAATTGGACAATAACGCAATACTTCTTGCTGATATTAAGACACCCGAGCCCGACCCGTTGATCTCTTTGAGATATCCTTGCTCTCACTGGCTTCAACACATCTGTGACTCAATCTCCAATTCGGACAATACAGCTGATCAACCTATTTTAAACCACACTAAGATATTAACGTTTCTGAAAGAACACGTTCTTCATTGGCTCGAAGCCATGAGCTTGTTGCGAATTCCGCCGGGTGGCATTCCATACATCAGCCGTTTTGAGGGCTTACTTGAGAGATACTCTTCTAACAGCGAACTTTCACAAATGGTCTACGACATTCGTCGGTTTACACAGCACAACTCATGGATCATTGATCATGCTCCGCTTCAGATATACCTCTCCGGGATTCTATTTAGCCCTAAACTTAGTATCGTGAGAACTCTTTTCGAAGAAGAGCTACTATCTTGGATTACAACTAAGCCGCTCGTTGGAAGTCATTGGAGCCTTCTTCTACAAACAATAGAGGTCAAGTCCCTGCTAATCCCAGCAGCAATCTCAGCCGACAATAAGATTGCAGTGTACGATTATGATACCAAGGAGGTAAAAGTCTGGGACACTACCTCAGGAACGCAAGTCCAGACACTCAAATGTAAAGAATTGGTCAGCCAGCTCGTTTTTTCTGGCGATTCTAAACGCATCTTGGCAGCAACTGGGGGCCCTGCTATTTCATGGGACGTAGATTCCGGCGCCAGACATCGTCAAGCATGGTCTCCTGGTTATCATTCGTCTCTCTCCCGAGATGGCCTGTTTTTGGCTTCACACGCATCTGAATTTGCTATTCAGATTCAAAACTTAGCTACAGGAGCACAGGTATCTCTCGTGAACGACGGTCACGATTATCAGGGGGATAAGAATAAACAATTAGTGAGACTATCGAATAACGCCAAGTTTCTGGCATTTGGCTGGGATGAGATGACCATATGGGATGTTGCTGCACACAAGGAGCATGTGCGTCTCAACACATTAGGAGGGCGCCACAGGCAAGTCTGTTTTTCAAGTGACTCCAAATTCATGGCATGGGAGTCAGGCGCTGTTCAAATCTGGGACTTGACTACGGAAAAGGAAATTCAGATCCTTCATAGAGGAGGCCATCATAACAGCGAGCCTTTTACATCACTCGAGTTCTCACCCAACTCTAACCTCGTGGCTGGAGGACCTGACTCTAACCTCGTGGCTGGAGGGTGCTGGGGTAACATTTGGATTTGGAACGTCAAAACTGGTACCGTGCAGACGCGACTGAACATTAGTAGGCAGCAACCGTACGGCCTCGCCTGGTCTCCAAACTCCAAAATTCTAGCATCAACAAACTTTGAAAATATCACAATATGGGACATGGCCACTTCCGCAGAGACAGAGGATGTTCAAAGCACCAATGATGGAAATGATGACTCTTTAGACCTCTCGAAAATGACATTCTCCCATAACCCCAATCTTGTGGCTACAATTTCACAAACGGGCGTTATCAAAGTTTGGGATATAGCTACCGATAGAGATGTGGCGGAATTTGTGAAAAGGGATCTTGTTAACAAGGTGAACTTTCCGCCAGATCCCAAGCTTCTACATGCAGACGATGGAGAGCAAAATGTCAAAGCGGGTGACATCATTCCGGGGCTACAAGAGACTGGTTTCTGGGAATTTTCGGGATATAAGCCATGCAAGCATATTGCTTTTTCGAACAATGGCGGATATTTCGCTGCAATTACGGACGACATCACTATATGGAAGACGTCCACAGGGGAAGTGATTTTCCAGTCTACAGTCTTTAACCGGGGTATCACGACAATGGCATTCTCCAACAATGCACAGTACATCAGCCTTTTACTGACAGACCGGAAACTGGTAGTGTGGGACATCACTACCGGTGACAACGTCATGTATGTCAAGGATCATATTTGCGAAAATTATGATGGTGAAGAATGGTGCAAATGCGACATCTCTGAACTCCCTTACCCCGGCGGTGATTCATCAGTCATTGCCATCTCCAACAATGGCAAGCAAGCGCTTGTTAGGAGTCCTTTCGGGGGAGAGATCTGGATATCTACCGTGGGAGAGAAAAGAACTAGGCTCATTCTTGGAAGCATCACTTCGCCAACTTTCGGGTCTAGGGAATCGTATATTGGAACGGCTCGTGGTTTCATCAACATAAAGGACCTTGATACCGGATACGAGACACCGGATAGTTACAAGACTATCACTTCGGAGCAACTTCGTTTTGAAGGATACGGTCTGAGCGCCGATAGGAGCTGGATCACTTGGAATGAGAAAAAGATTCTATGGCTACCAGTTACTTATCGTCCAATTTCTTTGGCGCATGATTCCCTCAACATATCTCCTCTTGGCATCTCCATTTCCGCCGGTTCGAGTACTGATATGGAGATTCGATTTTCCGGGCCACCCCCAGCATAGCCTTTTTATGAGGGAAATGAAGTTTATTGCACAGGTGGTCAACATTGAGAGGAAAATACGGTGGCAATGGCTTGTCGAATTTTTCTTGCGCGTGGGTAGTTGGGGGGAACGAGCAGCTCTGGTACGAAAGACGGATGAGACTTACTCGTTGATGAAGCAAGCATGGGTACAAAACGACGAAAAGAAATCCAGAAATGAATTTATGAGCAAAAGTGTTTCAAAGTATCGCAAACAAAATGATTTATTTTCTCACGGTGTCTACTGTAACAAGGATACAACATCACTTCTAAGGACCGTAATGACTAGTAGTAGGATTTGATTCGACAGCTTTTGCCGCCGAACTCTCCTACATTCCCGATTCCGTAATTGACGCCTGTCATTGCTTCCTTGCGTCTCGCCTCCAACGTGGCTCTCATCTACTATTGGAGGATCCCTCCCAGTCAGGGCGGGATGGTACAGCGTGGAGAAGCCTTTTGGGTTGTTGTAGACGGCGAATGCGGGACTAGTGGAGTCGGCAGCCGTATTTCACAATCGCCAACTCATCGTCGCCGTCATCAGAAGGTCCCGGGCTTTTACAGGGGGTTTCGTTGGCAACTGGACCTTACGTGTAAGCCTTTGCTCGGCGAATTCCGGTTCGTCTCCATCGTCGTATGGAATTCCACATGTTGAGTCCCGGTCATTGATAATATCCCAGGCTTTTATTTTTTTCTCAAGCTGTCGCAACAACTGTTCTGATTCGTCTTCGGCTTCTTCCCGCCAAGGTCACATTCAGACTCGGAGCTGGGCGGCAAATTGCCAGATGGAAGGGTAAAATTGTTTGGGCTCTATGTCTTTAATCCTATATGGCTCTTGAGAGAATCATTCGCTTCTCCTTCAATTCCATGCCATTAAGGAGGCATTGCTGCTGATGTATTGTGTCGATGTTGTCGGTGAGAGTTAGTTCGCTCTTTGAGAATTAGATTCCCTGAATAAGCTGATGCGAACTTGGCTCTTTCCTTCGGCAAAGCCGTTCATTTTGATAAATTCTTCGAGGCAAAATCGAAGGGATCGTTGCCTTAGACTTCAGGTACTCAATAGAACATCGCACTGATGGCTAAAGTGAGCCGACAGCACACACCGTCGCTGCCCGACCGGATGCATTGCTCCACTACTTTATACGTGGTGTAAGCCTGCACGGCAGAGATCTTGGTTTTATTCACATATCATTTTCCAAGCTTATTACAACCCATCCCTATATGCAACGTATCGAAGAAAATCGCCGCGTTGAGTTTATACAAGATGGATAATTGTACTTTATACTCCGTGGGGTAGTTTGGTTATATAAACCTGAACGCGTCCAGATACCTTGGCGGTGCGATCTCATCCTTGAATCTATATCGCATATGGTGCGTCCCGCGTCGGTTGACTTTCATGCTATTCGCAGCACTGAATCCCAATTATGACATCAACATCGAACCCGCTGGTACGAGATCTCAACTATTTCGTCCTCTCTGCAGCGAATCCGGCCGCCATTCATCTTCTATCGGAAATCCAGTCCAAATCATCACCACCGACCCTCCATAGCGGTGAGGAGACCATTGGCTACCGCATATCCATCCCTTCTCACAACTCGCGCCAGGACGAGGTTTGCTACAAGTGGAGGGTTGGCGCTGGTCCCTCGCCAGCCATCGCCAAGATGGGGGATATTTTTGTCCCGGAAATTCTTCTCTGCCCGCAGGATACATCACAGACACCAAGCTCCAAGACAGTTCGCGCATACATCAAGCACATTCACGCCGTTCTTTTCCTCCATCCGCAGTCAGGAGCTCTGGTACTCAGATCGCGGTCAAATAAACCCATCATCTATGAGCAAGGAGACATACACGACCAGGATGTAGAAATATGCGCGGGGCCAGACAGCAAAGTCAAGTCTTGCGTTCTGCGGCGAAGGAAAAACTACCTCCAATTCGGCCCATACCGTTTCCTTCTCGAGTTTACCGTTAGCCATCAAGACCGAGGCAGATTCAGCAAAACCATCGACCGATCTCTTCATCATCGCCATCATAAGCTCTTTAGCTTCATTCCTAGCACAGATATCGAAACTCTCTGGAACGTATGGCTGCATCGTAAAGTTCCGAATTCATCCTCACTACAGACTGGAGTTCACATTTACACCGGGCAGCCGGTGGCAGTAAAGACACTGCACAATAAAATCCGAGGGCGACGATACATGATTGATCAGATCAAGCTTGCTTCTCGGTACCGGGACAAAGCAGACAGCGGTATCCTTGGCATAATCGACGTTTGGTGCGAGCACTGGTCATCTCCTCCATGCATGTTGAAGCCAAGTAGCGCAGTCATCCAATGCCGAAATACCTATTTATCTATGCCTCTGGCTGAGCAGAGTTTTCTCCATAAGCGCTGGAGAAAGCTAGACACCAACACTCATCTCAGATATTTATACCATACTTTATGCGGGCTGGCTGAGCTTCATGGCCAAGGAATTGTTCACGGGAATATTCAGCCCGGATCATTACTGATATGGGAGCAACGAGCCTATATATCTCTGTGCATGCAGCGGCCAGACACATACGACACAAGCATCTGCGCTGCACCAGAGGTCTGGCTAGACAAGTACCGAGAATTAGACGAGACAAAACTGGACATTTGGGCACTCGCTATATCATGGCTCTTTACGTGTTTAAGACCACCAGCAGACCTCATGGTAACACGGCATTCCTATAAACATCTTCAGACGACTCTAAAGTCTCGAAGGGACAAGGGCCGTGTTCCAGAGCCGCTATATGAGCTACTGCAGGGAATGCTGGCCTGGGATCCCTGCAATCGTCCAAGTGCGGTAGAGGCTCTTAACCATAGGGCATGGCTGCCCGTTTTGCCACGAATAGCTCGAAAACCAAAAGGATCAAGAACGCGAAGATTGATACAGGCAGTGCAACACAGCCAATAGAGAGCCAAGGAGGCCTGGTGTAGTTTTGTAGTTTCTTGCTCATTTCTTCCTAGACGTATAGAAGTGGACGGTTTATAATCTGATTGTATATAGAATGCATACATTTATTTGTTGCAGTAAAAGATGCGCTCCCAGTCTCCTGAGGAAGACACTCAGAAGTCACCCACACCACCAGCGGTACCAGTTTGATGAGACGTGCAGATGCAGTCGTACAACTAATACTTGTTAGCGCCGCAGAAAATATTGGTCAAAACTAGCCCACATGTGTTTTCATTCTGATTGCTTGTCAATACCGCTGCAAAGATGGTCGCTTGGCCGAGTTAACATGTAAGTCAGACAGTCTCATGGTCTCAATCCGGTATGTACATTTCTAGAAACTTCATGGAACCCGAACGCTGTAGGCTGCGTAAAGCAATTAGATGGTCTGAATCACCATATATACTTTATTTAGTGTCTTTAGTTAAGTCATCTTTTAAAATACCTGATATATTTAATCGGTCGAGTTACATATTGCGTCTCCTCACAGGCACGTTGAGGTAAGCGCCGTCTTCACTCGGTACGATGACCCATCCAGCTCACCACGAGCTCTACGTTCGTACTTGAGAAAACAACCATGAAAATCTTGTTTGCTAGATTTTGAAGGGCTTCCGAGTGTAATTTCATCGTACAGAAGAATTAAGTGAGAGCCGCACCTAGCTTCAATCAATATAGCATCTCCATCTACAACTTCAACGTGAAGCTTTATGTGAAGGCGCTGAGTAAAACCGGGTACCATTCACATTTTCAAGTATATTCATTATTTCCCTTGTTTTGTTTAATTTTATTTTCTCTCCGTTTGATCTTTATTTTTTACAATGAATCTTCACGCCCTTCATTGAACACTTCTTTCAATCGGTTTATGAGGCACGAGTCTGGATCTAAGAGCGGGTACGTACCATCACGCTAGCTCCAATTCAGGCCTCAGGCAAACACCATGGAATTGTGCCAGTCCAAAAACTTCAAGGTCGTCGAAACTACCCGCATTGCGACAGATTGGCCGATTATCCCACGATGCCTCCCCGGATACCGTTTCCCAGCGCTTCGCTGTGCTGCAGGACGGCTCTCAGCACTCCCGCGACCTCATTGACCGCCTGTCTCGCCCGCCTCACCCTCCAGCAAACCCGCAATGCCTCGATCCTAGGCAGCCTGGCCAACAATCCCGGCGCTGTGCAGAAGAAGAAGAGGGTTGGTCGCGGTCCCTCTTCAGGCCACGGAAAGACTTCTGGAAGGGGTCACAAGGGTCAGGGACAGCACGGCAAGGTGAAGCCCTGGTTCCAGGGTGGTCAAACACCGTTGATTGTGAAGCACGGCAGGAAGGGCTTTGACAACTTGTGAGTCTCTACACGATGGCGGGGTAGACCATGCGTCGAGATGAGAAGCAATGCTAACCGCCATCAGCCGGGCCCCTGAGATGTCCGAAGTGAACCTGGACCAGATCCAGAACTGGATCGACCAAGGCCGACTCGACCCCACGAAGCAAATCACGCCAAAGGAGCTGATCGAAAGCAAGCTGATTGGCAGCGTCAAGGACGGCGTAAAGATTCTCTCTCGCGGCGGCGAGAACCTCAAGCAGCCAATCAACGTCATGGTTTCCAGGGTCTCTTCGGGAGCAATCACCGCCATCGAGGCTGCCGGAGGCACGGTCCTAACCAGATATTATACGAAATTGGCCATTCAGCGACTCTTGACGGGCGAGTCGGTCAACACAGACAAGCCCCTACCCGTTGGTCAGGAACATGTGGAAGCGATCCTAGCAGAGGCGAGAAAGGGCCCATTCCGATACAGATTGCCCGACCCCACGAGCCGTGCCGATATCGAGTACTACCGAGACCCAGCGCATAGAGGATACCTGAGCCACCAGATTGCTCCAGGCCAGTCGCCCAGTTTGTACTTCAGGGTGCCTGGTGTGCAGAAGGTGAAGAGCGTGGTGAAGACGGACAAGAAGAAGGCAGAGGAGACGTTGTGGTAAGGGAGGAAATGCCGTTGATGGCTGATGGTCTTGTGGTGCATGGATGGAGAGGCATGTATAAAAGTAAAAAGGGTTGGCAGAGGATGATGGGAGGATGATATGAACTGTACAATATATGATGATTTCAAAGTAGTGTATTGGTCCATTGTGCTATGCAGAATATAGACTCAGTCTCTAAATTACTATCACCACGGTACAGACTATGAACATATGCATCTTTTTTTATCCCCCCAGATGGCCTATCGCAGTCGCTTATCTGCTCCACCAAATCCCCGGCAAAGCACTGACAATATCGGTGTCATCGACTCCATTGTAGGTACGTGTAGGCAATCAGGGAGTTTCTGACATGTGCCAGCTACTACCTTGGTACTAATGCTTAACGTCTCACCGTCTCACCTGTCATGCAGCAACAGCAATTGCTTCTTGTCTTCTCCTTCTTCTTGTTCTCCTATTTCTTCTTTTGATTTTCCCAATTTGTTCTTGTACCTATAGTACCTAGTTCTATATCATTCTTGTTGCTCTACATCACCTTTTTCCATTCCAATCTACAGCACCCCCAAGCCCACTGTCTTACGGGCTATTCCACCGCCTAGCCAACAGGAACCGCCGCTGAGCGCACAGTGACCGCCTTAGTCCAGCCTCCTAGCGCCGCCATTACGAGTTCGTCAACACTAAGCCAACTTGATGCTGCGACTGTAACAACCAACCTCGCCTCCTCCAGACTCTCTGCATCAACCCCGCGGCCGCAGATCCTCGCCCTTCTTCCGCTCTCCCTCCGCCGTCTTCTCTCTGTCCTTGTCTCTCTCCGTCACGAGTCGCACAAGAGCTCCAGCGAGTCCGTCACCGGCCGGCCACCACAGCATGTCGCTATTCGGGGATGAGTCCACCGACAATGGGCCGGCTTTGGGCTCGTCGCCTCGTCGCGGAGGAGCCAGAAGCAGCGGCCTTTTCGACGACGAGCCAGCGTCCGGCCGCAATTCCTCCAGCCTCTTCGACGACGGCAGCGGCGCCTCGTCGCCCTGGGACATGCCCACGCCGCGCAAGCAGCAGAGCAGGGCCGAGCTGATCCGCAACCTGCTGCCGGCTTCAGACGTGCCCGAGAGCTATATCGAGACGTTTGATGCCGTAGTGCGTGAGGATGGCCAAGACGGCCAGGTTACAGCTTCGGGCATTGCCAAGCTGTTTGCCGTGGCCCGGCTCGAGGCCGATGCCCAGGCGCGCATCATGTCGCTTGTAGCTCCGGGAGGATCCGACGTTCTATTGTCGCGCAACGAGTTCAACGTCGTTCTGGCCCTCATTGGCCTGGCGCAAGAAGGCGACATCATCAGCCTTGACGGAGTAGATGAACGGCGAAGAGGTGAGGCAACATCCCATTGATGCGTATTTCCCACTTGCTCTTTTCTTTGCTGGTTGGAAGCCATCAAATCAGACGCGAATGCACGGCTCCGGGCTGCTCTTACAAGTCCGCTTTGGCAACTCCGCTTTCAACTCTGAATCAGTCGCAAACGCTCCTCAGGCTAAAGGAGACCAATCTGCCGTTACCAGCTGATTCTATGCCATTCTACTACAGCGGCAATAGCTTCTTGAAACGGTGCTTTTGTTTTCTGTGCTGGGGCAGCTGGCTAATGTTTCATCATCTCGTTTAGATATCCCTCGGCCCAAGCTGCCCGGACTGACCGCCGAACCGATTATGCCTCCTGTCGCTGAGCTTGCCGCAAAACCGCCACAAGTCCCGTCCAAACACGAATCCGACCCCGAGCCCGAGTCCTACAACCCCGAGCCCCAACCTCAACCTGAGCCTCAACCTCAACCTCAACCTCAACTTCAGCTCCATCCCGAATCTCAGCCCGAACCCGAGCATTCACAGGCCCCTGCGAGCATCCTGAGCAGATCAACCATGGTTGACCCCGACGACGATCCGTGGAACACGCCGGATATGCACAAGGGACATGTCCATTCCCACCAAAACGGAAACGAAAGCCACAATCCCTCCCTCAATGGACACAATGGCGGCTTCAACCAAGATGCGCCTCCAGCGTTTGAGCCACGTCCCACGAACCATTACAGTGCTCCGCCAGAGCCAATCCGCCCTCCTAATCGTCTACGACAAATCTCGAACACCTCTTTGTCCGGTCAGGGCGGATGGGGAGCCGGATTTTACGGCAGCTCGCCCGCCGGTGGTGGCTTCACCGATATACACCAGCCTCAACCTCAGCCGCCCATCCCAAACATCTTTGGAGCTCAACCTCAGCCGCCCATCCCAAACATCTTTGGGGCTCAACCCCAACCGCCCATCCCCAACATCTTTGGAGCGGACGGCGCTGGCCAGATTGGAACAATCGTCCCACCTCCCGTTGCTCCGCCCCGGAGCTTGGGAGGCCGTGTCGGAAACAATACGGAGGAAGTCGTCGTCGTCACTCTCATGCCTGGCAAGGAGGGCATATTCATGTTTCAGCATCACAACTACGAAGTCACCAGCCAGCGTCGTGGAAGCAAGGTTGTTCGACGATATAGTGACTTTGTCTGGCTGTTGGACTGCTTGCACAAGAGGTATCCGTTTAGAATGCTGCCATTATTGCCACCCAAGAGGGTAGCCGTGAATGGAAATCACCTGTCCAACGATGGCGCCTTTATCGAAAAACGACGACGAGGGCTGGGTAGGTTCCTAAATGCCATCGTACGACACCCAGTGTTGAGCCTAGAGCAGCTCGTCATTATGTTCTTGACTGTCCCTACGGTAAGTCGCGTATTCTCCATTTTGACACGACGGAGGGACAACTTATCTAATATAGGTACAGGAACTTGCTGTATGGCGGAAGCAAGCAACTATTTCTGTCCAAGATGAATTCACGGATCGAGCGCTGCCTCCCGGCCTGGAAGATTCACTGCCACCGACCCTCGAGGAACTCTTTATTCGAACGCGCAACGGAGTTCGCCGATCTGCCGAGCTATACATCAACTCGTGCAACATCATGGACCGCCTCGTCAAGCGAACAGAGGGTGTCGCCGCCGATCATGCGCGGGTTGCCCTGTCGCTCATTTCGCTCACCGAGGTCTCCGCGGATACTTATGCTACCGATACGAGCGAGATTCCGCTGCTCAACGACGGCTTGACGGCCATGAGCAAGCATTTGCGGACCTGCCAAAGCCTACTCGAAGACGAGAGCCGAGGCTGGGATGAAGGTGTGCTAGAGGATCTGAAGCGACAGCGCGATGCCTTGGTTGGCCTTCGCGAGCTGTTTGACCGAAGGGAACGACTGGACAAGGACAACATTCCGTACCTGGAAAGGAGGATACAGGCCAACGAGACTAAACTGGCCAACTTGCGGTCTAAGCCAGAAGGCCTAGTCAAGCCCGGGGAGATTGAAAAGGTGGCAGAGGCCATCATCAAGGTGCGTTGATTTTCATGCTTAATAGCTTTTGCAAGCGAACGCTAACGCTTTGGAAACAGGACAAGGAGTCTATAGTGCAGCAGCACAACCGCTCCATCTTTGTCAAGGAGGCGCTGCGAGACGAGCTCATCACCTTCCAATCGACGCAATATCACGTCAGCAGGTGGAATCAGGACTGGGCTGGCGAGCGCGTCAAGTATGCAGAGATGCTGGCTGACAATTGGCGGCGCCTGTTGGATGCTCTAGAGGGCATGCCGTTGGGCGACTGAACTCGACGAATGCGATTTCAGGGGGGATGGAGACGAGCAATGAGTGTATATATGTGTCCATGCATGATGTAGGATAATGAGAGGGGGGGGGAGCAGCGATGCAAAGGTTCATGTCGGAGTGATTGAGCGGTTTCAAGAAAGCAGCAGTCGAGGCACGATACCCTTGATTTCTTTTTTCCATTTCTTTTCATGCTTGTTCTTTTGCTCTTTTTGTCATATACGAGTTTGAAGACTGAGGTTCATTTTTCCTTACTGAGATGGGAGCGATGCGGAGAGACTTGTTCAGAATGGTACAAGGGGTCGAAATAAGCCGTGAGAGCTTGTTCCATGAAGGGTCACTGATGCAGATGCATGGCAAGATGAATGTTCAGGTGTGTTGATCGGGGTATTGCATGGTTATATAGCGGATTGGCTTGTTTGATGCTGCTTCCTGATAATAGCATCCCTTCCTTCATCACGATCCTCATCCTGGATAAACAACGACAAGAGGAACTCATCATCATCCTGCTTGAATATACATCGTACATGCCAGTGAGGCAGAGCGCATTTTTACGATTCATCATTGTATTTCATTCCATCATGAGAACCCCGACCGACAATATCTTCACCATCCGTCCGTCACAGCTCCGTGGCTCGCATCTCCCACCAACCGCGCATATTTCGCCAACGTTCCCCTCTTGACCGGCGGCTCCGGCGGCGTCCACCGCTTCCTCCTCTCCTCCATCTCCTCATCCGAAATCGCAACATCGATTCTATTAGTCACAGCGTCAATCGTCACTTCGTCGCCATCCTTGACCAGCGCAATCGGCCCTCCCACCGCCGCCTCGGGAACGACGTGGCCCACGATGAAGCCGTGAGAAGCACCGCTATACCGCCCGTCCGTCACGAGCGCCACGTTGCTCAGTCCCGCGCCCATGATGATGGCCGACGCGCGCAGCTGCTCCGGCATGCCCGGCCCGCCCTTGGGCCCTTCGTACCGCACAATCAGCACCAGGTTGCCGTCCTCGCGACGGATCTCGCCCGCCAGCAGGGCGGCGTTGAGCTCGTGCTCCTTGTTGAAGACGCGGGCTCTCCCGGTGAACGAGAGGCCCTCCTTGCCGGTGATTTTGGCGACGGCGCCGCCGGGGGCAAAGTTGCCCTTGAGGATGCGGATGTGGCCGCTGGACTTGATGGGGTCTTCTAGGGGGCGGATGATTTTCTGGCCGGGGTCGAGGGAGGGCCAGTCGGCGACGTTGTCGGCGAGCGTCTTGCCCGTGACGGTCATGACGGACCCGTCGATGAGGCCCGCCGCGATGAGCATCTTGAGCACTGAAGGCGTGCCGCCGACCTGGTACAGGTCCTCCATGAGATACTTTCCACTCGGCGCGATGTCGGCCAGGAACGGCGTGCGGTCGCTCGTGCGCTGGACGTCGTCAATGGTCAGGGGCACGTCGGCGCTGTTGGCCATGGCGAGGAAGTGCAGCACGCCGTTTGTCGAGCCGCCCAGGATCATGGTCAACACGAGGGCGTTTTCAAAGGCCGCGCGCGTCATGAGGTCGCGGGGGCGAATGTCCCTTTCCATGGTGATCTTGATGACCTCTGCGGCACGCTCGCACTCTCTCGACTTTTCTGGCGAAACGGCGGGATACGAGGACGAGCCGGGAAGCGTCAGGCCCATGGCTTCGATGGCAGTGGCCATGGTGTTGGCGGTGTACATGCCGCCGCAGGCTCCAGCTCCAGGACAGGCGTGACGCTCGATGTCGTCCATGACGTCGGAGCTGCTGCGTCCAGGGGCATCGGGGTTGGTCTTGGCCTTGAGTGAGCCGTAGGCATAAGCACCGGAAGCCTCGTAGCAGCTCGAGATGTTGATCTGTCTCTCCAGCAGGTTGGAGTGGCCCTTGCGGATGGTTCCGCCGTAGATCATGATGAACGGCCTGTTATGGCGGGCGGCGGCCATGACCACGCCGGGCATGTTCTTGTCACATCCCGGGATCGAGATATTCGCGTCGTGGTGCTGGGCACAGGTAACAGATTCGATGGAGTCGGCGATGATCTCGCGGGACTGAAGGGAGAATCGCATGCCTAAAGCAGATGGAGTACAATCCAAGGTGTTAGAGCTGTGTATCTATCTTTCAGGTCCAAGATGGTGGTGGTGAGAAACCAACCGTCGCCGCCCATGGTGATGGCGTCAGAAACACCAATGGTGTTGAATTGCCAGCCGAGCATGCCCTGCTTGTCGACGGCTCGCTTGACGATTTGGCCAAACTCGAGCACTGCGGGTTACGTATAAGTTGGACTGTTTCGTCTTTTGGCGCGGTCGATGGTCTCGTCACTTACAGTGTGTGCTATAACAACCTCGTTAGTTCTGGTAATCCCAATAGGCTTTCCATGGGAGATGCCTTGCAACATACTTGCATGGATTTCCCTCCCACCAAACACTCGCAATGCCCACCTGTGGCGCATTCTTCATCTTCTCTCTGTCCGGCACTCCAGCACCGTACAACATGGCCTAGACGTAGCCCACATCAGCCCAAGCCCCCATCCCCATTCAGGAATATCGATGTGTCTGTACCTGAGCTCCAGGATAGTCATGATCCTTGGTAATCTTTCGCGACCAGCGATTCAACGCACCTCCCGGAGGAAGACACGGGAACTGGAGGTAGTCCGCAGAGGACTTTGGGTCGAATGCCGGCTCGGCACTGCCAGAATCTTGTGACGCCATTGTGTTCAGTTGCTATAGTTGTTCGTTAATCGTTAATAGCACTCTCATACAGGCTTCCACTGGGGGGAAAAGAGAGTCAAACGGGAGCTTTGCTTTTGTATGAAACGCCTTTGGAGGGGAAAGCAACAGCTCACTTTCTCCCCCCCACACTGATGAAGCTCGATGCTTGGCATCCATTGAGCAGTCCCCAGTAGCTTCGGCTCATCGTGGAGCGATTCCGGAGAGGAACCAGACTAAGCAAGCTTGTTTGCCCCTCATCTCCATCAAGCTTTCGAGCAGCACGTTGGTGAAGGTGTAACAAGCTTCATATACGGAATACAAGTAGACAAAGCAAAGAGAGACGCAACCACTCACCAATTCAACTCTCAACTCACAGCTTAAACATTCATCTATACACTTTCAAAAACAGAAAAGAAAAAAAAGACAAAAAGAAACCATCCAACTCCTCCATCTCCATCTCCAGCTTTCCCGTCTCCACTCCCCCCCTCCGCAACCCCCTCCGTCATCGTTGCCCAATTCTCAACTCTACCGTTGTTAGCATCAAGTTATTTTTCAAACTCAGCCTAATATGCCCATCCTAATTTATTCTCCTCGGCGGACCCCTTTTTGCGGGGAGCTTCCGAGCGTCGAATCGCGTCGCAGGCTTTACTCACCCACTGTTTGTCTGTTTACGTACGCAGACTGTCGTACCTGTTCAAGCCATTTTATTGGAACGGGTACTTGTTCTGCCGATGGATGGGGTTTATACGAGGTCGCCAAGATTGATAGAGCATTCACAATTGATCAGACTATTTCGTTCAGTTTTTTAAGCTTAACAATGGAGAGTGCTCGAGTCAGTTGAGCGTTTTCAATTCAGGCTGATAACTAAATGGTAACTTTTTTCCAAATGCGCTATTGGCATCCACGGATCCCTATTATATCCTCCTCAAACCTTCACCGTCACCTCAAACTCTCCATCGTTTCAGTCAACGCAAACCAAACGAACCCCAGAGAAGAGAAGAAGAAAAACATGGGGCACATCCTGCAAGATTACAAAACATATGCCCTGTTTCAGAAAAACGCCCCCTGAACAAAACTCCAATCCCATCATCTCCAAACTAAAGAGAAGGGTATTGAAAAAAAGAAAAAAGGTTTGAAAATAAAAAAGGGCAAATTTCGGTCTGTTCCACACCGAAATCCGCTACATTCCTATGCCAAGGAAAAAATAATATAGCCAAACACCAAACATATTCCCCAATAAAAACAAGTCTACAAAAGAAAAGAAAAATGGTATATTTTCAAGTGTTTTCCTGTTTTTTACCATTGACCAGGAGGAGTAGCAGGAGCATTAGTCCCCAGAATAGACGCAATACTCGTCCTGTCCGCGCTGCTGTCCCTTCTCAGCTCGACTTTGGGGCTCGTCGCAGGCGTGGGAGGCATAGCAGGCTGTGCTCGCTGGTTGAGCTTCCACGCCGTCTCCAACATGTCGGGCGACGCGTTGAGGCCGTAATCTCTAGCCACCGCGTCCCAGAACGTGGCTCGGTGGGTGTTGTATATGGCGTGAAGACGGGAGACGTCCACACGCGCCGGAGGCTGCGTCGCGGTGGACGGCAGAGAGAAGCCTCCGTGCATCTCATGGTGTTGAGTGGCATGAGGGTGAGGTTCCATATAGACCAGATCCTCGCGGTATCGAGGTACAGACTGTGAATTTGGATCGGGCATGGCTGCAGGCTTGGGCAGGATGATGGGCAGTGTGGGAAACGCCCAGTTGTCGACGATGCTGGGGAGCTGGACTGAACCGCCCGACGACGTCGAGCTGTAGCTCTCGTTCCTCCTGTGCATCGAGACGTGCTCGGTCGGCAGCTGTGAAGCCGGAGGGAGAACTTGGGGAGCAGCCAAAAGGGGGCCTTGGATAGTCATCTCAGGACAAGACTCCGAGATGGACTCCTTTCGTCGACCGGTGGTGATCTGATGATAGTGCAGCCGACACGCAAGCTCCGTCTTGTTAAGATGGACGGCAATCTGCTTGTAAGGCACCTTTTGAAGGCGAGTCTCAACGAGGTAATGCTCCTAGTAAAGTCTCCATGTTAGTCTCATCTCATCACCCAACCTCCCTCACCATCCTTGACCTACCTCAGCCTCGCTCCATGCACGTCCTCCGCCAGTGTGGGTTGTCTTCCGATTCTTGGTTACACCCTGTCCCATCCGTTGGGCGGTACCGCTCTTTGTGATATAACCCGGTCCCGTCATTATGTATATCGGTGTGTGATGCGATGTGATGTTCTCTAGGTATCTGTCTTTTTGTATTATGTCCACGCTGCTTATTAAGGCCGCTTCGGTAAACCAGGCCAATTGTTTCTTGTTGAATGATACGCTCGAATAAATTGATTCCGCTATGCAAAGATGATGGGTTGTAGGATATGAGTAAGAGTATGAGCGTCGCCAAACCAGTTGGGGGGACAAGGTGAGTCAAGTGAACCAGCCACAAGAGGAAGAAACAAAAAAAACAGGATTATTAAAATAAGAAGGAGACGAAGAAGAAGAAGAAGAAAACCGGGGTTGCAAAAACACGACGATCCAAAACGAGGAAAGACAACAGGATTAACACTCCAGAATAAAAAGAAAACAAAAAAAGTCCAGAGGTGAAGGTGGCCAGACGCATGGGCAGTGAGCAAGTATTAAAACATGCTCATCTCACTCATACTAAACCTGCGCACGACGGGCTGCATCTAGCAATGACCAGGTTAGCCTTCTTTGTGTCCCCACGAAACCTGCGATATCCATTATCTGGGCGCGCCAGGGGGGGGAGAGGGAGGAGGAGGGGAGGGGGGACCCCTGGCCCGGCTTCTGTGAGATCGCAAACCTGTGACACTTTCGTAACAAGATGTCGACATAAGCATAACGTTCTGGCCCTCTTGTTTCTGAAGCGGCCCCGTCAGGACGGCACCAAGAAACACATTTCAAACATTTATGCGGTCTCGTCTAGTGCGGTTTTGCTTGTTTGAGACCATTCATCTTGACCGATTTTGTGTGGGGTGGCGGCCTGTCGATGCCCTCGTAGGGATACAGGATGCTGCGGTTATGCGGAAATAAAGTGAACTGACAGCTTGGCTTCATTGCCGAGTCGACAGGCCACGTCATTTTCTTTCAATTGTTTTCTTTTTCTCTCGTCTTTTCTTCTTTTCAATTCTTTGGATTTCCATCTCGGTGGAGGCATGAAAAAGTTAAGACGCCTCTGATATCTGTACAAACTTCAAGATGCCCTCGTGCCTCGCCTCAAACCCTACCAATCTCTACAACTCCATCCACATAAACTCAACTTGCTCGCCCCCAATGGCCGCTCCCGAGCCAATCACACAACAGCAGTTATCTCGTTCTCCGCATCGCAAGCGATCCATGATGCAAGGAGCAGAGGCCTCGCCGTTTGAAGCCTGTTTCCATTCTTGAAACAAGGAGGCTGTTGTTCTCGTCCAGCTAAGCGACGCCCAAGCAACAAGTCACCCGGGGCCGGCCCCTTGCCCCGGCTTCCTTCTCCAGCGGCTTTTTTTATGGGTATTTTGAAAAAAAAGAATTAGAAAAATTAACAAAAGGCGGATAAAATTCTCCGGTCTGAATTTGGGATTATGGATCCTATAGAGGCAGTTCGCCATGTTGCGCAACATTCAAATTGAGAAAATAGCGGAAGCCGCAGTGTAAGTGGCTTGCTTGTTGACAGAGGCATCACATATCGCACTCAATCCGACTCAACTCAACCCAAACTCGTAAAACACAACACAGCCTTCAGCAAAAAAGACGAAACGAAACGAACAAATACGGAGCTCTCTCAGGTCCTTCGGATGTCGTCCTGTTCCGGTAGCCGCCATGCCTCAGATGGGCGGCCGGGCATCATGCAGCCGCGTTTCAACCCTGCGCTTCGAAACACGCTAGAGGCGACTGGCGAAACCCTCGCATGAAGAGCGCCTCTCTTTTTTTTCATTTTCGTTTCACGCCACTCGTCTATGTGTGTGTATGTGTTGTGTTGTTTCTTCTCCCATCTTTTGAGGCGCATGATATTGTGAGGCGAGAGAGGAAAAGGACAAAAAAAAAAGTCAAAAGATGGGCCGGAAAACAAGGTTGGAAACACACCCGGGACCAGCCACTCAGACGGAGTGCCATCGTCCCGGCGCAGGAGTGACGATACGGTGGCAAGGGCTTGTGTGTGTTCTGTTGTGTGTCTGAGGCGACAGAAACACCAAAGATAGTGGCTGTATCCTCCATTGCTGATATCTCACATGCAAGTTATCAATCAAAACACACATCCGGCGGGTGGGCGTCGAGCCGTGGTCTCCGAGGCACAGCCCATGCTCGACTAATATATCGTATGTATGTACGTGTAGCCGATGCTTGTATGCATGTACGGATCATCAAGGCATATCAATGCAGCGTTTCCAAGTTTTTTTTGCCTCGTCTCTCTCTCTGTCTGTCTGTCTGGGTGTCCCGCCTGTTCCTCATCTCGCGAGACCTGCTTCCCGCCAATGGCCAGACAAAAATGCAGCCCAACGGCGGGCACAGTTGGGAGACGCTCATTTCGATTTTCATGGCAATCTCTCTCAGGCGCCCTCCCTAGGGATTCTCCGGTTGGCTGGCCGAAGCATTTTTGCCCAGGAATCGTATGACATGCCGTTCGATCGGCAAAAAAAAAGAAATATTGGGAGTTGAAATTTATTTTTTTCCTCCGCTTGGGTTATGATAAGGAATTGCCAGACAATGTCCAACCACATAGTTACCCATAGCTTTCCTTTTCGCCTCCTTTTGATTCTTTTTGATTCTCGTCTTTTCCATTTCATCATTGACCGGATGGCGCATCAATTTGGCCTAAATCGCATCGCAACTCTAGATTTGCATGTGGACATTCAAGAAAGGCTCCATCTCACAAAGACATTCACTCTCCATTCGATTCTACGCCACTTCCCCGATAACGATGGCATCGTCCAGGACTCGCACAAGTAACAAACAAAAGTACAATCGGATCAGATAGAGACATGCCGACGAGGTATTTCGAGTAGTTAATAGGGGCTCGCATTTGTTTGTAGGCCGCCCGTGAACTGGCGACATGTCCCTATCGCTTCACCCTCAATGTGATATATCACACAGCTCGCCTGCCGTCATTTTAGCCTCTTGCCGCCTAATGGCAGCTCCTATGCTCACATTTCGATTTGATTTGACGTGCGACGATGTGAGCGTCTGCATGTCTTTCATTAAATGTCCATTGCCGGGTAATTGCAAGTGTGCTTTTCTAGCAATTTGGCACCCGGGCGTCAACACATTCCTCTCCTCGGTACAGCGGGAATGACTCGGTGACGGTGGCTGTGCGATTCCTCTCACCTCCGGATAGGGTAGAGAGTAGATGGATTGCATCAGTGAGCCGCCTCGTCATCTCATCCCTTGCCTTGTGCATACGCGTGCGTGCCTTAATGTAGAGCTCGAGCAGCAAGATGAGCGCTGAAAAGCTCCCAATTCCCGTGGCCGGCTTACCCTGCACTGCACTGGGCACCGAGGACGAAGAGAAAACGGGCAGCTCGTATCCATCCTCGAGCATCTGTTGGGTCTATCTCGCAATCCTATGTTGCCCGTAACGGCAGCTGAGGCGAATTGGCCGGGTAAATTGAACCCCCCAACGATTGATAGGCATCCAGCAGCCTACAGATAGATGATGCTTGTATGTACCTTGTGTATGAGCAATAGTAAGCTTGAAGTGGTGTTTGAAAAGATGAAATGCGATGGCACACACCGCCCACCCCTGGGCAGATGTCGCATTTACACTGTACAGCAGCGTCTCTGGCAATAAAGCGGAGGTTGGGGAGCGAGATCATCTCAGCACGTCTCTGTTCTGCAGGTTATCAAGCAAAGCTGCTGGTTGAGTGGTACAAAGGTCCGACTCCATCGCGAGTTTCTCTCCATCCGCAGTATAACGAGAGCTTCCGTCGTTCGAAAAGACTAGAGCGAATCGGATTATATTCCAATGCAACAGTGGCCACATTAACTGCCAAAAGATGGCATCCTCCACAGGTACAATGTTCACAAGTCACCCAGGCCTTCAAAGAGGTCCCAGACGCTGGATCTGGACAAGCCATGTAATGTACAGTACAGTACAAGGTGGAGCCGCGATGCGATGCGGCCCTAGCCTCGAAGCTCAGCAAAGGTATCGAGTACTTGGCGGCGAGGTATGCGATGGACTTGCACAGAGGGTATGTACGAGTACATACATGATGCTTGCACTTGTGCCATGGCATGGCGATTTGCAGTTCGCGCGAGGGAGGTTGCAGGGGGGGGAGGATGGAGGTTCTGGAAGGACGGGAGCACAAGGTGCATGATGTTCTGGTTGATGTGGTTGCTGTTGCTGTTTTGCTGTGCTGTGCTGTTGCGTGCTGTTGCGTGCTGTTGCTGTGCTGTGCTGTGATGTGATTTGGTGCGACTGAACTGACGATGCCGGCCATATACCACGGGGCTGGGCATCGAGAAGAAGGCAGACAGACGGTGCTCGATAAGGCTGGCCTGTCCCGTCTCATTCACTCTCCTCTCTCTGTTCCCGTCTTCTCCCCTCCCGGGTTCCCCCAGAGGACGAGGCCGGCCGTGGCGTATCACCAGCCAGCCAGCGCTGCTCGCTCGACGCTTGTTGACGCACGGCATGGCATTTCACGCATGGCCAGGCTCTCTCAGGCCGCCATGAAGCACACACTTGTCATGTCCATCCCCGCTTTTCCCGGGCCTGTCCAAGATGAGATTCGTGTCATTCGACAGGGAGTGCCTTGGCCGCCTAAGCGAGCGGTGGGAATTAGTAGGCAATAATATCTACCTACTGTGACTGTGGCTGTAAGTAGGTAGATGCGAAATTAACCTCCACAGAGGGAGAGAGAGAGAGAGAGAGATGGACAAAAAGATTGGCGTCGACGATCCCCGCGGCATGTTGCGTCATCCGATAGAAGAAACGCGAGCAAGAAAAAAAAAAGAAGCTCGACAGAAGAAGCAGATGAAAGGGAGTGCGATTGTCGTGCCTGTCCATCGCTGCCGAATACGAAAGCCGTGATCAGCGTTGGGCTGAGTCTGTCCTTGGGCCACTTTTGCCTGGTGACAGCAGATACCGTAACTTTTCATTTGCTCTCTCGGGGCGCCAATTGAACTTGCTCAAAGGGCGCAAAGACTGTCTGTCCGCACTGCACTGCACTGCACTGCAGCGAGGACGGTCCGGAGTCGTGATGGATCGCTGCGCTGCTACTGCGCTGCTACTGCAAGGCAATCAATTGGTGCTACCGCCAGCGAAACGACGAGACCCGGAGGCGATGCGCGATTGCGATGCGATCCAATGCGATTTGATGCGATGCGATACGATGCGCTACTCTGGTGGCAGGTACCGCATACCTGCTGCACCCGCCCGCCTTGCGAGCTTGTGCTCCCGGGCCTGTGCCGCTTGTACCTCCAGACTCGTACCCCCGTTGCACTCAAACCCTCACGAACGCCTCCGGCTCGCGCAAGTACCTGTACGTACTCGTACCTGTACTCGCGCTGCTGGCCCGCTGATTGGCCCGCCGCCCAAGGCACGGCGAAATGAGTGGCTGGTGCAGGAAGGCGCGCGGGCAATCGGAAGGCCAACGCGAGGCGGATGGCGGCCGCTGATTGGCTGCAGCCGGAGCCCCAGCAGTTCCCAGCCGGGTGTCTCTGGCTTCATTTCTGTTTTATCGGAAGCTGCTCACCAGCGGCACGAAGTACGTACAGTACATACAGTACGTACATGGACTAATGCAAGTGCTGTATCAGTACAAGTACCAGTACCGGCAACAGTACCAGTCCTCGTCCCAGCACCAGCATCGGTACGCGACTTGAGCCCGGGCTCCGTCTCTTATAATGCCTGTATCTCTCAATACCAATACCGATATTCTCGTACGTCAACGATACAGGGGCCTACGGAGCAGAGCCCCCGCGTCGTCCGTCCGTCTGTCTGTCTGTCTCTGCGGAAGGCACGGTAACGGCATGGTAGGTACTGTACCGTACGAGCTGCCTGAAGGATCCATACGAGTACCTTAGGTGGGAAGAACCGGCAGGGCAAAAGGTTCATGTCCTGTCCTTGTGTGCGTTGCGTGGACACGCCTGAGGTAGTGGTACTAAGCACCGCTAGCGCTGGCCCGTGCGCCGCTCAACCTGCTGCGGACTCCCGTTACGCACGGTGCGACGACGCTCGACACTCGAAACCGGACACTATGCGCTGTGCGACACCACGGCATGCAGCGCACAGTGCGGCGATGCGTCACGAACCGGCCCCTCGCACGGCCACGCCCCTCTGCGCCCCCGGCCCCGATGGCGCCACTCGAATTGGTGTATCAGTACCCCGCCCCAGCCTCACACTTTGCCTGCGCCAAAAGTATCGGATCCAAAGCATCATCACACGCCCCCCCTCTGGCTGCTGCGCCCCACCTCTTCCTGCCGCCAAGCTTTTCCCGTGCCCTCGTCACTGATCCTGGCCGCTTGCCTCCCTCCCACTTGTCCAGTCCAGGTCGCGCAACTTCTCTCTCCCCTTCCCCCCTTCCCCCCCAAAAAAGAGACCCAGCACCAGGCAGGCCAAAACATCTACTTCGTCCCCCAGAAAAAAAAAACCCAACCGAGTTACTTGGGCTCCAAGTACCATCATCACTCTTCCACCCCCGAAAGCGCCTGGCGACTCGACCTGGCCATTTCCATCGCACGCTTCTGCAACGGTGCTCCACTGGCACTTCAGCTTTCAGCTTCAAACCGTCCTGCAGAGGCCCGACCATCGCATCGCAGCGCATCGCCTCGCATCGTGTGCCCCGAGTGACGAGTAACGAGTACGTGCCGTGCTCAAACTGACTGACTTGCGTGCCGTCCGTCTTCTCGCGCCCCTAGCAGAGGGAAAAAAAAAAAAAAAAAAAAAAAAAACAACTGCGCCGAACACGCTACTGCTACTGCTACTCCAACTCAACTCATCCAATCCGGTACACGCTACCATCTGGCCTCACCTCACCTCACTCAACCCGCTTCAACCACTCGCAGCTCACCCTGGCCGATCCGCGTCCCTTCAGACTCTCCGGAGTACCGACCAGTACCACTGCATCCGTCGGCCTGCGCCAACCAGCTCTCGTACGTGCTTTCTTGCTTCATGCTTCATGCTTCTGCTTCCGCTTTGCTGCGCTCTGCTCCCTCTCATTTGTCCGTTCTCTCTCGACTTGCTTGACTCAGTCGGGCCAAGCAAACCAACACGGCTGAGCCTTACTTGTCAGCACTGCAACTCCCTCACCCACTCAAAACCTCGCTCGTCTGTTATTGCCAACCCAATTAATCCCTCTTGCTCTCAATTCGCCGTCTGCACCCGTCACAATAGTAACCCAAGCCCACCGTCGCCTCGGCTTCGGATCTGCCCCCCCCCCCTAGCCAACGACTTTTCTCTCCCCACCACCAACTTACCACTGTTTTACACAATCCCATCAGTCCACCAACCCGCGCGCGTCAAGTCTCGGCTTGGCTAGTTTTTTTTTTCTTTGTATCTTTTTTTCCCTTACCCTCACCTCTTATTAGGAGGCTCTTCAACCACACCCCCAAAAAGAACCCACGGCCTTTTCGGTGCCACTGCGGTTGCAAGTACTTGTTGATCCAAGTGGTCTTGCACTACTTTGCCGAATTGTGCAACCTGACCCTTTCGGCCCCCAGCTTGGCTCCTTTGGTTGTTTGACCAAGGAAAAAAAAGCCGAGCCAGACTTGTTCCAGTCGGATGCGCTTTAGGCAACATTGACCTACATTGATTGCCTCGCCCGTAAGGACATTCTCTTCCTCTCCCCCCCTTGCTCCCTCTCGCCGGGCGTCCTCACCTTGTGCCTTCGCAACGTCAATCCGTGGTAGCCAAGTTGTCGACGACACTCGTCGGGGATGCTCGTGTGTTCCCATTGTTGATGCTCCTGCGCCGTACTCGAGCTTCAAGCTGCGTCGCGTCGTTCCGTTGCAGCCATTGTTGGGACCTTGGCCTTACGCGTGCGCTGCGCGTAAGCTCTCTTTGAGCAAACAACCCCTCTCTTTTTGATTTCCCCCCCTTCTATTTTTCTTGTTTTTTTTTTTCTGTTTTTCTCTCTCTCTCCCTGGTTCCTTTGCAGTTGCTGTGCTGCAAGTCGACAGCCTTGCCGGCTTTTGGACGCGCCGCGTGCAACTGGGGCTTGAAGAGAAAGAAAGAAAAACGCGCGGTTCCTCTCTTGCTGCATCTTGAAATTCTTCCTTGATTCTGTCGACAAGCTTGTTATAAAAAAAAAGAGACGAAATCGTTACTGACCTTATTCGCGTGCGCTATCATCAGATCATGCAGCAGTGGCAAGTCGGCCCCGTGCCGGACTACGTCTACTCCAACTCCCCCCACCCGTCCAACGACATGCAGTAAGTACTCGATCTCCTTGTTCCTGGTACATCGTCTTTCCGCCATCTACACCAGGGCCCTCTGTTGTCCGTCACATTGTGCCTCCATCAACCATCAGCCATGTATTCAATGTATATCGTTTGAACTTTCTTTTTTACCCGCTTCTTATTTTTACACCTCTACCCCGTCATGGCATCACCGGCTGGGAGACAAACGAACGCTGTATCACCGTCTGCCTCCTGTCGATACCTTCTATAACTTCGCCCGCTGTGCCTGGCGAAACCATGGCCCTCTCTCCCTCTCCCCGCTTCCCACCCCCGGCCCCATCTAGAGGGAGCCCTTTCCTATACCATGCATAGTTCCATGCCATGCCATGATGATTCCCCTCCCCCGCCAACGAGTCTGCTAACCGGGGTGCCTCGAACAGTAACCATCCTTACCCGGCCGATATGGCTCGTCGCAACGAGCGCATGGAGTTTCCCTACGGCGCTCAGCCTAACATGGCGGCCCAGCAGCAACACCACCCAGCTCCAGTCCAGCCGCCCATGAGCGTATCGCAACAGCCGCCGAATGGCCCTCCGTCCCAGCAGCAGACGCCGACTCAGCCCGCGGCCCAGCCGCCCAACGCTCGCTCACGGAAGCGGCCGGCCCAAAACGCGGCGCCCTCACCCGCCACGGCCGCCGCTCCACCTCCCGTTGCCGCCGCCCAGGGTCAGCCTCCTGCGCCAACGCCTCCCGCTCCCCAGGCTGCTCCTCCTTCCCAGGCCCAGCCCGCGGCCAACGACGACGCAAACTCGGCCAACGCCGCCTCGGGCCCTCCCACCAAGAAGAGCAGGACCAACACGCCTTGGACTCCCCAAGAAGAGCTGCGGTTGAAGCAGATGCGAGATGCCGGAAACAGCTGGGCTGAGATTGCCAAGGTATGTTCTTGACGACAACGGAGGCAAACGTCCCCTTTGTAATTTCATGTCTTGCCATTGTTTTTGACTTCACTTAAAGAGGGGGGAAAGCTAATTGGAGATCCACACAGACCTTCCCTACAAGGACAGAAGGATCCGTTAAGAAGCACTGGTACAAGGATATGCACTACGCTGAGTTTGCCGAAGATGAAGTAAGTGGACCACTCATTCCCAATGTCGATGCCTCATTGATTGATCAGTCTGTTCAGAGTCAGGCGCTGTTGAACGCCATCAAAGAATACGAGAACAACAAGTGGAAAGTCATTGGCCAGAAAGTCGGGAAGCCAGCAAAGGTATGGCAGCCTCCCCTACTCTCCCCTCCCTTTTGAATCATACGCTAACTTGGTACAGGCCTGTGAACAATATGCCAAGGAGCATTTTCCAGGTATGCTTACAGTCTTTGGCCGGTAGGGGTTAACCGCAACGATCGAGGTCCCGCTAACTCGTATACAGATCTCTTTGGCAACCCCAAGGGGAGATGAACTCGACGTGATTGCTCGCCCGCGCCCCGGCCTGATGAATGCTCCTGATCGGACCGCTCGACGACTGTAATTCTTGTACCCAGATGCCGTCTTGTTTTCTTGTTGGGATTCAGGTCTCGGGATCGCCGTGGAGAGGAATAGGACCAGCTGCCTTTGTTTATCTATTTCGGTCTTTTTTTATTGCCGCAAGGTTTTCCAGTTTAATAACTCCAGATGCAGATCTCTGAAGAAAAAGCAGGAACAGTAAGGAGTACGGCCAGGGTTTCCGCTACTTCGCTAATTGGCAAAACTTGGCTTTTGTCATGACTTCTTCTTTTGTCTTTTTTGCCCTTCTCCCCCCGACCTTATTAGTCTCCCGTTCTTCCCTTCTTTTTCTTTTGCCGGTCTTAGAGAGAGAGATGTGTGTACGTCGTTCTTCGTTCGTTGGGTGGGAAATGAATCACTGGACGGTCTTTGTTGGCGTTGGCGGCGGATTGTAGTCCTCTTGGTCTTGCCTGTGCTCGTTTGAGAGGACTCGAACCGTGGCCTGCCACCATTTGACTAATTGCCCTTGTTTTTTTATCTCTTTGTTTTTTCCCTTTTGTGTTTTCTGCTCTCTACTTTCAACGATACCTACGGGGATGGTCGAGAGAAGAGCCTCGGTGGGTTGGGTGTTCTTGCGGACTTACTGGGAGAGGCCACGGAGTCAACGATGATGGGGTTCCTGAGGCTCAGTCTGTCCTGGAGGCGTGGAACTGCTGGAGGATTTCAACTGCTCTCAGCCTAGAGCTGGGGATGCAAAGACTGTCGCCGATACGAGGCATAGCTATACCCGAATAACACAATTTCCCCCCTTCCCCCGCTTTCCCTCTCTCCATCTCTACTTTTTTGTACCAAGTATCTATTTTAATATGAAATGCACCGGTTTGGCGGCTGGAAAACGATGTCTTACAACGGGTGATGATTTGCGTAGAGGAGATGAGGGAGCTTTAGTACACGCTATAGTACAAGTACTCGATACCTCTGATGGAGGAGCTGCGAGGTGTAGCAGGGGGCCCATCTTGACGGTACAGCTACTTCGTGCTAGAGGCTAGAGGAGACACCTGCTGGAAGTACAGTGTTAGTGGCCTCGCTTGTCCCAGTTTGGCGATGCAGGTTTGTGTACTTGATGGGAAAAAGAATGGAATCCATCCATCTGTTTAGTCTGGCTGGTTTGCATCCGTAGTTGCAGGGCCGGTACCCCGGAGCTGGGTACCGGGTAGTGCGGCGCCACCGGTGCTGGCATGGCATTGTTCCCTCGATGTATCATGACCAAGCCAGGTACATGTACAGCCAAGGTATCTGTCAAGACGGGGGATGGAATGCTACGTCGACCCAATGGGAGGGGAGGCGGTGTGAAGAACGACGGGAGTGAATAAAACTTGCACATTGTGCAATGCAAATACGTGCAATTAGGTACGCTGCTGCACATATCGAGGCGGCGGACAGGACAGGACAGGACAGGACAGTTACTGTTACACCGTCATGTCAGTGTCCTCACCGTCTTTGCTCGGAGGCGGAAGAATGTGTGTGTGTGTGTGTGTGTACAAGTACCGTACGACTGAGATTGCGCCGCGAAGGGGGTTACAACTCACAGACAACTTGGATGCAAGAAACGAACCGGCCCTTGGAGGCGTTTCAGATCCCATCGGACATCTCAATGGCCGGCCCTTGCCGCTTCAGCCCTACGGACCCCCAGATGGAGATGCAAGTCAACCTGGTTCGATGTATGGATACTTGGGGAGGCTTGAAGGGAGCGAACGAGCAAACTCGGGCGAGGTATCGTGTACGAAGAGGGACCTGTGCGGTACGTACACGGCCGGTGCGAAGGTAAGCGCTAGCCAGCAGTCGAAAAAACGTTTCGCTGTCGAGAATTCGAGGTTCATGCGCTGGGGGCCCCACTGGCAGGTACTTTCTAGCAGGTACCTTCAGGCGCTACAGGTACTTGTGCTCGTGGCCGGGCTAAGGGGGGGCTTTTCCT